CCCCTATCTCTCATCCCCCCCCTCCTCTACTCCCATCCTATCTCCATCCCATTCCCCACCACCCCTCACCACACTTCACACAATCTCGATATCAACAGACGACTCACCATATAATCCCTCTTCGCCTTAATAAAAACCCCCTCACACATCCCCTCCCTCATCCCAACCCATCCCATCTCCCATCCCCCTCCAGCTCCGCATCCACTCCCACTCCATCCCCACCCCCCAACCCATCACATCCCCCATCCCCCCCTTTACCTCCCCAAAAAAACCCCTTCTCATCCCCGCACCCCATCTCCCAAACCATCAGAACCACAATCCCAAACATCTCGCCTTAAAAAAATCGTGTCTCGCTCTTACCTCATCCTTAGAAATAGCCTCCTACTCCAGAACCATTGCAATTGAAAGGCGGGAAGAGGTTGGAGGTTGGGGAAGTGAGAGGTGAGAGGTGGTAATTGGGAAGTGAGAAGGGAGAAGGGCGTAGAGAGTCCCAAACCCCATGTATCGATTCCATCAACACACTTCCCGAGAATCTGACTTCGAAATATTAACTATCAAAAATTTGACGAACAATATAAGCATATCACAAACACAGGATATCTCACAACACAATAACATAATAATAATATATACTTTCATACCACTAATTTTTCCCATCCTAACCTATTCATCCGATCCAAAACATACATACAAAATCATCATCATCATAACCCCTTCCCCTCATTCCCCTCCAAAAAGCGAATGACAAAAGAGTATCCGGGTATCCATGCAAGAAAAATACATAAGAACAAATCCCCCCTCCCACATCCCCTCAATGCACAGATTCAAAGGCCCCCCCCATAAATTACAAAACTCATATCAACAACAACACTAAACACATCCCCTTTCCATTTCCAATTCCAATTCCATTCCTCAACCTAGTTATCACCCCTGCACCTGCCCCCCAACAAGACTAATACAATTCCCCAGCAACAACGCCGCCTCATGCAGCAACTCCCACCGCGTCTTCTCAAACGTCGTCCTAAGCACCATAAGCAGCCCGCCACACCCATTAAAGCCACTCTTATTCTTCAGATCCTCCGGGGAGCGGAACGAGCCCAGGGCGCGGAGGTAGGACCGCATATCACGGACCTGGCCCTCGAAATCCGTCGTCGCGGGGATGGGCGCGGTAGATGGCCCTTCGAGCGCGTAGCCGTAGGACCAGACGATGAGGGCGGCGAAGTAGAGGACCCAGGGGCGGTTGAGGAGGGGGTCGTCGCGGGCCGAGTATTCGAATTTCGGGTCGTCGTAGACGGGGAATTTGGGGTCGTCGTAGGTGGTGGCGGCGTCGGGGTTGGATTTTTCGGGGAGGAGGACTTGTTGAAGGAATTTGAGGGCGTACCAGGTTGCGTCGCGGGCTTTGGCGCTGGGGGCCCAGTGGTCTTTCATGCGGCGTTGGGCGCTGTTGAGATCTTGGGAGCCGATGGTGCGGCCGAGGAGTCTTTTTGCTCGTGCGAAGATTTGGCAGTCGACTATGTCGACGTGCATGGCCATGTGGGCTAAGTGGTGAAGAGCTGTTCTTCCCTGGAATACCAAGCTCTCTTCTTGCTTCTCTTGATATCCGTATGGTCCGGGAGCATTGTCACTAACACGCTTCATCGACTTATCAAAATCATCTCTCCATGAATCGAACGCACGAGTAAGCGAGCCTCTCCATTTGTCTCGGCCTCCAAGAGCTTGCGAGACTCCGAGCGAGTTAACCTGAAGGTCTCGCTGATTCATATGCCAGCTTACACTTAGGAGTCCTGCCATTAGAATTGTCCGCCCGAACGAGTTTGTTCGAACTTCCATAGCGTTTAATGTCCGTTTCAGTCCTTCCAAGAACGAAATGGGTTTCACGCCATTTGACTGTAAGCTAGCCTCGATCCGTCCAACTTCTGCACTATTAGTAGCGTTCCATAAAGCTTCATCGCAGGGTAGAGGTAGTCGCATTTCATGTGCTACCATGACAGTTGAATGTCCGAACATCGTAGCGTGTGTTGAATCGATTACAAATGCAGCAAATGCAGCGCGACGTGTCGCTTCGTTGGTTATCCAATGATTCCACCATTCATCAGGTGTATTAGATCCGGAAGTCGACGAGTGTCGAGATCCATTCAACCCTTGCTTGTCATCTCTGACACTTGGCGGCGAATCTAGAGCGGATCGACCGATGAGCGAGCTACCACGTCGCATGAGAGTGATGGTGGTGGCATGATGTATATGAGCTCTTTCGTGTAGAGCTCTGGTGGAGTACATCTTCTCATACAATTCCAATAGGAGAAGGGCCTGGAATACCCATAACTTGGCTGGCGGTCGGAAGTGATAATCGCTGAAAATCTGATAAGAATATGGTAATTAGCAACGAGCCCAAAATTTGAAGACAAGAATATTTGAAAACAAAAGAGATAAGTATTACGCACCTCCCATCGCAAATGCCACGCCAAGAAATTTGACAACTCGGCACCAGCTTGTGTGACTTCGTAGCCATGCATCTTGTCCAAGCAAGAAGCACCAATTGCCATCATAGCAATCAAGAGAAGATTAGGAGTCTTGTCCGGTGAAAACGTAGGTTTGTGTACTAGAAGAATTAGCCTGGATCCTAAAAGGGTGAGTGAGAATCGTACAGATTGGAACTTGGTCACTGAAATGATACCAGTAACTGCCAATATATGTTTGCATCATCTTACGGCTCATCATATGGCTATCGTCATTGCGATCACCTTCGAGCAGATGTTCTTTCTGCTTAGCCACTGGCGTATGGTCTCCTTCATTGAACCTCTCTTTGATGAGGTCGATAATCTGTTGACTCTTATCTTCCGAGAGAACGGTTTCTGGAAGGCTGGTATCAAGAAGACTAGTGACAGCCATTGGATGATGTGGTTGAGTATTAGGAGGGTAGTAACCTGGGAGGTTGACATCATTGGCAAAATATGGATAATACTGAGCTTGAGCATCAGGATAACTAGAAAGTGGTCAGTGAATGACACAAAAGTGATGTATCATAAGAATCGAACTTACGCTGCGTAGCCTTGTGGGTTCATTTGTCCCATCGGTGAGGAAGCATCAAGTTGTTGATTGTTGAACAAGTATGCAACAAAGTCTTCTGGAATGGCAAATGGAGAACGACTATACCCTTCACCCCCGAAGACGGGCATGGTGTTAGGTGCAGTCATCTGATCCAGCATCATCATTTCCGGCCCCGATTGCTGATGGTGCATGGCTTCATTTGGATAATCTGCAGGCAGTGAAGTTGGGTAAGAAGGTTCGGAGTCTCTTCCGGCTGACGCTGTGGTTGCATTGTTCCCAAATCCAGGTGGTGGTAGACTGAAGGGAGGAAAGCTTTGTTGGCTTACATATGTCTGAGGACTTGCGTGCGTGGAGTGATAGCCTTGGTTGACTGGACCTGAGTTGACCAAGCCATATGATCCGCCGGTCTGAAGTGAAGGGCGTTGAAAGTCAGCAGGCTTGGCATCAGAAACGCCAAAGCTTGAATGTCTTTGGGTTGTTCTGCCAGGAATGGAATTAGATGGAGCTTGATCTCTTGGTGGTAGACTGTCGCTGTTGGAGCGCTTGAAAGCATTGCCATTAGGACCATAATTTTCTCCGCCATTAGTTGAGGCGGCACCGGAATATGTGCCAGAAGAATTTGTGATTGGAGAGTAATTGGGTGTCATCTCTGTTGGTGATCGATACTGGAGCTGACCAGTTCGTCCCTTGATCATGTTTGGTCTCATCACCTCGGGAGAGGAAGAGCCATGCATTGAAGTCGGTCTGCCATTTTCAGTAATTGGCGAGTGATTGTGACCAAGCATCGAGTCCTTTCGATGGAGCTGAGAACCTTTGGCTGTGTGACGGTCTCGATGTCTGTTACATAAATCTTGTCTGACAAATGTTCTTACACAATCTGGAAAATCACAGTTGAAGATTTGTTTAGGTTGATGGTTAAGCTGGTGACGGTAGCTAGATCCCATTAGTATTGATACTCGAGAGCAGGGGACAAAAACTTACAGATGTTCGGCTCTTGAATAGCTCTTACCACATCCACTCTCCGGGCATTCGAACTTTTTGTCCAACCCTTTTCGACTTCTTCTTCGCTTCCGGGGACCACCCTCGGTCCCAGACGATTGCCCCTCTGGTCCATCAACGGGTGATATATCTTCATCTTTTATGCTCGCTCTACTCCGACGTCTCCCACGATTTTTGTCTTCGGCCTCACCTTTGGAACGGCGCGCCAGATTCGGTTCCTGACCTGATGCCATGTTTTCTGGCATTTCCTTCTGCGACATGATATTACTAGTAACGAACGAGTGCGATTGTGGTGCAAGAATTGAAATCATAGTCCTACGGAATTATCGAGGCTAGAGCGGCAATGGAGCATCGGACGGCAGACACGAACGCAGGCAACACACTTGGATAAGTGACTTGGCGATATCAAAGGAGCGAGTCTGGGTAAAGTCAGAATCACGTCTATTATTTGGAAGAGCATTCCCAAGCTGCAAGCAGATCTAGTTGCCTTGGAGCAGGAGTGATGGCGCGTGGGGTATGGTTGTCCGACTGCGAAGCTCAAGCTCACTCACCACAAGATTATTAGAATCAGTGCAAAAGCTGGGCAACAGACAAGTCTTGCGCTGCCAAAAAAGTGTACTCTCAGAATCCCGGCTTAGTTTCTCTCGTCAACAAACACAATTGGAGTTCGTTAGGTCATGTCATTCCTTCCTCGAACAGCGTCCGGAGTCCACGCAGGACAGACAGACAGCTGGAGATTCTGCCTGTTTTGCACGTCGCTTGTGGCGGGGTTGAGGTTGGCTGCTGAGGCAGCTAGTCGAGCTGAAGTCGCACGATCGGAAGTGCAAATGTACGTTGCGGTCGCGAACGCAAAGCGAGAATGCGGAGGTGGAGGTGGTGCAAGTGTTTGAGGCCGCACAATGCAACACAGCAGAGTGTAGATGTCGTGGACGCTCAGAAGTCGGGTCTGGTCGTCAAGAGCTTTTCAGGAAGGAGGTCGTACGCCACCATGAGTCGGCCCAGCGTGTGGAGAAGGGTCGTCGGATCGTACAGCGCAACGCGACGAAGGATGGTGTTTTGTCGTGGGGATGGATGGGTTGCGGATGTGGATGCGCGATGCTTCGCTCGGTGGGGGTTTTGCAACTGGACCCAGAGGAGTATTTAGAGGATTTAGCTACGGCAGCGATCAGGGATGCCTCCGTTGGTTCAGGAATTTGGTTCTGGGGGCGCGCGCGCCGCATGTACCAGGTCCAGGTCCGGGTCCAGGGTCTCGAGGACGGTGTCTAGTGGCTGCGATCGCAAATGGCCTGCTGCTTGAGCGAGGCTTACCGGTGTCAGTGCTGTGAGTACATGGACGGGTTGAGACCGTACAATGATGGCAAAGGGCCATCTTAGACAACAAATACTGGCTGGAAGATGGTTAAATTCCCTCAAGGAAATAACTGAGAAGACAGCAGAGCAGAGACCTGAAAAATGATTAAGCGACAGACCGAGTACAAGCTGCCAGGCCAAAGATGTGCAAATGGAAAATTGCTGTATTTGGGCATTGATCAGCACTGTATTTTCTCGCAGTTGTTGAACTAGTCTCAGATGTAGGATCATGAAAAAGAGAGACAAAATGTAAAATGGAGGAATTTTAGTCCCATTGTCCTAAGAGAGCTGCAAAGCCCATCGATACTTCTATACATGTACTGTGGACTCGCTCGAGCTCTTTAAATGCACCATTCCGCAAAGCATGGTCAAAGTTGCAGAAGTATCAACTTGAACATGAGGACAGCAAAGAGACAAAGCGGCCATGCACTCCAAGTATCGATTGAAGCTTGAAGACGGCATTCGGATAATATAATAAGGTGTATATCGAAATGTAATAGGTCACTAAATATTATCCATTAACCCCACCAAAGCCTGTAAGACACTGAGAGTGCCGCTTTTTTGCCCAGATCGAGTCGTTGGATCAGAGTTCCGTCCCCAGTGACTGGCATGACACCAGTGAGCGGTCCCCTCCGCAGTCCCTTCACTGGTCGCCGTGCTCTGTTACCCACACGACACATCTTCGCCATGAGCGGGCAGGCCCAAAGTACCCCAGAACATGGGAAATGGCTTGGCGGGAGCTTGGGCGGCCTTCTAGATCTAGACTAGAAACGCAGAAGGCCTAAAAGGGGAGGAAAGAGGGGTGTCAAACCCGTGTCAGTCTCCAACCACTTTCACCGTAGAGTGTCAGTGCACACGAAGTATTCCGAGTTCGTTTGGATGAAAAACCTCATGTTGTCAGGTGCTGCGTGCCGTTTGCCGCGTGTCTCAAAATATATGGCGAATTCCACGACGCCTTTTTGTTTCTTTGACGTTTGTCCGCATCTCCATCGTGCTCGCTTCCACAGGGCAGGAACCCAGCTCAGCATATCATTGGATCCCAGAGGATGGATTTACCTGTCCAACAAACGTTTCCCTCTGCTACCTTGGATGTAGTGCTGTAGTCGATTATCCACACCACGATTTCTTTAAACTGTAGCCGCATTTGCCCCTTGTCCTTTTGGGATTTCGGACCAGTTTTGAGATAATCTATTCTGGGGAAAGTCCCAACTATTTGAAATTTGGAGACGACATATAAAATACCATTTGAAACTTTGACGCAAGATCTTGTCGGGTACAAGTATAAGAACCGGTACAGTGCGTATAATTCATCGCACATTTGCGTTGATACAAAGAATGATCTCTGCTGGCATTGACCAAGCGTCAGCACTCGCTTTCTTGTTCTTGTTACACCATACAAATGTCCAGCGGCTCAGCCTGCCGCGTACGGCATGTGGAGAACTTCCTAGAGCAACACTACCCGCATATTTTGCCTACCTCGAGACTGCTTCAAAGCAATCATTTCAAGATACGTAGGGGTACAAGTCTCTCAACTCCCAATAACATGATCCTTCCTTAAAGTCGTTTGGAGATCGTCTCTAAGCGAATACTCTGGACGAGGAATGATAATCAGACACTAGTCTTGATCATACGTTCCTATGATACTCTTAGAATAATGTGTCTCAGACTATTGTCGTCATTTGCGTACGAATGGCCCTATTTCCATCGCAGATTGTCTACGAATAGGAACTAGCATCTCAGACTATTGTGTTGTCCATCCTAGGTTCTTGAAAACAAAAAAAGTAATGAATACGATATTCAGGTACAGAGATTATGCGTCAGAATCTGCGACGAAAAAGCAAGGCGTCTTGAACAACGGGAGAAACACTGGGGAACGGGGCAAGGAAGAAATTTCAGAAGGCATTACAACCAACCAACCGACTGCTATTCATATACCTAATACCGGAGATGGTCACGGCACGCAGCCACGACGTCGTCTTGTTCGAGGAGAAGGTCGCGTAGAAGATAATTGCTTTTTTGGAAGAAATTTCTCTTCTTCCAATCCTTCTATCGCTTCGAGATCGGCGATATATCAACGGGCTGACATGGTGCAGCCAAGTGGATAGATGGCGGCAAGGCCGGTGCTGCCACTCTGTTTGTGACCTACGCTAATCTGGGGATGGGGAGACTGGGATGAGAAGGCTGAGACTGTGAGGTAATTTTTATTTTCCTTCAAGCTTTTTCCTCCATCTGACCCCATGGAGATCAACCTGATTTGCACAAGACCAGACCATAAGCTCCAGGGCAGGGAAACCGGAGGCCGCCTGTGGCGTCTTGGCTGCTGCTCTTTATGCAGCGACAAATATGCAAGCTGGAGAGGAAAAGGAAACATGAGAGACAGCACGGTTGAAAAACTTCAGCAATTCTGTCCTTGAAGAATCTTCCTGGAAATAGATGATCAGGGCAGTAATAGGGAGCTGAGGAGGACAGCAAATAAATTACGCAAATGACGGTGCACTCGCACTGGGCGTCATCAATTGATTGAAACGCCTCTGAAGAAACGCACAGAGTAAAAGCATTGTAATATTGGTACTTTGGTATGTCGTTGATGTAGAGGATGACAGTCTCGACTTCGAGGGAAGTGATGAAGGTCGCGGAGAAAGGATTCGCCGCGCCCGTTCTCGCACCGCGTCGGGGAGCGCATTATACCGAGCCTCACTCGCGGCTGGTGACATTTATCGACGCATTCTTGCTTCCCTGCAACATTGAGGGGCTTTCATATTGTGCATGCTTTCTTCTTCGTTCTCTTAACCTTCTAGAAGTCTCAGAATAAATCATGCCACCTGCGAAATCCAAGGCCCAGCCTGACGACTCAAGGTCAGAAGCAAGCAGCACGAAAGAGAAGCTCGCGACGAATTCGTCAAGCGCAGTCAATGGCAAGGCTCGACGTAACGGTGCACCTGCGAACGGTGGAAGCTCTTTGAGAGATGTCGTATCGGCCGGTACAAGCAACGCGGTAGCAGGAAACTCAAACACTACAGCTGCGGAAACGAATCCTGGTGTGCGTGTAACTTTCGCGTTCTGGTCATGAAGCCTCACTAATATCCTTCTGATAGCTCCAATGGTCGACATTCGACCCCAACATCCTCCACGGCTACCGATACGACTATCGATTAAATACTCCTGCCGCCTTCAACAAACCATATAATCAACTCGTGCTCGCACGTTCTCCTATTGGCAAGATGTCGCCCACAATGGCGAGGCGGAAAGAACAGAGACGGCAAGGTAGCGATCAACTGGCAAACTCGGTTCGCAAGCATTTCAACAGCATGGGTATAATTGAGAACGAGGTCGTCGTGGATTTTCTATACAAAGTTCGCTGGCAAGGTAAGCTTTACTCCCTAAGTGGTTTGTTGAAGGTAGAAACTGACCGACATAGACAAAAACTTCAGAATGCGTTTCGCTCCCCAAAAGCCACGATAGCCGAGTGCCTTGCCTCAAGGAAATGCTCCAGAATATATGGGTTATGGCGTTATTCATGGATTCATGCAATTGAATCTCACTTGGAAAGGCGTAGAATGGATTCAAACGATCTCGATACCCAGTACTTGGAAGTACATATTGTGTTTAATTCGAAATTTCTACATATCAAATATGACTATCTTATAATATTTAAAGGACCTTACCGAAGGAGCATAACTTACGATGAGCATCCCGTTGCAAGACGAGTGTCTAGCATCCTAGAGTGCATAGCGGAGACTCTTCCTTGTTCATACTTATTGATCAAATGTCAGCCTCGCGATTCAGCCTTGCCATTTAAGGTTACGACAATTCGTTTTCTGCATGACGTCCTGGACCTCTATCAATTGTAGAAATCTCAATAGAATCTTTTTCTCACTGCCTCCAAGATTAAATATACATATAATTTATAAATATATCTATTTCAGGTATGACTTATATCAAGTGGACCAATACACTCTTTCCAGAATGCTCTCCATGGTTCTCGGCATTGCATCGGCCGGTAGGCATGGAGTTGTGACCAATCATGTTCGACCAAAAAAAGTTCTGGTCGCATCGACAACTCTAAAGTTTTGCAGCATCATTAAGCCTTCCAACAGTCAAACAAGTCTCGAACTACTAATCTTGACCGCATTCATCTCTATAGGTTTATCCGGACGAGTCGTCAAGCAGATGTGTTTCAATCTTACACCATGAAAACTGGAACGACGGGCCTTCTCATAAAGTCGGCCACGAGTAACTGGATCGTCGCCCCTGCGCGAACATCTTTACCACAATGCATACGAAACGATGGCCCAAGTAAACAGAAAAGATCGATAAGCTGTATCAGGACTACTCGGCCTCGAATCCCTTGTGCGACATCGTCAAGTTTACCATTATGCCACAACACGCAACAGAGGGTAAGTCATACTATCATCAACCAAAAAAACAATCCGGGCCAAACTAATATCTGTCAGTCATTTCACGCATCATCCCGAGCTTTAGCAACGAAGAATCCATACACGGTCCTCGGCGTAGATAAAGGAGCGTCTTCCGGAGAAATCAAAAAGGCATACTATGGTCTAGCAAAGAAGTTCCATCCGGATACCAATAAAGACCCCACGGCGAAGGAAAGATTTGCAGACGCACAGTCTGCGTACGAGCTTCTACAGGATCCTCAGAAGAAGGCAGCATGGGACCAATTCGGCGCCAGCGCCTTTGATCAAGGAGCTGGGCCGAGTCCAGGAGGTGGTGGTGATCCATTTGGAGGGGGTAATCCCTTCGCTGGTGGTAATCCGTTTGCTGGTGCTGGAGGAGGTTTCGGAGGAGGGGGCGGGTTTGGTGCCGAATTCAACTTCGAGGATCTTTTCAGAGGGTTTACAGGAGGAGGTCAAAGAAGATCGACTCGTGGACGCAATCCGTTTGAGGAAGAAATGCTTGTTGGAGATGATATCTCTGTCCAAACTACGATATCCTTTGCGGAAGCCGCGAAGGGTACGACTCGAACGATAAACATCCAGCCACTCGTAACATGTAAAACATGTACAGGAAACGGCCTAAAATCGGGAGCAAAGAGGGAAGAATGTAAAGCATGTGGAGGCACTGGAACACAGATGCATGTAATTCGTGGAGGCTTCCAGATGGGTTCTACATGTTCTGCTTGTGGTGGTCAGGGTATTAAAACTCCTAAGGGTGGTGAGTGTAGAACTTGCCATGGCAATGGTGTTGTCCGAGAAAAGAAAGCTGTGAATGTCACGATACCTGGAGGAATCGAGGATGGCCAACGATTACGAGTGCTCAATGAGGGAGATGCACCTGTGTCCGGAACATCTCAAAATCCCGAGGCGCGTGCGGCTCCTGGCAACCTTTACGTTCATATTTCGGTGGCTACAGACCCTAAATTCAGCCGCTCGGGTTCAGACATCTTACACACAGCGAGCATTCCGCTCACCACAGCTATTCTTGGAGGCGAGGTGACGGTGCCAACACTGGACGGAGAAGTCAAGATCAAGGTTGCTACGGGTACTGCTACTGGAGACAAGGTGACACTATCCGGAATGGGTATGAAGAAGTTAGACCAGCGAAGGATGAAAGGAGATCTCAAGGTTGAATTCAAGGTTCAAATGCCGAAATATTTGAGCGCCAGTCAGCGAACCATAGCGGAATTCTTGGCTGATGAGCTAAATGACAAGACGGCAAAACGAATCATGAATGTCAACCGAGAAAAGTAAGCTCCTTGATACCTGTTAACATTCTTCACAATCTGACTTTCTTAGTACCACGTCAGAATCTAGCAGTGGAGATAAAGGCGAGTCTCACAAGCACGAAGGGATCTTGAAGTCTCTTTGGCACAAACTCACCGACCACCCAGACCATAAGAATGGTTCAGAAAGTTCCTCCAAGAGCGACTCGTCATCTAAGGATGAAAAGACACCCAATGACGACAAGAAATCTTCCGGACCTTCGAGTTGATGGGATGGTGGTGGCATATTGTATAACAAATCTTGATGCATCAGCGCGGTGTAAAACATTATCGGGTGGCGTCTAGAGAGACTGTATATTTGATGGAATGGTTCTCCGCTTGGGGGTAGAGACATGTACATTTGAGTTAAAATAATTGGGTTTTGTGTATTACATATAGAGGTATACTCTTCTCCAGACCAACTTAGCCATAATTTATCTTGCTTTGAATAATTCGAATTGACATATGCCTGGCCGAACTATTGATCACACCTCCCCTTGACCGCTAGATCTTCACTGAAGAATCAAAGTTTCCCCTTGTCGGCGCGGGCCGCATCCCGCTAACGTCAGCGAGCGACAAATCAGCATGAGGCTTGCTTTCGTATTATCGTGACCGTGGCGGTGATATCGAGTCTAGAGCAATGTGATCGAAACCGGTCTAACGAATCGGCATTTTGAAAAGACAGCCAATACCGTCGTCGAGCTTGCGTGTCGTGGATGTCACTGGCTACTGACTTGCATGTTAGATCTCAGGGACAAGGCTTAGAACTACCTATATCCTGGAAAATAGGCGGTGTTTGAAGAGAAATGGAGGAGTAGCTTCGAGTCATATGTATAAAGGTGGTATGATGGAACTATCGAGGCATTAGTGAAGAGCGGATTGCATAACATCGCTACGCGAGAGTGGAATAGGGGGGATAGATGATAGGAATATGACAGTCTGCGATCTGACTTCCTAGCCCTGAATGACCTGTATCAGTCGGCGGCTAAGAAGATCAAAGAGGCAAAGGCCAACATCATCACGACCACGGCGTTTAAACAGTCCTCGATGATGGCATGAATTAGTCGCTGCGAAACAGCCAGCGCTTATACAATCGAAACGTCCATCGCCTTGCTGGCCGCGAAAACGGCCACATACTGTATGTCCTGTGGTTTGCCTGCAGGAGCTCCCCGTTTCCGCCGCTGCAGGGAACCGGCTGGATGTTGGAGTCCAACCAGACGTTTTCTTTCTGTCGTACGCTGTCATTGATACATACATTCCATCGTGAAAGAAACTCGCATTCACGAGGCCATTTTTTCTTGTATTCACCGTGTAAAGGGAATTGATTAGATGCATAACGTGCTGCATTTCCCTGCTACGACTCCGTCCTGAAGCACAGGTACGAAGCAGAAGCCCACGCAAACAAATCCACCCCTCACCACCCGCCTCTCGCACCATCTCATCAGGTCCAGGTCCCGCATCGACACACCTACACCCCCAACGCATCTCGTCACCACCTCACACAACCTCACCACCATTCCTCCCTCATCTCTCCTGGCGAAATCCGCAGAACACGCCCATCGGTCTGCAGACGTGTATTCTCGCTCCCTCGAGCTGCGCGCTCAGCGGTATCCGTCGTCATGCAAGCGCCCATGATCTCAGTGCCTCTCAAGGCCACCAACGAGATCGACTGGATCGAGCCGCTGAAAGGATACATCCGTAGCACGTACGGCGACGACCCGGAGCGCTATGCGGAGGAGTGCGCGACGCTGAACCGGCTGCGGCAGGATATGAGGGGTGCTGGGAAGGATAGCGCGGCGGGGAGGGATCTGCTGTATAGGTATTATGGACAGTTGGAGTTGTTGGATCTCAGGTTTCCCGTGGATGAGAATCATATCAAGATCTCGTTTACTTGGTAAGTCCGCTCTCTTGGAGGGAGACGGATGGGTGGACATGAGGACTAATAGGCATGTTGGCAGGTTCGATGCGTTCACCCACAAACCAACCGCCCAATACTCCCTAGCCTACGAAAAAGCCTCCATCATATTCAACATCTCAGCGGTATTATCATGTCACGCAGCCCACCAAACCCGATCCGAGGACTCGGGTCTGAAAACCGCATACCACTCCTTTCAAGCTTCCGCCGGCATGTTTACGTATATCAATGAGAATTTCCTGCATGCGCCGTCGACGGATCTGAGTCGGGAGACGGTGAAGACGCTGATACAGGTCATGCTCGCGCAGGGCCAGGAGGTGTTTCTCGAGAAGCAGATTGCGGATGGGAAGAAGGTTGGGCTACTGGCGAAGCTGGCGAGTCAGGCGGGGTATTTGTATGGGCAGGCGGTGGAGGGGACGCAGGAGAATGTTAATAAGGCGATTTTTGAGAAGGTTTGGCTATTGGTTGTTCAGGTATGTTCAATTCCGGATTTAATCTTGGTTTGTGCTGGAGAGATGGTTTGGTGGCAGACAGACAGTGGCAGAGGGTGAGGGACATATCACTAACGTTTATCCAGATCAAATCCAATTTCATGATATCCTTGGCACAATATTACCAAGCATTAGCGGACGACGACGCGAACTCACATGGCGTAGCTATTTCTCGATTAAAGGTTGCAGAAGTTGCAGCGAAGGAAGCGAATAAGCTGGCAAACTCCTTTCCATCAAACGTACCCGCGAACTCGAATCTCACCTCGGAAACCGGACCAGCTCTCTTCGAAATCTCGAAACGACATTTGGCGAATGTGCAGGAAAAGCTGGTGGAACTTGTGAAGGACAATGATTACATATACCACCAGACTGTTCCCGTGGAAGCAGCCCTGACAGTCATCCCAAAACTTCCAGCGGCCAAAGCGATACCAGTAAGCGAGTTATACGCAGGACAGGATATTCAAAGAATTACTGGCCCAGATATCTTCCAAAAAATTGTACCCATGTCTGTCACGGAATCAGCAAGCTTGTACGACGAAGAAAAGGCGAAATTGATTCGAGCAGAGACTGAACGTGTGGAAATTGCGAACAGTGAAATGGCTGCGAGTCTAGATTATCTGAGATTACCCGGAGCGTTAAACGTCCTGAAAGGTGGATTTGACCAAGAGATGACGGCAGACGACGAATTCCGTGGGTGGTGTGAGGATGTCGCCAGTCATGATCGTCCGAACAGTACTTTCGATTATCTGAAAACAAGAAAGGAGGACGTAATATCTGTACTTGATAAGAGCAGTAAGCAATTAGATATGGAGGAGAGTGTTTGTGAGAAGATGAGATCCAAGTATGAGCACGACTGGACTCAGCAACCAAGTTCGAGATTAACCTCTACGCTACGGAGTGACATCAAGAATTACAGAGATGCTTTGGAGGAGGCTGCGCGGAGTGATACCCAATTATACAGCAAGATGCGACAATATGAGGCTGATTTTGACGAGATGAGATCGGCTGGTCAAATGAATGAGGCTGATGTGTTATTTCAAAAGGCACTAACTCAGGTTGGTGGAGGAAAGAATGGAAGCCCAACCGGACAGGGTAGTCTGCTGGATGATGATTTTGAGGATAATGGGGTTAGTGTTATGGATCAGGTCAACAAGGTTGAAGAGATTATGAAGAAGATGAACCTACTAAAGCGCGAAAGAGCGCAGGTACTGAAAGACTTGAAGGAGAAGGTTAGTTTCTGGCGAGATTTTTGATGGGACTCTGCTAATCAGCCTAGGTGCACAATGATGATATCTCACAAGTGCTCATACTCAACAAAAAGGCCATTTCATCATACGAAAATCAGCTCTTTCAGGCCGAGCTTGAAAAGTTCCGACCTCACCAGAATCGATTGTTACAGGCAAACCATAAGCAAAGCTCCCTGATGAAAGATTTAACCGCTACATTCAATGCATTATTACAGGATAAGAGGGTTCGATCGGAGCAAAGTAAATATGAGAATATTAACAGACAGAGGACGACTATTATGAACAAGTACAAGAAAGTCTACCAGGAATTTTTGGATCTTGAGGCTGGGCTTCAAAGTGCGAAGCAGTGGTATAGTGAGATGAAGGACACGGTTGATAGTCTGGATAAGAACGTGGAAACATTTGTCAACAACCGTCGATCCGAGGGAGCACAACTCCTGAATCAGATCGAACAGGAGCGAGCTGCCAATGCAAGTGGGCAGGCTGACAGGGAAAGAGAGAGACTTCGAGGACTTATGGAACGAATGTCTATGGATCCTTCGACGTCTCCTTCATCCAACAAACCACCTCGTACTGGTTCTGCTGGAGGATATCAGAATCCATCACCAACAACAAGATACCCATCAACCAATTTCGCTGGGCAGTATCAAGTATCCGCATCTCATCAGAATCCTCAAACCATGGCACAATCACATGGAAACCTCTCATCATTTACACCTCCAAACAACTCCCAATTCGCGGTACCACCTCAAAAGCGTCATCCTCCAGATATCTACATAGCCAACAAACACGCTTCCGCCATCCCCCAAGGCGCCTACAACCCCTCAACCTACCACCCCCGCGAAAACCCCAACCAACTCTTCTCCGCCCCCGCCAACCAAACACATTTCGGCCAAATGTCTCCACCACCCTCACAAACTCAATTCGCGCACATGTCGCCACCGCCTACGCAGACGAGGTTCGATCCAGGGCAGTATGGTAGACAACAACCTACGAGTCCGATGCCTCAACAGCAGTTCGTGCCAGCGGGATACGTTCCCCCGCCTCCGCCGCCGGGTCCGCCGCCGTTGGGTCCCCAGCAGACTTTCCCGGGCCAGAGCGAGTATGGGCAGCAGAGGCAGAGTACGCCGCAGCAGGGGGGCGATCCTTGGGCGGGGTTGGGTGCTTGGAGGTAGCAGGATGAAGGGGGTGGAATGGGGTGGAAGGGTAGGGGACTGGGGGGATAGGATATATTAGGATTGTGGATAGGGATTAGTGGGAGGGTAGGAGGATAGGAGGATAGTGGTGATGTGCTAAGACGAAGACGATGATGGGAATACGCATAGATAGATAGGTTGGACGAGGAGTTTTTTTTGGTGGGTGCGGATTAGGGTGGTTAGTAATATGAGATGATATATCTATTTGAGATATTTTTGTGCTTAAAGGTTTGGGAGTTTGGGGTGACAGGTGAGTTAAATGAATTGGGTACTCTAATTCGCCAATCCATTCTCCTGTGAATATCCCTCCCATCCTCATTACACTCTCTATAAAGCGCTCTCGACGTATAGTTTAACTATATAATAATCTATTACGTAGCATACAGGCAGGGAAGAGGTTCAGTATATTGAACAAGTCTAAGTTTAGGTATAGGTAAGCTCCTAATATACATTTCCAAGCACAGTCCGTACGTGCCAGAAAACCGTCTAAGCTAATTACGAGTGGTGTGTATATACTACGTCTGTAACACAATCGATCGTTAGGCCAGCGGGGTTTTCTGACTTGCTTAGAGTGGTTTCTAGGATTGATGGATGGGCTGGCGGGGTTGGATATTTAGTCCCGTTTTTATGTGAAAAGGGGGGTCTGGAGAGGTGATGGTGGTGGGTAGATATTATATGTTTGGTGATAAGCGAATAGGTGGGTGTTGGATGGTGGATATGTATAGGTGGAGTATAGATAGAGTGGGTTGGGTTGGGATAAGGCTTGTTTTTGTTAGGGGTTGACTACGAAGGTTCATGATGACGGGCTGGCGGGAGAGATGAAGAGGAGATCAGCGTGATTGTGCTTTCGTTTTGGGGTGATGTAGAATCTAGATGGGGGGTCTTGGATTACTGTTTAGAAGGAGAATGAGGGGATGAGGGTACGGATGTTGGTGTGCTGTGATGGAGTGTTTTCTAATGTGTTTGATACGCTTTAGTTGGTTGGTGATTGAGATGGGGGGATGTTAGAATGTCGTTAAGTGTTGATGCATCTTCAGTACCGGCTGACTTCACCCGTATTAATTCCTTCCACCATCACTCTCTCTTCTCTTCAAAAGAAAAACGGGTATCATTCAAACCTTCGCCCCAAACCTCTCCCTATACTCAACCATCCTCTTCCTATCCCCCTCTCCCCCCTCCTTGTCCCCTAACGCCCCAATAATATCATCCATCGACAGAATACTCAAAACCGGCACGCCAAACTCCTCCCCAATCATCCCGATAGCGCTCCTCCCCCCCTCATCCCCAGGAACCGTCTCCATGCGATCCAACGCCACCAAAATCCCCACCACCACGCCCCCCTCCCCCCTAATCTTGCCAATCGCCTCCCGTTTCGCCGTCCCCGCCGTCACAACATCATCCACGATCAACACTCTCTTCCCCTTCAGCGGCGCCCCCACGATCCCCCCTCCCTCGCCATGATCCTTCACCTCCTTGCGGTCAAAACTATAACACAGATCCGCGTACCTCTCCGGCGCGAGCTCGCCCAGTTTATCGACCGTGCTGGTGGCGAGCGGGATACCTTTGTAGGCCGGGCCGAAGAGGATATCGAATTCGACGGCCGGGCTGGCGAGGAGACAGCGCGCGTAGGCGGTGGAGAGGGCGCGGAGGAGCGAGGCCGTGTAGAAGGAGCCGGCGTTGAAGAAGTAGGGGGATTCGCGGCCGGATTTGAGGGTGAAGGTGCCGAATTTGAGGATACCGGCGGACATGCAGGTGCTGAGGAAGTCTTTTTTGTATTGTGGGAGGGACGCCATCTTGAGGGTGAATTCTGGATCTGAAGGAGTGTAGAGAATTGAATTGTTAGGCGGATGTATGGAGGTGGAGGGGAGGAGTGGAGGGGTACTCGAGTATAAGAAATATTTTTCAGGGGTGGGGCTTAGCGAGGGGTCGATAACGATAAGTTTATGGTCACGTGCTCCACAAGATCGATCACCATAACCATTGTGTTAAAAATGATTTCCTGGTTGTAGAATAGTGAAACTGAGTGACTAGATATGTCTGCTCCTCTGATATCACCTACTCTTCCATCTGCCTCCACCGACATTTCTCCCAAGCCCATCATCCTCAACATCCTCACACCCGGTCTCTGCCACCCTTCTCTTATGCGCCATGCTATATTCCCTCTGAACATCGTCGCAAGGCTTGGAAAAGCTTTGGTAGCTTTTTACGGTATCTTCCAAAATGTACAAGACACCTCAGATACAGCATTATCGAGTATATCATAACAACAAACTCACAACATAAGGTCTTTGTATCGAGTCTAGTATTTTGACATAGCGTAGCTACTCAATTTATTCTATGCGATAATACTCATCAAGTCCGAGGTTTGCTACATCACCGCCTGTTTTGCTAACCACCCATTTTGGCGTCATGAAAATCATCTCCGAATTCCAAACTCTCGCTCAGGACACAATTCCCCTCGTAAGAAATTTAGATATAAGCCTTGTACTCCCCAACACCCACAAACGCCATCCATCGAGTCTAAAGAAGAGAAACCTCTTAACGAGAATTGGTCTTACCCATTCCACGCTTTCCAGAGAACTATACATCCAGTTAGTAAACAGTCCCAGCAAAATTCAGATATATGAAATAGAAAACATACCAAATGCTTAGGCATAGCAGCAGGAACATGCCTATCAGCCTCACCCTGCCTAGCCATACGATTCATCTTTCTCTGGCCCAACTTCTGAGCCCTCTCAGCCTTCGTCCTAGCAGTCTCATTCGTAACACCATCATCACGTCTATTACTCTGACTTCTCGCCCTGCTCTTCGCTCTCATCTTCGCTTCATACGCTGGATCATCAACATCCATAGCATCCTCGGTACCAGTACGGCTACGTAATGGAGTACGGCCACGAGATTGGGAGCGAGCGCGGGAGACGATAGATGTGGTATCGAAACCGAGTTGATCAAGTTGGTCGTCCATGTCCGAGAGCTTCTTGCGGGTAGATGAGCGGGGGATTATGGCGCGATTCTTGAGGGATTTCTTCATCTTGGCGTCGTTGCGGATGAGCGTTTGTTTTTCACGGATGATTTCAGCTTTCATTCTGATATCTGCGTCTTCGTCGTCTTCAATTGATTCGTCAGAATCATAGTAACCTTCTGCTTCGAGCTTCTCTTCCTCGTCCTCGAGAGCTTGGAGCTTAGCTTCGATATCTGGGTCAACGAAATCGGCAATGTTCTTGCCGTCGAATATTTCAGGAATCTTGTCATGCTTCCACTCGTCGTTTGCAAGTAGGTATTTATCCTTGAGATCAACGTTGAAAACACCAGCACCTCCATTCTCTTCCTCAAGATCCCTAGCGAGCTTCCGGCGTTCTGGATCCATTTTGTCGTATTTCTTCATCTTCTTGACAGCATCAGGAATGAATGCCTCGCGAACAACGCCGTCCATCGGTCTCGCGACATGGATTCTGTTGAGAACATCTCCAAGTCTTCCACCGACAGTTCCGCTACTGTTTGTGCCAGACTTGAGTTTCTGTGCAACTCTGTCTGCGATTAACCGCTCACAAGCCGCATTCTTGACTTCCTGAACACCCTCCTCGGTTGTGCATGAAAGCTGCAACATCTCCACATCTCCCGGCTTCAACAGAGCTTGAAGTGCAGCCTGGCTCTCCTCATCCAGGTCTTCTGGTCTTGTAACATCAATCTTATTGATAACAATAAACACCAACTTATTCGCAAACAATGGCTTGATACTCTGGAAAAGTTGCATCTGCGCCTGAACCGTATATCCACACTGTTCAGACAAATCCATAAAATAAAGAATCGCAGACCGTAAATGCGCGATCGCAGTAATCGACTGCATCTCAATAGTATTCATCTCCTCCAAAGGATGGTCGAGAATACCCGGTGTGTCAATCGCCTGAAATCGTAGGTATTTATAATCGAAATGTCCCACGAACAAACTCTTGGTCGTGAAAGCATATGGTTGAACATCGACATCCGCTCTCGTAACACTCTTCAAAAAGCTCGATTTGCCCACATTAGGATATCCACAAATCAACAGCGTCCTGGTATTCGGATCGATACTCGGCAGACGACCGAGATGCTGTCTGACCTGATCAAGATACAACAACGGATCTTTCAACCGTCTGCAGATCGTGGCCATTCGTCCCAACGCCGCACGTTTAAGCTGTTTACACTGGAACAACGACTGCGCATATTTCAAAAGCCGAACGTAGTCGCGCGAGACAATCTCGATGAGATGTTTAGCCGTGGAGAGCTGACCGAGGGCAATGCGGAAATGGTCGGCATCGTAGAGGGTATTGAGGAGATCTTTGTGGAAAGGATGGATATCTTGTAATCGAGGGAATCCGTCGAGGATAAGAGATAATTTCTCGCTGAAAGTTTCGGCCGTGAATTTCACCTTTCTAGTATAGAAATCTAATCGACAGATATTAGTAGATATCCTTCATCCCCCGCATTCTTTCCGCACATACTTCTAATTCTCGAAATCTGGAAACCTGCTCGAATCTGTGTGGGCAATCTCCTCTGCGTGCGACTCAGCACGATATCTAGAAATTCCTGGCTCGTAGGCACAGGTTGGATGTCCTTCCATGTCGTCTTCATAATGGGCAACCGTTGTTGTTGGGAAATTGTCGAAAAGGTCGGGTTGATCTTATCGTGATTTTTTTTGAACCGCCTCCGCAATTTTTTGCAGCGAGGGCAAAAATTCGGATCTATTGGTGGGGCTGCAGCGCTATCCACATGTGACTAGGGATACCACTAACGCCGAAAATGCTCTACAAAGACTACCTACTTAGCAGAACAGAGTAGTAATGTAAATAACTGAAGAGAGTTTGATTAAGCACAGAGTAATCGCGATTTCTGTAGTGAAACTAGATTTCTCATCTTATTTCGAGGAAAACAAACGTGATTCTGGCGTATATTTGAGAGATGGTCACCACCCACCTAGAAAATGCAGAACAGAAACTAATAAAAAGCACCATGACTTTCTCCCATGTTCATATGGACTTCAATATTTCAAAGGGTTACCAATATCAAAACTCCTCATATAATATGTATACTCATGTAAACAGCTCAGTGCGAAACAAATTCAGGCATCCTTCCAAAATGGGTATCTCAACACCTTCCCCAACCACAAAATATTCCCTTGATAAACATTCATAAGTAACGCCTATCCATATCTTGCTCGAGCTTCTGGTTTCTTGACTTCGTAGACCTAGAATAAGTGAGCAATGATGTGGTAAACAGGGACAAGAATAATTACCATGTCGATCCAATTTCCTCCACAGCCTTTTACTGCACTTGGTCCTTTACTCACGAAGCCGAGTTTTTCGTACCATTCGACTTTTTCCTAATTTATCGTCAGCTTGTGGGCCTAGCAATTCCCAAGTCTACCCTCTAGATGTCTTGACTCGACATTGGAGGACGTCTCGCTTGATATGAGCCGAGAAGGATGAATGCAAACACTCCAACGACCTCAGTCAACCAAAAGAACGTAGTCAAACATACCTCATGAGCCAACAAAGCCAATCGATCAGCAACACCCGAACCAGCAATAGAAGAAATGTAACTCTTCATCAAGACCCCACCCATACCACGTCCCTGAAATCCAGGTGCGATAGCCACACTATGTAGCACGACCGTCCTTCCTTGTTCTTGATGTCCAATTGCACCGTGGCCGGATAGATCATCTTGTCCTTTCTTGACGTCGCCGATGGTGCTTTCCCAGTCTTTGGGGTAGTCCATGGAGGCGTCTGTGCATGTTGGTGAGGTTGTTTTGCTTGACTGTTGAAGGTTAGTATTTAAAACTCATGTTGTCGCATTCTATGTGAGGTTTGTTGCTGATAGCAGGCATCACTCCCCAAGAAACTGAGCCTGTATAAGAATCCTGTAATGGACGACCAAGTAGAGGAAAAAAAGTCTTCAACCTCATCTCCCCCATCAACCGCACCACCAAACTCCCCTGCCCCTCCCCCTCCCCCTCTCACCCATCGCGCCCCCAAAACACAAAAAGAACGCAAAACTCACCACAACATGCCCCAACATAACACTAACCGCCCCATCATCCCTACAACTCTCCACCAACCTCGCCGCTCCCAAAGTCGGACTCTGCAAACACTTCGGACTCGGGACAACCGTAGTGAAAAGCCCAATACAAAGTTCTCCACATTTCGTGAGACGATATCTCAACTGCGCTTATAATCAGCCTTGTTCACCACCCAAACTGACTCATCACTCGAACCCATCAGACCAAACCACCATCCACAAAACCCAAGACAAAAACAACACGAAAGAACAAAACAAACCTTTTCCCGACTAGCCCTCTCCACCTCACTAAACGCGCTATTCTCCAGCGCCTCACAGCTATCCAGATCCGAAATCGTGAGGGGTCTCACGTACGGATGCAGGTTTCCCGTGACCTTTGAGGAAGACATGGAGTTGATGGTGAATGCTTTGGTGGGTTCTGGGGAGGAGGGGCCTGTAATTATTAGACCAGAGGTATGAGGAAAGAGGGGAGGTGAGTGAGGGTATGAGAGGAGAGGAGAGGGTATGGGGAAAGGGAGGGTTGATATGAGGGTTGAGGATAAGACGGGAGATGAGAGGACATGAGAGAAGAGAACAAACATACCAGACATACGATTCGGACTCTCACTCAACGTCGGCGGCGACGCCGTTTCTCGTTCCCGATTATTCTCGAGATCCAGATCCAGATCGCGGGGCATGATTAGTGTGACCTTTCTTGGCTCTAGCTTCCTTCCAATATCTCTTGTATCTTCTTCCCTTCTCTATCTCCCTTATCCTCTTCTATACTCTTGTCTCTTCTCTTCTTCTCTTCTATTCTCTTCCTCTGCAGTACGAACACGATGTAAGAACAAGAACACGCCCTGTGGCTGGTAGAAAGAAACCTCACCACCTGCACCCGCCAAGGTAGGCAGAAGGTAGGCAAACACAACCAGAGCCACACCTGCACTCACCTCAACCAAGGTTTGTTCAGCTGAAAAGTGGGGCCAAAGATCACCTAGCCGAACCGTCAATAAGCGAGAATCGGCCTCGAGCGAGCCCAGGGGAACGAGGATACAATTGTAATAGGACGCCACCTGGTAGATACTGCGTAACTTACCCCTCCACACAGCCACCTCATCAAGGTTCAAATCTTACAGATGAGAGGAGATGTATGGTATGCAGCTAAGTTACATATATATCCCGCATACGGGCAGCAGAAATTCGCGCGATGGGCAACAAGTTCTCCAAGAAACAATGATCCGTTCACTTCAAACTCGGGAATAGGAAATGCAGATCTAATCAATGCCAAGTCCTCACATTACCATATCACATCACATCCATATCAAATCACATCCATATCACACCCATTTGAAATAATCTCAGTGCAATTCCTGTCGCCAGGCGTCTAAGATACGTTACCTACCTACCTACCAATCAACCATATATAAATTACATTCCTTCCATACAAAGTCCATTTCATTCTCATTTCATTCCTTTCCGCTTCAAACTCCGCTTCGCTCTCAAACCAAAAAATCCCGCAGACAAACAAATGCCGCATCAGATCCGAAAACAAGAAAGAAGAATAGACTCGTCGCGCGAGATCAAAGGGTCCTTCCTTCCCTCATTATGTTTCGCAGCCCATCCAAAATATCCTATCGCAAAACGTTCCTAATGCATCTCATTCGTAAAATCATCATCTAATAAACTCGCTGGTGGGGGAATCTCAAACGTATCGGGAGGGTGATCGCTATGTACGCCTCCAACGCCGGTCAATTCCGCAGGGTATAGTGGGTGGGAAGATTTCGAAGGGGTGGTGTTGGGGGAATCCGCTACTGTTGCTCGCGGTTCCTCGGTTTCGAACTTGGTCCTTATGTCCAAGTCCTTTTCTTGTTCTGTGTGCCTTAATCCTTGGGGGTATCGGCTGCTGTGTTGTTCTGAAGCTGTTATATCCATTACTGATGGTTCTTCTGTCGATATAAAAGTCTTCTCATCGAGAGGGTTTGAACCAAGTGGAGGAGTAGTCTCGACCATATGCTCTGGGTAGTTTTGCGACTGTGACGCATTCGATGAGATAAAATCCATTGGATCTGTTTCGTTTGGGGTATATCTTGTAGCAAAGTCAACGTAATCAAAGCCAATGCTGGAATCGGCTGAAAATTCATTTGTACGTGGGTGTCCACCTCGTGAACTGGCGGGAGAAGGAAGTCCTGGCGCCGCATGTGAATCGCGTCCGTCTTGCGTGTCATTCAAGTATTCGGATCCAGGGCTTGAGTCGGGCAGTGGTGTGGATTCTGGGGTTAATATGCTGGTCCTAGGTGGGGGATAGTTGGCCTTTGGATATGGAATGCCCGAGAAGAAAGGAACAGTCCCGGCAGTTTCTGTCCTATCTGGTGCTGGAGGTGATCTTCCTCGTCTGGGATAGAAATCCTGGTCATCTGAAATGTCAGTCACAGCATAATCATGAACATTGATGGAGCGGTCCATTCCCGAGGAGCTGTACGGTGGGCTGTGGATTCCAGACTTGTATTGGTAACTTCCATTGGGTGGAGACTTTTCGTCGACGTACTGTGCATCGACAACAATTGGAACTGGCCGGAGTGGAGCCTCGTGGAATGTGTCCTCCATTTCAGGGAATATTTTCAACAATGTTGAAGCTTGCGAACGAGATCTGGGATCAATGCTAAGACACCGATTGCAAATATCTAGAAAGTAGTCAGGAATTTCCGCAGGAAAACGGCTCACATCCAAAGGTCTTTGGGTTTCCGGTTCATCGTGTTGAGTGGCCAGAGCGTAAAGGACCATTCCCAGCTGGTACAGATCAGATTTGACTCCAATATACATCGAAATACGTTGATTGCTTTCAATCAGATCACGGACTTCGGGGGGTTCCCATCCTACAGGACACCCGCGGCGGTTGATATCAATTATTTTGGCGTTATCGTATGCGTCAATGACGATATTTGAAAGTGTGAAATCTCCTTGGACGAAGCCGGCCTCGTGAATTTCTGAAAGACCTTGAACAATCTGTCTTGCCCACCGTTCTCGTCTTCTCCATGGTAAATGACCCTCTCCGTCGTAGATCACGTCAATTAAAGCTCCTTGCTCCGCGAAACTAATTAGAAGGCCTTTCACATGTTCGCCCTTATTATCGAGAACAACGCCACCAAACTGAATGACACTGCGAGAGCCTGAAAGTTGATGCAAAGCATTAATTTCATAGAGAAACTCATCCACTGTATCTGGTCCAGGAATCTCCTTCTTGATAAAGACCTGTCCATCTACTCGAACCTTGTAAACGAAACCTGACAGATGAGAGTCAAATACAAGCTCATCTTCTCGGATCCTTCTGCAATTCAAATGGTTGATTGATCGGACTGCGGGGTATTGGATGATTTCAGACACATCTTCAACCACGTGTACATGCAGTCGTTCATTTTCCGTCTGCAGTTTCAAATTCGTGACCGTGTCGTAGAACTGAATATCAGGGAGCGACTCTCGAATAGCCTCATAGATCCGAGCACTCTTGTCCCTCTGGAACTTGGTCCGCAGCAATTCCTCCTCTAGAGACCCCTCTGGGGCATTTCTGTAATCTAACGAGACTGTGACTCGTCGCCAGTACGTCGGCGTTTCTGCAAATGTAACGAAAAACTTTTCCCTTTTTGACTTGTCTCGGAAATGCATGCTCAGATTCAAAATCCATCTCTTCTCCAGCTCCTCCAGTATCATCTCGTCAAACGCTTCTGTTGATATTGAAGCCGTGTCGATGGCCGAGGGCGCCTTTTCGACATCTACGTAATCGTGAACGACCTTGTCATCTCGTACTGTTTGCACAGCCAGTTGACCTTCATTCAGCAGTGAATCAATGGTATCTTTGTTCTTCTCAATTTCCAATAATTCCGGCGCGCTCATTCTCGGCGAGCTAGCCACCACGCTCGACGAGCCTCGATCTGAAAGGTTTCGTCTTCGATCCACCGATAACGTTCTCCGGTCATCAGGTACGTGAGGTTCCAATCTATCTCTCTTTTCGGATTGTTGTCTTTTAAAGGTTCCCGGACGCGGTAGTCCTGGCACCACCTTCCGCGACAACCGGCGAGCGATGCCTGGTCTCTGCGTATCCTCCTCCAATGGCGCCGGTGGAGTATTGCTACTCTCATCCTTCCCGAACAGCTTCCTCCATGACCACGTCGATTTCGCATCTGTCGACGCAGCTCTTGCCTTTGGTTTCTCTGTTTGAGCCATTGTGGGGTGAAACCCGCCCGGGGAACTGGACAACACGATCAGCAAGGATGGCCTACACAGAAGAAATGCAGATATAGAATTGGATTCCCACATACTCTGCGGGGGTGGAGACTAGCCGCTTGCTGGTGAGTTCGTCGCTGCCCTTCAATATGTGGTTGTGAGCAGTTCCGAACTCGAATTGGCATGTCTGCACGCGCGAGCTGGTGTACACCGTAGCATGCACGTATCCGAGGACAACAGCGTGGTCAAGATCAACGGCGCACTCCTATTCTTGTAATTGCGTCTGCGTATCATTGCATTGGGATGACGAGCGGGCAGGAGAGGGAGTCGAGGGGGTCAGTCGTTTGTTTATGAAATATAAGGCGGTCGGGCTGGCGTCGATTGGTATCCGTCAGGGTATTTTGGCAGGAGGACGGGGCCGACAGGCGAGTGGCAGGGAACACAAAATGCTCCCATTCGGTGCCGCGCTTTGGGTTGCAGCTGCAGTGGTCGGAGCACTGCGAGCAGGTGGATTTGCGTTCGTACAGGAGGGTCTGATGGGGTCTGATGGGGGAGTTTGCAGTGCTCCTCCTCCAGTCCAGGACCAGTTGCCAGAAAATAAAATGCAGGGCGGTGGCTGGGGGCGCAGCGGAAACGACAGCACACAACAGGCAGAAGAGTACAGGCGAGACAGTGCAGATGGGGAGGGACATTGAGGATGAGGACGAAGGGCGTAAAGAGGGATATGGACCATTGGCTTGTTATTCATCTGTTTGTTGGCCTCACTTATTTTGATCATTTATTGCAAGTTGAAGCGCTTCTAGTCCTTCAATCCCACGAGAAACTGTAATAAATAATATAGAAAGAATTATGTGAACACCTCGAGTTAAGCGGGAAAAAGGGGGAGGAGTCTGGATGGTGTGAGAGAAGATGCAGACCCGTTGACTCCTAACGGGAAGCTCCACTGAAGAACCAGTCTCATAGTTTCTTCTTTATGATCTATAAAACATCCCCCATGTATTTACCTTCACCGCCGTACTCGAGTACTCACAGTAATAAGACAGTCTTGAGCCTCATAATTCCTTTTCCCAACAGAGATTTCGCTTCCGAGGCCAACAACTCCATGGGTTCAGAGAGGACTTCACCGTTTCTGGTGCCACCACATAACACGCAATTCCTTCATACGGCCTGCCTCATGGAGGACATGTTGGAGACCTTTCCTGACCATCGAGCCAATCCCACGGCCCAGATAAATACTCGCACGAGAGAATTCCCTGATTGGCAGCTGTCGAGTCCACGTTCCATTTCATCCGATGTTCAACTTACTCATTGCTGACCAGAGCGGGAATGATTGACTACGCACGAAGATTCATCATCAGAATAAGAAAGGAGTGATGTTCCGTGGGCTGTGATTATTGATGGCTGGAGCAATTGACTTATTAAGTCAAGCCAGTCATCTCAGCAATTCCTACTCACCAAGATCAAACCCATCCTTAGATGTGCTGCTTGAGGTTTTCAGGATGCATCCATAAGGTCACAGGCTGCATTAGTTACACAATAACACAGCATTTACGAGGTCTTAAACGTGCTCATCAAAATACCCGTGGCCGAAAATGCACCATGATGAGATATTTTACAACTCACCAGAGTCACCGCAATTATCAAAAATATGACTACTTTCAAACCAGCATTATATCCTGTCTCACATATAAGTCAAGTCTTGCACTCGGTGTTGATGTCAATGCTTTCTTCACCGACTTCTCGAAAGCTCTCCTTCTTTCCCTATCCAGCTAGTAAGTTTCAACACCAACACTCCCCTATTTCCATCCAACAATCCCTTCACCGTCCTCCCTCAATCTCACACGTCAACAATACAAAACTTCACCAACCCGTCCGTCTCTTTGACATCTTACCACCCCTCCTCCCATTCGACCACAACCACCACGATTCTCGCTTACACAATCTGATACCCAACCCCAAATCCCGCGCAACACACGCACCTTACTCTATCACCTCTTCCCATCACACCACCCCCCAATTTAGCAGAAAATAAACATCAGACGAGGCGTACGGAGCACCGTCATAGCCAAACCCCCCCATCACAACACCCATAATTGCTGCCCAACTCATCAAACCAGCGCATTCAGGTCGCCATGAGGCGTGTGGAGCCCACAGCTCTGGATGGAAGACGTTACACGTATGTCGGGTCCGATCCTTTCTGGCTCACCCGGCTTAATCTGGTTCAATCTATAACCTTACCTGTTGGGCCCCTGCGGCCTGCGTCTTGCCTGCAGTTTTTTCGCACATAGCTTGCAGTGTGGTGCATGGCTGACAAGGCGAGGCCCGATGGAGGGGGAGCTTCGAGGGAGGAAGGTTTTTGGCTATGGCTCGTCCCGTTTGCCCCGCTGTGGGATGTACGTTGCTAACTCACTTGTCTCCAGCATTTAGATGTCCACAATTGAACGCTCCGTATAGCCCCATATGGTCGGATTGATCAATTCGGGAATCCTATCCAATTCCAACATCTTGACATCAAGAAGGATATTGTTCGGCGACCGTGTTTCTCTTTGTAGCACGAAACATGCAGTCATCCCTGAAGTTGCTGTTTCCCAACCGAGTCCCTTCATCACGAGTTCCGGAGCTACCCCCTCCTCGACAACAACGTCCTTGGACTCGACAATGTTACAATACCGACTTCATCCGTCACAAACTTCCGTATCTTAGATCGTGGCTAAGAAGTGTCTTCTGCGTACAGTAAAGCTCTTAAGCTTCAGCCCAAAAATGGCGTCTTCATGCAAGTCGCCTCACGCAAACCACTGGTCTGCACTTCTGCAAACCTACATGTACGAAAGTACATTGGGCACGACTTGAATTTGGTATGCATGCACGCATCCTATTTATGCTTCGATTGTATGAGCAGCGGGTTGTTTTCGTATCTTTATTTCATACTCAATCTCATTTCACTTGCGGTTACCTGCGCAGGCTTTGACTTCAAGTAAAGTTACTTGAACATTTCATTTCAGATACATACTCAAGGCAGGCAAGCATCATCAAATGAGGCGAGTGCTTCCCCCTCCCGTATAATTCTCTACTTCTGATCCAAGAATTTTCGTCGTCACATCGCGCTTTGCGCTCATAATCTAAGTGGTCACTTCATACCGTAACATTATGTCATTAGGCAAGATCATATCTCGAGACGAGAAGTGGGATATATCCACCATTGGTCGATAATGAAGGTCATCCCGTACTCCCTCCCGCGGGATAATTTTGCCATTGGATGTGGAATGTGTCTTTGTCAGGCGGACTTGATACAGTGGAAAGCGAGCGAGAGATGTGCTTCGATGAGTGGCTTATTATCGTCTGTCGAAGAGCCAAAATGCAATTGGAGATGTTGTAGAGATGTTCTTCTGTAGGTAATCCACATGTTAAACGTTCACAGTTGATAGGTATGCCGTTTGTGACAACTCACTCTTACCCGAGGAACTTGAGGTACAAACAATTGGATACCGTCTCCCTTTCCGTCTTCAAACAACATCCCAATCCTCACAATTAAAAAATCACTAAAGAAATATCTCCCTGCCCAGCATATGAATCCAGAACTTCTTCCCAGTCTCACACTCATCAGAGAGAACATGGTATGTAGATCACACCCGTCCTCCTTTCCGAAATCATCCCAGATATCCCTCTTTTTCTTGAATCATCGGACCTCCCCAACAAAACTACACATCTCCCCTTTCCATATCAAATACAAGAGACCCGCATTTCTCTCTACGACCAGTCTCGAACCTATACCACCATGATGCCTCAATCTAAGATTTCACCAAAGCATCCTTAACAGAAACACACTCCCTATTCCATCTACCTTACAGCCAGATACCCACTCCATCATCCCGTGGCCATCCCCTCGTAGTACCAATGCCATTTAACGTGTCACCCCTTGATTGAAAATTCGAAAATATAAAATGTCAGATATGTATAAGGTACACTTATTTAATGGGAAAGTGGTTTGACACGATGTCTCTTCACTTAAAATTCCTGCCAAAACTAGTCCCCAGATAATCCCAACTAAATCTTCATCCACATGCCAAATATACATCCAAATATCCATCCATCCCGTCCTCTAGCCTTACTACCCAAGATGAAATCTCACACCACGGGATACGTGTCCATCAAAAAAAAAAAAAGCCAAACCAGAGCTGTCGGCAGGTCCGTACGCCGACCAGCCATTCTCACAGAACGTTCCCATATCCCACACGATATATCTAGCTATCGATGAAGTCCTGTATACCTCCCTCAATTTACATCTATAACTATGTCTATCTACTCCTTCAACATTCCCCAGAACCCCACCTCCCACAGTCTAAACTCGTGAGAAATGTCAAGGAATCTGTTGGTAGAGTCGATGATAAGGATTTCACCAAGACAAAAAAGAAAAAGGAACAACAAAGAAAAACCAAAGGATGACATTGTTTCTTCCGACGCATGGTGAGTCCCACATCTAGAAATCTCGGAATGCGTATGGGGGGATTGTGAGGTTCGATGCGAAAAGACTTTATCCTTACCAATGCCGCGATACGTCCCGACGAGTAGTGGAGCGCTGGCGCGGGAAGATGAGAAGTCTCATCCTAATCCTCACAATGAGGCGGATACCAAATATAAAGTCATAATCTTATACATTCAATTCTCCACAAACACACGAGCCCACCTCTTACATCAACTATCTACACAACACTTCACCCAAAGTGGAGATTTCCCTTTAGACCACCATCTTATGCCATTATAGACAGATACACACTCTTATACAACTACATCTAACCATACAAAGATCGATCCGAAAACGCCTTCCATGCATGGTGTCATTAATATAATCTTCTCCCCTTCCTTCCTTCCTTCGTCTTCATTTTCCCTTCACCACGCCCGTGCCTATTCGCGGCAAGATATGTACAAGCCAAACAAAATCAATAGATCTAGTTAAAACCAGAGGTGATGCTTCAATCATCATCCTCATCATCCTTCTTCGAGTCTTTCTTCTTTTTCTCCAACTGCTTCTTCCACATCGAATTCGCCTTTTCGGCGTCTAGACCTGGGAAGACGAGGTCGAAGACGTCGTGGTACCATGCTGCGGGGCGGCCGTCGATGCCTTCTTTGATGTTCTAGAGAATTGTTAGTACAAATTTAACTCTTTACACAAGAGAAACGGATTGAAAGGGACTTACTTCAGGCAACTCTAGCCAATCACTCAAATTATCCGCCGGGAAAATAATCATCTTACACCCGGCTCTCCTCGCCGCCACAGTCTTCTCCCTGAGTCCCCCAATCCTCAACACCTTACCCGTAACCGTCAGTTCGCCAGTCATAGCAATTGTCGGATCCAGTGCGCGATCCAGCGCCAAACTCAACAAACTAGTCGCCATCGTAATCCCCGCCGACGGCCCATCCTTCTGCACCGCGCCCTCGGGACAATGCAGATGGATCTTCGCTTTATCGAAGAAGCCGTTCTGTGGGTACGATTTCGCCATGACGGATTTGGCGAACGAGTAGGCGATGGTGGTCGATTCTTTCATGACGGCGCGGAGGTTACCTGTGGTTGCGAGACCAGGGCGGGAGTCACGGGTGAGTGCGGACTCAAGGATGGACTCGACGTAGAGGGCTGCGCCGCCCATTTGGGTCCATGCTAGACCCATTGCTACACCTGGTGGTGTGGTTTCGTAGAGGCGGTCCGATGTGAAGACTGGTGGACCGACGTAGTCCTTTAGATTTTGACGGTTGATGGAGACGTGGACTGTATCTGGGACTTCCAGGGAGATGCGAGGTTTTTCTGTCGTTTCTGCGGCGATGTTTTCGGGAGTTTCTTTGACATCTGTTTCATCTTTCTTACTCTCTTCTAATGCTTTTTTGCCCTCCTCTGTAAGTGCTTCTTCCTCTGGGAGAGCGCTCTCGCCTAAGTCTTGGACGATTTTGAGAGCAGATTTGCGGTAGACCTTTTCAATCTGCTTCTTCAGATTTCGGACTCCAGATTCTCGGCAGTACGATTTAATGAGTTCTTCGATGGCTTCTTTCTCGAGTGCAACATCTACGTCTTTGAGACCTGCCAACTCTTTCGCGGCAGGACTGAGGTAACGTTCTGCGATTGCCATCTTCTCATCGGCAACGTAACCAGAAAGCTGGATGACCTCCATACGATCAAGGAGAGGGCGAGGAATAGTGTCTGTCATATTTGCTGTACAGACAAAGAGGACTTTGGACAAATCAACAGGAACATCAAGGTACTGATCCAAGAAAGAGTTGTTCTGCTCCGGATCAAGCAATTCCAACAAGGCGGAAGCTGGATCACCTTGATGACCTCTACCAAGTTTGTCAATCTCGTCAATAAGAATAAGAGGATTCTCAGTCTGACATTTCTTCAACGCTTGAATGATGCGACCTGGTAAAGCACCAACATATGTTCGACGATGTCCCTTGATCTCGGCCACATCAGCAAGACCACCAACAGAGAAGCGGTAATACTGTCTGTTCAAAGCCCTGGCGATAGATTTTCCAATACTAGTCTTTCCAACACCGGGTGGACCAACGAAACAGAGGATTTTACCCTCAACAGTCCCGCGTAGTTTCCCAACAGCAATAAACTCCAGAATACGATCCTTGACATCTTTCAAGCCATGATGATCTTCATCCAGAACAGTCATCGCATTCTTGATTCCAAAGTTCTCAGCACTTCGCTGTCCCCAAGGAATCTGAGTAAGCCAATCCAGGTAATTCCTCGTGACATTGAATTCTGACGCCGCAGGTTCCAAATGAGCAAGTTTATTCAACTCCTCATCAAACACCTTTTTGACCGCCTCTGGCATCGCAAGTTTAAGACTCTTCTCTCGAAATTTCTCAACAAGCTTGTCCTTGCCATCTGATTCAATACCAAGTTCTCGACGAATACCCTTCATCTGTTCCGTGAGCCAGTATTCGCGCTGGCGTTTCTCAATGGAGTTCTGGACATCCTTTGTGATCTTACTTTGCAATTCTGCGTTCATCAACTCCTTCTTGAGAACGACTAGAGCCTTCCTCAAACGTCGTTCAACATTAAGTTCTTCTAACACATCTTGCAATTCTTCAGCATCCCCAGCCGCAACAGCAGCAGCAAAATCTGCCAGCTTTGCAGGTTCTTCCATAACATTTCCTGCTGATTGGGACATGGAGAACGTAGAGATCTGATCCCGGAAGAGGCTATTGAGATTTGCAACGTCCTTGAAGACATTGACAATTTCATTCGTGATGGCACGAATAGTTAAATTTTTCGGATCATGCGGTTCATTAACAATATTTTCAACGTTAACAAGAGATACCGCGTATTGATTAAGGAAGGATGTCGGTTCGTAAACAGGATTGGGGGTATCCGATTTCGGTGTCGACGGAACAGAGGTCTCCTCAAATGAAGCAACCACATCACCCTTCTTCTCAGCAGGAGCTTCGTCTTTTGTAGGTTTTTGAGGTATTGGCTCAGGAGCCGCTGGTTCAGCTCCCGCGCCATCCTTTGCCGCCTTCAAGCTCTGCGTATTTATCAACTCCGACATCTTGATCCTTCGATGAGGATACAAGACCGCCGTAAGCGCACCATCATCCCCAACAGGGAACGCACTTGTGATTTGCGCAAAAACTCCGACATCGTGTACCTGATCCATACTCTCAATCGTATCGCCATCGTGATTCTCATCCTTGAACAAGAACGCGCCGATGTATGGCTGTCCTCTATTAATCATATCCTTAATCGCCTTGACGACATTCTCATCGCGCACTGTGACTGCTTTATAAAAGCCCGGGAAGAGCGGCCGTTTCGCAATTGGAATCGCGAGGACTCGAGGATAGACTTCTGGGACGGTAGGTTTCTGTAATGCCTTTTCTGGCTTTCGACCTCTTCGCCCATCACCTCCCCCAGCAGCAGGAGGAGCTTCTCCCCCGGTCCCTGATGATGCAGCAGCGCTACTCTTCCCATCAGTTGCACTCTTGATCTTCCCCTCCACAACCGCCTCGCCACTCTTCTCCTCCTTCTTCTCCTCTTTCTTCTCCTCTTGCTTCTCCTCTACCTTCTCCTCTACCTTCTTCTCTGGTTTCTCCTCTTCAACTTCTTTCTCGTCCTTCTCCCTCCCAGCATCTTTCCATCTCGCAGACCCAGTCGAAAATGCAGACCGAGGTAGCGTTCTCGCGAGCGAAACTCGAGGATATAATGGCCATCGCGACGCCCTGAGTAGAGTGGCGTACCCGGTCGACCTCTGCAACGCAGCAGCAGAATTCCGCAGCGCAATCCGCCAAGGCATTGCATGTGTATAAACCATCTTCCCTTTTTCTCTATTCCTTCACTGTCCTTTCCCCTTCAATCCCTCTGCAATCCAAATCCACCTCTCTAAGATGCTTCGCGCAATATGTACGCCAGTTCAAATGCAGCACCCCGTAGATTGTACAAAATGTAATGAGATAGAATACAAGCTGTGGGCAAGGTGAATGGGACGAAGAAACCGGTTCGAACAGGACGAAGTGGCGTGGTTGGGACCGTGAATTGCACGACTGGTCTGGATACAGAACTATTAATTTGTTCTCGTCATTCATATGATGCTTTGAAAGCCGGACCGGAGGTCATTTATCGCCGATGCAGGGGTGAGAGGTCCACTCTCGGACCGATGGCAATACCATAAGTCTGCCGAAGACCCCGGTAGATTCGAGAAGGCAAAGTCGTGTTCTGACTTTTCGTTTCGATATTGATATTGAATTTTGTGAAGGATTATATTCAAGCTCTCCTTTAAAAATGGCATTTCCGTTTGTTTAACATTCTTAATAGTCGTATACGTACTCCCAAAGGGTGTGGAGCTACACAGATCCTGACAATCAAACAGCCTTAAATTATTAAATTCCTCCATGGCTCTTGTGTTGTGTTATTATAATTTTGCTACCTTATGAAGTAGGGGGATTTGAAATTTTGTAAAGTCCCTGCTAGCCTCAAAAGTCTATGTTTCAATTGCCCGGTTGTTGGCCGTTCTACTAAGCGTTCAATTGAGATTTCAGGGAATTAGTGACAGGTAGACTTATTTACGCTCTTTTAAATAATTAATTTAGCTGAAATCGGGATTATGGAGTAGCAAATAATCAGAGTAAGGTATAAAATGTACTTAGTCCTTCGTTATTAGCAGATGTCGACATGTCTCTCACTCTTCTTACACCGAGTAGTCTTATAATAAACGTTTTCATAATAAGAATTCTATTAGTATACAAGTTGCTTAACATATCACTTTATGTTAACAGTGGTTGTTCAACTCAGATGAACATTTGCCGTTCCTAAAGTTGAAAAGGATGAAATTTGTAAGGTCTTTAATTCCCAGAGAACTTAAACAATTCTTTACCGAGTGAGTATCAAAGCTTCCAGACCTAGTGGAAATCACTCAGAAAGCCGAAACACAATACAACACAAAGTCCAACTCCACTTGGAAGGGTACGTATAATTCCTTGACTCTCCTTTTCTAGTTACAAAATAAGCAATGTAGGCTTCTCTACAACTGGCGAGCCAGTTTCAACCAGCTTTAATTCTTTCTGGAAGAGCTGAAACCGGAGGGTATTCGAAGTATAAAGGAACGATGATCGCGGGGGTTATCTCAAAGAGTACAGGCGATGCGTAAAATGATATACGCAGCTTTTACACATGCTATTGGCACATATTTAGGGATAAAAGACAACGCTTCATCCCCACTTGATCAAATGTTACAACTGACTCGGTCCATAATTGAGTGAATTTCTAGCGAACGCTAAGATTCGTGATATGTATGGCTTTCCCCGCCTAGCTTACTGACAAAACGATAAATCGCGAGGTTTAGAGGCTGAAGCGGTATCATTTATCTAGGAGGTAGTAGGATAGCAGCTGATTCAGTCACCAGACCCCAAGAATGTTGCTATTAGACCGATCTCAGCCGTACGCATCGTGATTGAGCATGTCGATAGAGCTTCCAAGTAATAAAACGATCTATGATGATAACAACAAGCTGTTGTTGTGGAGAACAGCGACCTAGACCAAAGCACTATTAACAAATCGTGCAGTGCATTCCATCAATTTGAGATACATGTTAATTTTACGATGATTTGATGGTATAGCCTAGCATATCTCTCAGAGCGCTATGTTGTGAGTGAATGAGTTATTGACCTAGTCGAACAAACTATAACATAATTTCACCACGGATTGGATGGTAGATCAGAACAGCAGAGTGTAAAATTATAAGATACGAACAGAAGATAGCTGAGATATGACTTGATAATGAGTCGAGACCTCAAGATTAGTGCTGAGACAAAGCAGTGTATGGAAAAGAAGCCTCGATATCGGTCAAAAACGGCCTGGTGAGACCTAGTAGTGTGATCAAAACTCAAAGGTTGCTGGTCACCGCATGGATATTGACTGTAATTCGTATACAACTTGTAAAGTTGGCATTGCCGATGGATAGCACTTCTTGTAAATTCATATACCTCAAAACATAGTCCCCTGAATATGCATGTATCTTTGTACCCCACGTGCTCAAATTAGCGAGTGGCAGTATCATATCGTTAACTTGAAGCACCAACAGAACATTTGATTATCTACCTAGCCCCTCCAAAACTCTTAGTAATGGTTTTGAGCAGCGTGCCGCTTTCGATAAGACAAATACCTTTCTGGCTATGGAAGACTTGCACATGCGTGTAACGTTGACGGTCAAGAAGAGCTGGCTGAAACCAAGTATGCTTAGGAACAAAAATCTTGTTATCTACGGCCGTAACGTAAAGCACCGCCTCAGTGCTAGCAAAAAGACGGATACGTTGAGTCATTCTGTGGAAGAATAGGTTTTGTTCGCTTCCGAGATGTACCGGCATTTACTCCATTCCCGTCAACGGCGTTTGGTATCAGGTAACTGACCACGTGTATCGATACTATATCGAAACAAATATGATTCTCTACTCAATAAACATTGCGTAGTGTCCGAAGATAGAAAGCTATGAACAGGAAGAAAGAGGTTGGGCTGAAATCTCTCCCAACTTGCCCGCCAATCACGCACAGTTGAGCCCGCCCTTGGCAATATCAGAAACGTCCGCTTTATAGAAACCCGTGGCTATAGCAGGACAACTCTATTTTCATCTAGGCCACTAGGCCGAGAGGAAGTTGAAGATAAAGTTTTATGACTGCCAAAATTCAAAAAACTTTGTGTTCTGGTGTTACTCGAATTTAAGCGGATCTCCCCTGAATTTATAGTAAGAGGACTACTCCTACATGAACAGCGCGGGCAAACACGAGAAGGTCACCAGTTCCCAGAAAACGGTGTACCCACTGCGTAGGGGAACTAATGCACAGCTGGTGATGTATGACATAGCAGTGATCCTACCGGGGGTTTTCGAAGAAAGTTTAGCGTTTCGCTAAGGTTGCCAGTTCATCAAAGTGCGGAGCATCTCGGTGAGAACATGCCACAATGAAATCAAGATCGAAATCAGTTGCGTATCCTAGCGATGAGCGCATACGCCTGATGCATCAATATAACTTTCCTGGAAGCCAGCCGACCTGAAGTAGCACGAAATAGGGGAACAGGGTGAGAAATCGACAATCAACGGCAACATGCCTCGCGGAGCGATTTTTCCTGCGCCCTGGATGCAACACCATGCATCACAAGAGCACGACAGGAGGTGGGGAGAGTAGCATCCAGCAGTGAGGACTTCCCCCGGTTGGCTGCCCCCTACATATGTGTCTGCCATGTCGATCTGTACCCTGTGAAAGAACGAGTTCACTTCAAGAGCATGATACAGAACGTCTCCCCATGTGTCATGCAGCTAGAAGGATTCGAGGAGCTACTAATGAGTTCACTCATTGCTCAGCCGACTCCAGCGCGAACCCGGTTAAACTTCTGAATACGGCCACGGAAATTTCGAAAATCCAGCACATCCGAAAAGAGGTCAAAGCAGCCCAACAAAGCTAATCTTGCCAACAAGCGCTCCCGAGCGGCGGCAATGTGAACCGAAAAGATGACCGAAATATCACTTGAAGCGTGCTGAACGTTCCCGAAAAGCCACAGCCGTTGTAAGGAATGGAGAGCGGATCGGCCCGGTTGTTGAGTTGAAAGGCAGTCCCAGGTCCATAGAGACGGTATCGACGCGCTTAGTTGTTGGTAGGGCTAGTAAACGCGTTGAGACGCTGTAAAAAGCCTTACTTAATCCCGTTACTATTCAAAACAATACAATGAAGCTGAGGAATAGGCATCCGAGGGCAAGGTTGTAGCTAGTACTTCGCCGTGCATGTCCCTGTGTCATTCGACTATTATCACATAGCATTGCCATTGGGCAACTGGATAACGTCTAAGCCGGTCGTAACTTAAAAATTTTGCGTCCTTCAGGCCGCGAGCGACTTTGAAGTGTGTGATGGGTCTTTTAAACTGGAACTCTGGCCAATTATTTGAGCAGAAGAACGGAGAATGCGACCGTTCTACCCACGCTGCCCGTCCCAAATCAGCCATCTGCCAATCGCTAGTGAGAAGAGCGAACGATATTCTTGCCGTCGCACACTCAGAGAATCTGCCTCGTTCTCATCCTTCGGTAGAAGGCACAAGCAGAGCCATTCTGGGAGATGGATGCAGACTCCGCTCTCAAAAACCCGCATAGCCGGATTCAGCGACAACGAGGGCATATAAGTCCCATGCAATAACAGACTACCCTGGATTGAGTAGAAGCTTGTGAGAAATTCCGGGCAAAAGTCGGATATTGATCCAGCAGTGGTTCCGTTTCCAGTCCTGAGTGGTTATCAATCTGGGGGATGAGATATCCCTCTTTTTCTTGATATCCATACGACAAGCCCATCGCTCTGGACTGAACCTATTCTTGACATAAGAGATCCAAGAACACTCCAGGTTCATCATAGACACTCCAGAGCAGCTGCTACACCTAATATGAAAAGAGAATGTCAAGGAAAGCATGCTCTTATCGAGGCCTGAAAAATTCCGCTGACATCTTGACTTCAGCCACCCCAGTCTCGACCCGCAGGCAAACACAAGCCAGCTGGATGATAGCTTCCTACGAACAACCATAATACACAACCGAGAATTTCAGGAGTATAGTATCACCAATCTGACTTACTTGGTCCCGGTCGATGAAGTATAACTTACCCTGAGCTGCAAAACCCAAGGGCCTGACATTTGCAATCAGGACGAAGATGAGCGACAGGAGATCTTCCACAATGTTCTCAGTCGCGTGTTTGATGGCAGACTAATATTTCCACCTATGTCGAGACCGCGGCGGGTCCTTGATTGTGGATATGGCTGTGGCCTCTGGTGTACTGAAGTTGCCGATGCGCATCCAGATTGCCAGGTAAGAGCACCAGAGCCTAAATTGTTGTTTGGCTCAAGAGTATACGCGTAATGGTATATTCCGAAGACCACAGACACCAGACATGACGGTCATGGCTATACACAATTGGATTTGTGTCCTCGCTAACATGACAGTGAAGGTTATCGGAGTTGACATCAACCCAAGGCAACCAGATGAGGTCCCTGATAACCTTTATCTTCAACTCGACGACCTGAACCGGCGGTAAAGTTGCACAAAGCCCTCCTTGCTACATAGCTGACAAGAGAACTAGGTTCACGTTCTCTTCGCATAACTTCGACCTCGTCCATTCCCACATGATGGTATCTGGCATACACACGACTCGTTGGACACAATATATGAGAGATATGTTTCGAGTGACCCGTCCCGGTGGCTGGTGCCAAATGGTGGAAATGTATCTACATGTGCAATCGGACAACGGAACGCTTACAGATGGTTCGTCGAAAGACCCCTCGTCTTCTCTTTGGCCAGCAACTGAAGATGCTTCGTTTCTCAGATCACGCCTTGAGGCGTTGGAGTGACTTGTATTTCGAAAGCCATGAGGGCTTGAAGGATTTACGCGTGCCTTTGAGGCTCCCCGCGATGATGAGAGAAGCGAGTTTCGAGCATGTGGAGCATAGGATGGTGCAGCTACACACTTGTGCGTGGTCTAATGGTAAGTAACACAATGTAAACCCAAGTGGAACCACGATGCTGATTGTTGTAGACGAGAGAGATAATGCAATTGGGGCTGCGAATCGAGAAAATGTTCAGCGTATGCTTTCTGCTCTGGCGATATATCCATTCACCGAGAGACTTGGGTATGTCTATCTTTCACTCTCCTAGAACTATCTCTGACATGCCTTCCAGAATGGCGATACAGGATGTTCAATTGCTTGTTGCGCAAGCGAAGCTTGAAGCAAGTAACCCTGCTTTCAAGGTAACATCATCCTTTCCAGCGTCAAGAGCAAAATGGTCGAACTAAGGACGACCAGGCGTATTTTCCACTTTATGTGTGCATTGGACGAAAGCCCCGTTCCAGGCGCTAGCAACCCGTCACTTGTCAATGCCAGCAGGTAAGAAACGTTCTCTTGACCGCCAAGAGTCTGCAGATAGCATTGCACTCAAGGAGAGCTTGTAAAATCCGCATGCACGCTCGCTGTCCAGAAAAAGGAACCATTCCTTGTTTGCCGCTCGTGCTCATGGAGTTGGGAAACTGTATTTACTATTACGCTCAGGCCGTTTCTGGGTGCGGGTACGAGTAGTGTCTGTTTAGTCTACGCGACTGCGGTGGAGCTCTTCTACAACGTTTCGTTAGCAAGTATCTCGCAAATTGCAGACTAGTCGTATAATCTGACAATATGAGATGGGGAGCACTATCGCACATGTGAATCGACATCCCCCATTGTACGAATCTCTCATCGGCCACCTTTGTCCTACACTTCGAGACTCCAGGAATGAGCTTCGACATGTGCTTCAATCGCACCTCTGGATTCTCTTATTCACTGTTATCGTACATCCGTTCCTTCGTTGGAAGTCGCTTATTGAGAGGTGACTCAAGAACTTCTACCAGTACGGTTAAATTGAGGCGCGTTGCTAAGTGAAGACGACGCGACGAGATGCGGTCGCCGACGCTCCATCTATCATATCGTACTCAAGTGCATATGCTCGTCAAGTGAAGAGCGTGAAGCGAGCTGTGGATGGTACAGTATGCTTATCGAAGCTCGCTCTTCCCCCTTCCTTGAATAGACCAAGTCGAACATGTTGATACTTGCGCGGGAGCAAGAGCTAGGAGGCACGCGGCGGAGAGCAGAGGAACGACGAGATTCCGCGTTTGGAACTGGTGAGTTTGATGCCCTGGGGATTATGGAAGACATGATTTTGTTGATGGTTTGCTTTTGTTAGAAAGATGGAAGAGGGAAAGAATGAGTTGACGTTGTCTTGCGTTCCTGCCCTCTTCGCTTGACACGGCTAGACCCGTGGATAAGTTCAAGTCAGTCAGTCATAGACAGGCAACCCCTTGCTTGTCTATGGCGACCTGTAACGACTTAAGAGAAAGAAGGTATGTCAATGCACAACGGCCCAAGGATTTTCTATGATTTAAATGGTTGCAGATACTCTGGTGGGTTGTTGTTCAGGAAGCTGGAAGTCATTATCTGGTAGCTGCTTTGCGTTGCTCCACTATTTATGTGCTCGCTGCATAGCGTCTACCAACTGTGATCAACTCCTCTTGCGAGTTGTCGAAGCGTCTGCAGCTCATATGAACGCTTAAGGTAGGAGCAGTCCTAGTTGAGAGCACTAATGAATTGAGGACAGTTCCCGATGTGACAAGCCTTTGGAGCTAGATTATGGAGTTCATAACAGCCGTGAATCTGGGTATCAACACCGCTCGGTCAGGTCAATTTTGGAAGCTGCAGAATTCCATCCATTATTCCGGTTGTTTGTTCCTTTTTCGGTCTTGGCTGGCTTTTGATAGAGATAGTGCTATTAGATTTGACGGGTTCTCAATTTTTAAGTAAGACACGGAATCTGGAAGCATTGCCATTGACGCAGAACAAGAATGTACAGGTATTCTAGCTTACTGAAAAGATAGTCATACTAGGGGTTGTGGTATGTGGATTTCTCGTCGAGTGACAGGAGTTATGAAATGGCGGTCAATATGCACCTAGCTCAATCGGCTGTTGTCGAATGATGCCGGGGAAATAGCACCAAAACCATGGAGAAATGGAATTTTATCTACAATAAGCATAAACATCCGAACTTGGCCTGTTTTAACACTGGACTTTAGCTTCCACGTGGTTATGTTTCTTAGTCTGCCAAACATATTCTTTGTTGCATACATACTGATCGAACCATACTCAATACATTCGCTATGGCTTGAGAGACGACCAAACAGCTGGATTGGAAATTGAAATGATTCACTCAAATTACTTCGTTGCTTTATCAATGCGTCCAAAAATTGTCAAGAACGTCACATTAAACTTCAGTCACCATTATAAAGTTGAGGTTCAGTGTAACATGGGTAGTGGAAGCCGACATTCACTACTCGCTTATTGGCCATCAAGCTGGTATTGAAGCAGCGAGGTTTACTAGATTTATACTCATTAGAAAGACAACGTTGGCCGTAAATCGGTAGTAATGCCCACCGGACCCATCACGAGTAAGCGAACAGTTTTTGTGCAATGTGCACTAGTGGGGTTCAACATGCAAATCATGGACTTTGACTTAGAAACACGTTCATCTATTTTCTTCAAATCCATGATGAGATAGAGCTGTTTCGCATCTAGCACAATGTAATATATGTCGTTCCAATTGGTAGAATAATAGAACAGTTCAACTTCAGAACGCCATGACATGCATTTGTTTCGCTGATCACAGAAGGGTATCTTGCATAGTGTACATTAAGGATTTTCAGAAGGCGACTCAGAGGGTTCTCCACCATCCCAAACATTTTCGAATGCTTCCCCATCCAGTCCGTATTTAGACTTCAATAAGACCTCATGTTCGTGGTTTTGCTGCCACTGCCGAGTTTCTTCCGTCTCGTTGGGAGTTTCCTCACCATCTCCGATAGTGAAAGGACTATCCTCTTCGTTATCGACAACGGCACTACCCTCGGGAGGCTCAAAGCCTTCCCGAATATCTTCGCCGATATCTTTCCCGTATGTACGTCTGCCAAACATTGTTAGCAGTTTCCATCAGAAATCGTCAGTTTCCTTACACATAGTATTTAGGCTCGGTGGCATTCCAGCCAGAACCACCCTCTTTTCTAGCCCTTACTCGCTCCGCGTCCTCCGCATTTTTGTCTTCGACAACAAGATCAACAAGCTGGCTGCGATCTGATTTCGCGGAGCTTGAAGAGGAGGAATGATGTCGTAATAACCCTCCCATGGCCGGCGCACGTCCCTCTTCGCCGTTAGGTACTTCGTTCTCCTTGCCTTTCGAACTAGCCTTGCCCTTTTTGCTCTTGTCCTGAGAGCTATGTTTGCGCTTTGATTTTTTGGTAACTTCTTCAACCGTCTCTCGTACATTGCTTGCCCGTCTGATCTCATTGTCGCGAGTTGGTTGCAGCAGGTTTCTATTTGTCGATGTGGTCAACAGGCCAGGCGATGCATTTAACCACCGCTCCCTTGATGCTTCATGAGCAGTAATCACCGGATACTAAAAAGGTAAGCATAAATAAATCAAAGAAGCCACAGGACTCACATTCCAGTCCCCGTACTCTAATGCCTTAGCTCTTACATATAACCGTTCGTCATCAGAGTCTAAATTATCATCCTGCTCAGCCCCGCCATAGTTCGTAACCCCATCACCATTTACAGGTTTCTTCACAGGGCTATGAGAACGACTCGCTGGATCGTTGTTGTGCAATAGAGGCGTGCGGGAGTTTGATTCCCCAGGTTTTGGTATCCAATATTTTCCTTTACCTCCGCGCTCGTATCGCATTCCCTCCATCATCCTAGCCACCCTTGAGGAGGATTCTTCATGGGCTAAGACATCATCGCCAGTATCGAACAGACGATACTCGTATTTATTACCACTGAATGTCTCCTTCGTATCTTCAATGAGATCTCGTAGACCAAACGCGTCGCGGAGAGCAAATCGAACAGGCATTCTAGCAGCTGAAATTGTGACGTCTGCGTAATCGTGCCAAGAGAACGCATACCAATGCCCGATTGCGAAAATGGGCATTTCCATACAAATCAGAGCGTCCTGAATAGCTGCCGCCAAGCTGTCCGCCGATTTATATCCTTCTACATTGTCTGGGATAGCGCCTAGGAAAACTAAGATAGACAGGAAGAATCCTTGCCAATAGGAGGCAAAAATAATGAGCTTGATGCACAAAAACTTTGGTACTGGTCGAAACGGCTGCAGGTCTTTCGACATACACACCCAGAACATTCCCAAAGAGTACAAGCTCAGTGTGACACTGACATTGTAAAATATGCCTGTCCACAAGTAGCCAGACGTGATACCCAAGTCGCCTTCTCCATAGACGCCAGTAGTTTTCATGATTATAGTAGCCAGTCCAAGTATTGGTTTCAACCACGCATACTGAAGAATACCACGTTTAATAGCTAGAAATGAGTGAGGGTCGGATATGTCGACCTTAGGAAGCACATGGTTCAAAGGCCACAAGTGGTGAACCGGCTCTCTTCCATGCATGAGAATGATGAGCGCCCGTTCGCCTCCAATGAAGTTGATCAATAGTTGGAAGAAGGTGTAAATTGTAAACGCCTAGTCTTGTTAGCTTTTCCAGAGCGTAATCCTCGATGATCACATACCTCGTAGACATCTCTAACAGGATCTACAAACAGAGCTGCCTTGGAAGACATGATACTTGACCATGAAGATATCGAATATATGGGAACCCTATGCACAATCAATACAGCTCTTCCTTCGTCCATTTCTTTACCCACATGAGTAGAATCCGTACGACATATCTTTGTAGGAGCGGCTTGCGATAATTCTTTCTGCGAGGCGTGAGCTTCTGTTAAGGCATAATTTCAGACAGGATTCATACGTTTGGAACCATACTGATCTGTCAAGTACCACATTAGCATTAGGCAAAAGGATTAGATGCGATAAACTAACATAATTGACAAAAGTGACGCCACGAGAGCTGCGACGCCAGCCACTATAATGGTGGCATGAGTGAGCTTCTGCCCAGTCCCGGCGAGTATATCAACGTTCGCCATCATGAACGAGTCGAAATAGCTGTGTCGGCCGATGACGCGTTAGAGAGATAGTGAACGCAAACCTGCGTCAGCACTGGAGGCTGGTAATCAGATATAAAGTACGTTCGTTTCTGACATGATCTCAAGTTCGTGCCTTGAATAGTGTCCCAGTTGAAAGATAGTTGTTTGGGGTTATAGAAGTGGTAAAAGTGGTTGATATCTTGGAATCCCATGGTCGAAGGCGGTGGCTTCAGACCAAGGTTCTGCCACCAAGCTGTGCGGAACAACATTCTTCCATGTCGCGACGCATACTCCTCTGTGATGCTCGTGGGTGTTGATCAGATTGATTTGCTGTTCGGCGCAGGAACATCGCATATCACCAAATGCGGTAAACCAATTTTTGGTGTGGTCTTGATCACCGTATTCGATTTCAATCAATGAAAACCGGTCGTATGGATACTCCATCCAAGAATACTGCCTCCTTGACTGGGAGCCAGGTTTCGTGGTCGCGGAGTTGGTTGACTTATTGACAGCCAGACATGTCCACCTCTACCGGTGGTCTTACGGCGTCGCCGCTCACAAATAACTTTGAGTTCAATTGGTGAGTCTCTAATGTCCTCTGTGGCAGTTTGACGCTAATTAGATTTAGGGTTTTCCTTGTTGAACTGCTCGTCTGTGGCATATTGTAAGTGTTTCCATGTAGGATTGTACACGATTGCTAATTCCAAGGCAGAACTCTATTCTTCCTCTTCTACTTTAATCGGTTATTTGCGACGTTAATATCGTACGGTTTTCGGGCATGGACATGGCACAAATACCGGGTTTATGTCGATATACAAGCACTCCAAATATCACTTCTTGGAGGTCGGATATTTTTCAAAGGGTTCAAATACCATGGGAACAATGAGACTATATTGATTCATAGCGGCTTTTTCACTTGGTGCTACTGGCTGAGAAACGTCAGAGGCCTCAGTGTAGGTGGTGACAGCGATGTACACACGAAACGAGTTTCAACCGATTCCGACAACAATGGAAAGTCAGGACTTAGCGCTACTTTGGATGGAGCAGAACAGGGGGGGCCAGAAGATCCTGCGAGACTTCCATGTCGTTTCACTGTGAATTTGAATGGGGTTGAATGGATCGTCTACAACAGGAGTGTTGCTTACGACGCTGTGATTGCTGGGATGATGAAGCAAGCAGACCCAACCTTCGAACCAAGATTTGAAAAGGAAAAGGAAGAGTCGGCGGATCCTACTTTAAGACATAGAAAACAGACCAAAGTCGCGGACCCGGAGAAGCGCGCAGATTTCCAGAAGCCATCATCATCCAAAGAGACTTCAGATGATAGTGATTTAGGCCACGGTACTCTCAAAACTCAACAATCCTCGTCGTCATCACAGACAGAAACCAGTCAGGGAGGATCACAAGATGAAAAGAAGCCGGAAGGTTCCTTCATATTGCGACTTTTGCCAATACACGTTACATGCAACAAGGCGGCCGTAGTTCTCGGTAATGAAAATACTAAAAGCGTATTGATTGCAAAAGCTGATGGGGCCTCGGGCGAGATCGATGCTGCTCGCTCCAATACTATCGACCAGTACAGACAGCTGATTAATTTCAACTTCAAGCACCCAGTAATACAGATAAAGCCTAATGATGACTATAAAGAGGACCAAACAACACTTGCCATTCGCGTCAAACGTGGAGAAAAGCTCCAAGCTGATGGCAAGCCGACACAGACTCATAACCACAGTTTCGTCCATCGGCAACGTCGTAAAGTATGGCACACGCTACAGAATCTTGTTCCTGCTTTTCGAAGCTCAGTAGACTCCGTGTCAAGCTCGACCAGACTTCAAGCAACACAGGCAAAGCCCGAACCCGGCTCGGGTGGTTGGCAGGGCTTGTCTAGATACCTCGACGAGAATGAGCAGGACGACAATGCAAAATGGTCTTCAATTGAGTATGCGACAGTAACCACAATTGCTGATAGCCCTGCAGCTTACATGAGTTTCTATTGGGATGTCCCTGGAACCGTCCCGGAACGTCAACATGCAAACGAACAGAAATACAAAAACGAAATCGACAATATAAATGGTGACGCACCACCAGAATGGGGCCTAAACTTGAGCCTAAATGGAGCAATTGTCAATTATGGGCCTTGGGCTGATAGGCAGCGAGCTGATATTCAACGTGTATTCTTCCCCAGCCTTTGCAAGGACGCGGTTCCAAGCAGGAAGCTTTCAGCTGGTCAATTCAGAGTGCCAACAGAGTTTAAGGTTTATATCGAGTTTGACGAAGAGACTATTCTCCGAGTACCTATCAAGGAGGAATCCAAGAATTGGAAATGGACAAAGCATGTCGATTCCGTAGGCGCTAAGCAAACGGAGCAGAAAAAACGAGGAAGCAGACATCGAAAGCGAAAAGCAGATTCGAGTGCTGGGCCAGAAATCCGCCCCTTTGGTTGGCTCGACGTCAAAGTTGGATCCAATGCGACTGTGACATATACCATGGACATGTTAGCTGGCCCCTTTGGGTTCTCGAACAACTTAGAGCTCGAACTTCCTAACATTGAGATTACTACAAGTGTAAATCATGGAACACTGTGGCGATCCGTTGATAATCGCATATCTTGTGACTTGTCTAACCCCCTTCAATGGAATGGTCAGCACATTTGGAAGTTTGATGTTACTACGACTGGCCTCGAACTTTTCATTCTCCGTGAGCATGTTTTCCTTCTCCAGGATCTCATTGAAGACTGGGCTAGCGGGCCCCCGCCAGAGTACCTTACGTTCTCTCCATTTCAATATTCTGTCAATCTTCATCTGGACGACTTCCGAATATATCTGAACGTAAATGATTCGAACATCATCAACAATCCATCTGACTTTGATGACAATACATTCATCATCATATTCGGCTCCGTCTTGGCGGCAAAAATAGGTATACCTTTAGATACCTTCCGACCATATCGCAACGACATCTCCTTCGACGTAGATGCCAGCAACGGAGGACTGAATTTACATATTCCTCCATGGAACACGCAGGCAACGTTCTTAAGCTCGTCAGAGCTGGCAACTCTAAAAGATCTAAAGATTGCAGGTAAGTATCAATACTGTGCCACCACGTCGCCCAATAACACAGACACGTTGTTGCTGGATGTGTATGGCGATTCTCCAACAGCACAGTTTTATGGATTCGTTATCCGTTATTACCTCAAGATCAAAGACAACTATTTCGGAGACGATATAAGATTTAAGACCTTAGAGGAGTATCAAGAGGTTCTAGGTTCCCGTCGGTCAGGTGGCGACAATGGCCATGATGTCCAGCCGCACAAGAAGTCAAATGATTTGGATGTTATCCTCTCTGTCAAAGCCGATAGATCTAGCGTCATTTTGCCTTGCAATCTCTACACCGCGAAGAATCACATTCGAATCGAAATTGCCAGCCTCGCAGCTGACATGCGATTTACGAACTATTACATGGATCTGGAAGTAATGCTAAGCACACTTGCATTTTCGTCAGGAAGCGAGGAGTCAGGAAATGCGACGCCAATCAGCGCCACCTCTAGTACACAACTTTTTGTTGACGGAGTAAACGTTGTTGGGAACAGACTGTTTGGCCTTCCTCCGACTGAGCCAACTTACATCTGCAATTGGGACTTTGCAGTTGGAGCTGTGACCGGCGAATGCAGTGCGGATTTTTTTAGTCACCTGATAAATGGTGTGAAAGCTTTTGCCTTCTCATTTGACGATGATGAAAACGCTCAACCTTCTATATCCATTGCCCAGATTCATGATGTTACCTTTCTACGAGCTACAGTGGAATCTGTACAAATATGGCTTCATGTGGAGGAAACTGCATTCTTACTCTCGACGGCAGAGATATCCGTCAACTTTAATGATTGGGCAGGTACTCACTATTCGAAAAAGCTCAACTTGCTGGTTCCACAATTACACATTGGCTGTGTGGATGCTGAATCTGCCTCGCGTCATAGATCACGAGCACAAAATGCCGTTGAGACGCATGCTTTCGTTCAGACGACTCTATCGGTTGCGATGATTGAACGAAACCCAGGGTTTGAACAGGATCGGCTACTCCAGCAAGAACATATCAAACGCCATGATCAACGAACTCATAGAACCCAATTTCTCCTGCAACCAAATCTGATGGACAATTCCATGCTCACTGCTGTAGACCCCCCTGCCTTGTCTATTCCTCCAATGCCTGCCCCAGTGGCCCAAGAAGAAGTAGAAGACATGATCAGCCATTCCAGTCCCTCGGAAATGTCTTCTCTGCGTCGCAGTGTATCTTCTGTAAAACGGAAGTCATCTTTCTTGTCGCTATCAAGCGCTGGTCATGGCAGTGATCATAGTGTGCTCCGGCCAGAAAGTGTACGCAGATCAGGCCGCGTCGCACCTGATGCTGGCCGTTCCAGAAACCTTTCAAATATGTTTACTTCAGAACATCAGGCTCCCACTAGAGATGTCTCTACATCGAGCGGCCGGCGATCTTCATTTTACAGTGCCGTTGGTGAGCATAGAGGCATACCACCACCCACAGTCACATTTTCTAGTTCCTACATGGCTCCCTATTTTCCTCTACAAGGAATTGAACCTGACCGGAAAGATCTTCCTACTCCAAACGAAGATTTAGAGCAAGATTTTGCGCGTGAATACAGTCGTTTCAGCTTAGACGACGTCCAGTCTGATCGTGTCGACGATAACGCGACACATGTCAGTTTCATTATAGAATTATCTAGTGGGTTGCAGGGAGTGTTTAGTCCCACGGCCATTGAAGCAATCAACAACCTCCTCGCGGCATTACAACCTGTCGACCCTAATGATCTCTTGGACAGTCTCCAGATGGATTCAATCAATGAGATATTCGACCTGAAGAAACAGAAAGACATGACCGGTACTGTTCTCGACTTGACTGTAAGGGCACCGGAGATCAACTTTCGCCTTCTAAATTCTAGTACTTCGGCTGCCACAGCAAATTCTCAGGACATGCGAGACCAATATGATCTCTCCGTCTCAAGGATCTCCCTTACTTCTAGATCCGTCACCGCTCTCAAGATCGATGGTCAGGAGAAAACTCAAAACTCCTCCACGCTTCAATTGTCCATTAAATCTGCCGGAATATCGGCCAAAGAAAGGCTCGGCGATATGGACGATCCACAAGCGGCGGTTACTGGTATCATTCGTGATCTGAACTGTTGGTACGTCTCCAATAAAGCTACCGCAGCGTCTGTGGCCTTCAAAACCGTCGAGATAGCGACAGTCAGCAGTAAAATCGAATACCTCGCTTCTTTGCTCCACCGAACCGGAACTCTAGCTAGCAGTACAGCAGAGTCCTTTTCTTCTCTCAATGATCAGCAGCGCATCCGCATGCAGTTTTTCACCTATTTTGTAGCTACCGAAGGTCAACAAGCTACAGACCCTATGTTCTTAACTAGACCATCATATGTGCTCCGTACCGCTCCTGATCACCTGAGGAGTAGTGATTCCTGGAAAGTCGTTACTCGTCTGCACCACATGTATAATAGCCTAGATGTCAACACCAAGCAGGACCTGAAGTTGCGCTGCATCAGCGTCTCGGAACCCTTACCCGACGACGCCGAACGTCGTGTCCTCGCCGGATTCGACCACTGGAGAAGTTGGGATCTACATGATGTGGATGCGTGTCTTGTAATGAAAAGGGTTTACGGCACGAAAGGTAATGACACGCCCCAACCAGCGCAGGCATCTCAGCCACTCAAATTCACGCTGAGAACAGAGAGCGTTCGGTTAGTTCTCGATCCAGGTCCTAAGCAGAATGAGGTATCTCTGTTAGATATAACTGCTGTGTTTGAAGACAAAACTGTAGCCATGGAGGCTGAAACGCAGTCTCCATTTCATGGCGATGATGCGCATTATCTAGTGCTCCAGGTCTTCTGTGCTAGCACTGCGCTCAATCTCAATTGGGAATTGTGCGAGCTTGCCGACGACATAATGAGCCTTTACCTTCAAAGCTCCAGTGTGTCTGCAAGGAAAGAATCTATGAAGCCCAGGAGTGGTAGATCCACTTCCAAAGCTCGTCGAGACCTACATGTGACCATTGCTACGGAAGTTACCTCCATAATCTTAGATACGGTGAATATTCGAGCCACGTCGCTTTGCAATGGACTCAAGGCGTCATTTGTAATGATAGATGATGCGAACAGCGAGACAACCCAGACCATGAACATGGTACTTGCTGCTGATGCGGCCACATCCAAAATTAAAAGCCGGTCACAAGACTTGACTGTTCACCAGATACGTCTCCCTAGCATATATGCGTCATTTGAGAAGCAGGCTGGCAGTAAAACACCAATCCACACGATCAAGGTCGCCGCGAACTGTCGTCAATTGTCATTTGTCATACTGCAAGATATTCTCGCATTGATGGAGGTACTTGACCTAGTCATCGGCGATGAGCTCGCTCAATTGCACCGTCTCAAAAATCGTATACCTTCTCATTCGACGACGCCAACTCCTGACGATGGTAATGGCAATGGCAATGAAGTTTCAGACGAAATTACTCCTGTTACGAAAGTGAACATTGCACTGTTCTTAGACGAGTATCAAATCAGTGTGCTATTACTCCGGTCTTTGACTTACAATGTATCGGGACTCGTCGCGAGGGCATCTATTGCCGCTCAAGTCGGATCTGATATTATATTTGACTTCGATATTAAAGAGCATTCACATGATATGCAAACGACAGTCGGGGCAGGCAAGAAGAGTATTTCTCTTTTACAAATGCCTCCGACCAACGGGCGTATCGGTTATCATATCTCGGATTCGGAAAACACAGTGTCTGTGTTCGTGTCTGTTGAACCAATCCAGCTCGACGCAGCTGCCATTCATAGCCTGTTAAGTGCGCTAAATCGTCCCGAAATATCAAGTGTCATTACCGATGTTCAAGAGGAGTTCAAAGCTGTGCAAGGTCATCTCGAGGAAATATTTGGCCCCCAGTCAAAGTCTGCGCAACACACAGCACTTCCTGCTAATCCTTTGATATATGACGCTCATCTGACACTTGCGGGGTTCAATATCTTCGCTAATGCGCATGAGGCAAAAGGAGGTTCTAGGAAAGCAAGGCTTGATTTCAACCTTGGTTGTGTACAATTGCTCGTTGCTAACAGGCTTGAGCAAAATGGTCCAGCGCTGGCGTTCCCCGAGTTACGTGTTGCTCTGCGCCATATTTCTTTCGAACTTAGTCGATCGAGCCGCAACGGCATGCAACCCTGCGGAAATCTGGTACTGGCTGCATTTTTGACGGCTACATCCAAAACCAATGATATTGGCGAGGAAGTAAGATCTTTCCATCTTAAGAGCGACGCTCTGAATATAAATTTGTTCGCTGAAACTGCATCTACTGTCGTGGACGTCATTGGATACCTTCAAACCAAGATCAAAGATATCGATTTCTCGCGGGAAAAGCATTACCTCCGAAAATTACGAAAATTGAAGCCTAAGATAAAAGTCGAAGGTGAATACGAAGAGCAAGAAGAAGAGACCGACGCCAGTTCCATCAACATATTCGAATCAATGTTTTCCCTTGAACTGTTGAACTTGCAAGTCTGCTGGCTTGTAGGAACTTATGAGATCGACCGTACATCACGTCAAGAGCGAGAAGATCTTGTTTTCTCATTGAAGCGAATAGACTTCTCAACCAAGAAAAAGAACACTGCGCGATTAACAATGGAAGATTTACAAGTGCAAATGGTACCAGCATCCCACGACAAGAGACAAAGATCGCTCAATTCGGCTCTTTTACCAGAGATTATCTTCAACGTCGGCTATGTGTCAACCTCAGATGCTCGTAGGTTTGCATTTCAAGCGGCTGGCAAGTCTTTAGACCTTCGACTGACCTCACAATTCATGATTCCGGGTGCGGCTATTAAAAAGTCCATCGGATTTGCCGTTGACAGAGTTCGGGACGCGTCTGCAAGTTGGACTACGGCCGCTCCGGGATCTACTACTGAGAACTCTCGCCGTCAACCTTTCTTTGGGAAGAAACGTATGGAATCATTGCTCGTAGATGCTGATTTTGCAGGTGCTGTGGTGCACCTGTCCGGAAAAAAGGTCTCAGATAGCTCCAAGACCATTCTAGGAGTCAAGACTGGTCGAATACCTCAGACTGGGCGATATGGACAATTCACACAGACAGATGCTAGTAACAGTACCATCCTTCGCGCCCCTGGCTTGGCTTGGAAGGTGGAGTATAAGGATGATGGTTTGAATGAGCCATCATTGAATGCTGAAATCAAAGTTGACGCATCTTCAAACACCCTGTACCCCGCCGTTGTCCCACTCATCATGGAAATATCTTCAACCGTCAAGGATATTGTTAGTGACGAAGACAAAGATTCTACTACGGGACCACTGAAAGGATCACCACAGAAGTTCATGAGCACAGACGAAGATAATATCTTAACTGCAGACCCTAGTGCGGTACTGGGTCGAACAAGACTTAACCTGGGGTTCCGAATTTGCAGACAGGAATTCACATTAAGCTGTCAACCGATAGCTAGAGTGTCAGCTACTGCTCGTTTTGATGACATCTATATAACCATAAACACCGTCAAGTCAACCGAGCATGGACATTTTTTCGCCGCATCCGCTATTTTCACGAGACTTCAAGCCTCTGTGCAGCACGTTTACTCGAGAGAATCCACTGGCAGCTTCGATGTCGACTCCGTTTTTCTCTCTTTGATGAACAGTAAACATGTCAGTGGTATCAGTGGAGTTTCGACCATATTGAAAATAAGCCCTATGAAAATATTGATAAACGCAAAACAGATTCAAGATTTTCTCCTTTTTAGAGAGATCTGGATACCCCAAGAAATACGACAGCAGTCTTCATCACCGGCGCCTGCACCGTCGTTAGCACCCACATCGACAACAATGCAGTCACAAACCTATCTTGTGCAACGATATCAACAGGTTGCCGCGACGGGAGCTTTTCCTTGGAACGCGACAGTATCGATCGCTGAGTTAGATGTGCAATTAGATTTTGGGCAGGCAATCGGTAGATCGGCATTCATCATTTCCAATTTCTGGGTATCGTCGAAGAAGAACTCGGATTGGGAGCAAAACCTCTGTTTAGGGTTCGACAAGGTTGGGGTAAACAGCACTGGGAGGATGAGTGGCTTCGTGACCTTGCAAGATTTCCACGTACGAACTTCCATACAATGGCCAGCTCGCGAAATGGCTCTCAACCAGACGCCACTTGTTCAGGCTTCACTGCGCTTTGGCAAATTTCGCGTGAAAGCTGCATTTGAATATCAGGCTTTTCTGGTAGCCGATATCACTTCTCTAGAGTTCCTTATGTACAACGTTAGGAATGGTCCTGAGGCAAAAGGTGACCGACTGGTAGCTATACTGGACGGTGAGACAGTGCAAGTTTTTTGTACCACCACTACAGCATCTCAAGCATTAGCTTTGTATCAAGCGTTTGTTCGATTGGCTCAAGAGAAAAGAGCGAACTATGAGGCATCTCTTACCGAGATTGACAAGTTTATGAAACGAAAATCAATATCGCATCCTGTACTACCTCCGCAAGATATAGTCAACTCCGAAAATGAAGAAAAAGTCGCGAATTCGCCAATTTCTCTTCATACAGACGTAATTGTCACTCTCAAGGCTGTTAATATGGGCGCTTTCCCGAACACATTCTCTGATCACCAGGTCTTCAAGTTAGAGGCTTTGAACGCACAGGCGCGTTTTGCTGTGACCATGGATGAAGGGAAAATCCACAGTATTCTTGGGCTTACCCTCGGTCAACTTAGAATTGGTCTTGCTGGGGTGAAGAAGATTGACATGCCGAAATCGGTGGGAGATCTCTCTGTGGAAGACGTTGTCAACAGCGCCACTGGCTCTCGTGGAGGCACCATTTTGAAGGTACCTAAGGTCGAAGCTACAATGCAGACATGGCAAGTACCCAATACTCACCATATCGACTACATATTCAAGAGTTCTTTTGAAGGCAAGGTCGAAGTTGGCTGGAACTACTCTCGCATCAGCTACATTCGGAGCATGTGGGCTTCTCATGCAAAGGCTCTTGCTCAAAGACTCGGGAAGCCGTTACCGCCCTCAGCGGTCAAGATCACCGGTGTTCCAGACGAAGAGGATGGACCTCGAAAAGATGGTGAGCAGCAAAAAATCACGGCCGAGGTCAATGTTCCACAATCAAGATACGATTACACGGCTTTGCAAGCACCGATTATTGAGACGCCACAATTGAGGGATATGGGTGAAGCCACGCCACCGTAAGACTCGAAGCCCCGTTCACGTTACTATGATGCTAACCTGAACAGATTGGAATGGATTGGTCTTCACCGCGACAGACTTCCTAACTTGACACATCAGATCGTGATTGTGACTCTTCTCGAGTTGGCTAGCGAGGTCGAAGATGCTTATGCGAAGATTCTGGGGTCTTCTTAAAAGAGGTGGCGCGACATAAACCTGGTTTTCTGTATATTATTTGTTTGTTCTAGCATAGCGAGGGAGTTGGTAAGCATGGCAAGAACTCTTGTTAAAGGGGCTCGGTTAAAAGAGATGGTTCTTCTGGCCGGCGTATGGGCGGAGTGAGCTTGTACATATGAGTCACGCCGAATACTCTATTTGGTGTCCCAATTGAGTATTCGCTTTATAATATTATGATCATTACATTGTGAACACATTTTACGCCAATAGTGCAGCCCTGGAGGTGAATACAACCTTGGCAGCATTACGAAACTGAATTGTCTGTGCGAGAAAATAGTGGCGTCCGTCCGGAATGGTTACATCACGATATACGAAATAATTTGCGAACTAAATGCGAATTGCGTTTTATAAACTGTTAATTCTTGACATTTGATTATATGTTCTAGCAATAGGACCGACTAGTCCAGTGAATAGATCATTGAATCTCATACAAGATTAAATAATTCCGTCGCGTACCATGTTCACCGGTTGACTCAGGGCAAAAACCCTCATTTGACGAAAAGCGCCAGCACGTGATCTGCAGCCGATGGAGGGGTTTCGATTTAGCGTCAGGCAAAACAGCTGCCCCGCTTCTCCCACCATCTAAGAATCTTTCCCCTCTAGCCACCTTCCTGCTGATAGATTTTTGTCGTGGCGGCTCTATATCTGCATCCTCGACTTCACATCCACATCCTCCTCCTCCGCCCTTTCTATCGAGTACGTCGAGTCTAAATCTCGAATCAACGTACGATAGATTGTATACTCAAGTGGCCCAGATCCCACTCTCGAGTATCAACAACCTCAAGCGCTCCGGCGACACTAGAAAAAATCCTAATTAATCAGCTTCTCGAAGCCCAACCGCAATCATGGTTAAGTGAGTTCATACTTTCCTTCTACGATCTCAAATTGTTTGCAGACTATGATCATCCATATCTCGACTTCGGATTCTCCCTTGGAGACTGTCAACAGTCTGCGGAGATAAGCAAATGTAAACATCTGCTAATGTATATCCAAAATGTAGCTTCACCGTCGAAGAGGTTCGCGCCTTGATGGACAAGCCAACCAACGTCCGTAACATGTCCGTCATTGCCCACGTCGATCACGGAAAGTCCACCCTGACCGATTCCCTCCTATCCAAAGCCGGTATCATCTCCGCCGCAAAGGCTGGTGATGCGCGAGCAACAGATACCCGTGCCGACGAGCAGGAGCGTGGTATTACCATCAAGTCGACCGCCATCTCCCTGTACGGTCACTTGTCAGACGATGAGGATCTTAAGGATATCGTGGGACAGAAGACTGACGGAAAGGATTTCTTGATCAACTTGATTGATTCGCCTGGTCACGTTGATTTCTCATCTGAAGTCACTGCTGCTCTCCGTGTCACTGATGGTGCTCTCGTTGTCGTCGACACCATTGAAGGTGTGTGTGTGCAAACCGAGACTGTGCTTCGTCAGGCTCTTGGTGAGCGTATCAAGCCTGTTGTTATTATCAACAAGGTTGATCGTGCTCTTCTCGAGTTGCAAGTTTCAAAGGAGGATCTTTACCAATCCTTCTCAAGAACCATCGAGTCCGTCAACGTCGTTATCTCCACCTACTTCGACAAGACCCTCGGTGACGTCCAGGTCTACCCATACAAGGGAACTGTTGCTTTCGGTTCCGGTCTTCACGGCTGGGCTTTCACCATCAGACAATTCGCTATGCGATACGCCAAGAAATTCGGTGTTGACAAGCTGAAAATGATGGAGCGTCTCTGGGTAAGAATAAACCACTCAATGAATACACGGCGATAATATCAGCTAACATATGAATTTCAGGGCGACAACTACTTCAACCCACACACCAAGAAGTGGACTACCAAGTCAACCCACGAAGGAAAGCCTCTCGAGCGTGCCTTCAACCAGTTTATCCTTGATCCAATTTTCAGAATCTTCACAGCCGTCATGAACTTCAAGACTGAAGAGATCCCAGTTCTCCTCGAGAAGCTTGCCATTAAGCTTTCTCCAGAGGACAAAGAGAAGGAGGGCAAGCAATTGCTCAAGGTCGTTATGCGAACTTTCCTCCCAGCTGCCGATGCTCTTTTGGAGATGTTGATCCTCCACTTGCCATCCCCAGTCACCGCACAGAGATATCGTGCTGAGACTCTTTACGAGGGTCCTCCAGATGATGAGGCCTGCATCGGTATCCGAGACTGTGATCCTAAGGCTCCTCTCATGTTGTACGTCTCCAAGATGGTGCCAACCTCTGATAAGGGTCGTTTCTACGCTTTCGGTCGTGTCTTCGCTGGTACCGTCAAGTCCGGATTGAAGGTCCGTATCCAGGGTCCAAACTACACTCCAGGAAAGAAGGATGATCTTTTCATCAAGGCCATCCAACGTACCGTTCTCATGATGGGTGGTAAGGTCGATCCTATCGATGATGTTCCAGCTGGTAACATTTTGGGTTTGGTTGGTATTGATCAGTTCTTGTTGAAGTCCGGAACTCTCACTACCAGTGATACCGCCCACAACTTGAAGGTCATGAAGTTCTCCGTCTCCCCTGTCGTCCAACGTTCCGTCGAGGTCAAGAACGCCCAGGATCTTCCAAAATTGGTCGAAGGTCTTAAGCGTCTGTCAAAATCCGATCCTTGTGTCCTGACTTTCATCTCCCCATCCGGTGAGCACGTTGTCGCTGGTGCCGGTGAGTTGCACTTGGAAATTTGCTTGAAGGATCTTGAGGAGGACCACGCCGGTGTTCCAATCCGTGTCTCCGACCCAGTCGTTCAATACCGTGAGACTGTCACTGGAAAGTCCAGCATGACTGCTCTCTCTAAATCACCCAACAAGCACAATCGTCTTTACATGATCGCTGAGCCTCTCGCTGAGGAGGTTTCCAACGAGATTGAGGCCGGTAAGATTGGTCCACGTGATGATTTCAAGGCTCGTGCCCGTATCTTGGCCGATGATCACGGATGGGATGTCACTGATGCCCGTAAGATTTGGTGTTTCGGTCCAGACACCAACGGTGCCAATCTTTTGGTTGATCAGACCAAGGCCGTTCAGTACTTGAACGAAATCAAGGATTCAGTTGTTTCCGGTTTCCAATGGGCGTCAAGAGAAGGTCCAGTCGCAGAAGAGCCAATGCGATCTTGTCGATTCAACATCATGGATGTTACCCTCCACGCCGATGCCATCCACAGAGGTGGTGGTCAACTTATCCCGACTGCTCGTCGTGTTCTTTACGCTTCCGCTCTTTTGGCCGAGCCAGGTCTTCTTGAGCCAGTCTTCTTGGTCGAGATTCAAGTGCCAGAAAACGCTATGGGTGGTGTTTACGGTGTTCTTACCCGAAGACGTGGTCACGTCTTCAACGAGGAGCAACGTCCAGGAACCCCTCTTTTCACCATCAAGGCATACCTTCCCGTCATGGAGTCTTTCGGTTTCAACGCAGATCTCCGTTCGCACACTTCCGGTCAAGCTTTCCCACAATCCGTTTTCGATCATTGGCAGATTCTTCCAGGTGGATCACCTCTTGATGGTACATCGAAGGTTGGTGTTATTGTTCAGGAAATGCGAAAGCGTAAGGGTATCAAGGTTGAGGTTCCAGGTTACGAGAATGTAAGTTTACTGCGCCGCGTAAACCATGACAATCATTTGCTAACACAAATTTACAGTACTATGATAAGCTATAGATGGCGACTATCCTGGGTTGATAGATTTTGTCCTTTACCAGTATTGCTTTCCGCATCCAAAATCAAGAAAAGATTGTCAGCGGCTCATGCATACAAACCGTATCACGAATTACGAAGAAAGATCTCGCAGTCTATGATCTCTCCAAGCTTGTCGAGGGGGTTTTTAGTGGGCTGGATGAGATGATAAAAAAGTACAATGGACTTTTTAAACGTGATGAATCTCCTCACAACTTGTTTTTCCTCTTTTTTCGTTCTGATGTTAAGCAAGTCGAGATTTTGGTATTCAACCTTCATGTATGTAGCCACGTGAGAATTTGAAAAGATTTAGAAAGATTTTACGGAGTGAGAATTTTGTTCAATAACATGTAGTGAGTGGAGTGGTAATGTAGAAGAGTTTTGAGTGACATATGAGACTATACAGTTAGTGAATTGCCAGAAATTTTATAACTCTTAGCCAGCTTGTGTAATGTAAACTAGAGGTACCTACATTACTCTAGCATCGCATAAGCGGTAGCTCGATGGCTTCTTCTAGTAGAGGTTAAAAACAACGCTTTGCTACTTCAAGTCTATTTGCTTCTTCTAGTAGAGCTTGAAAGCGGCGCTTTGTTACTTAAAGTCTATTTAAGCAACTATATAAATTATTTCTATCGCCTAGTAGGAAACTACGAGGTAGTGTTTTGGGTAGGTTAAGATGTTTACTATTTTTATACTTTAGACCTTTGTTAAATTTATAAGAAACTAGTGCTATTACGAGTATCTAATAGACTGTAATACACCAAAGTAGATTCTTTAGTTGAGGACTTTAGAGTAATTGTAACAGGTTGTCATCACGTGAGTATATTATCTACCACGTGGGATCGCGTTAGCTTCCGAAAGTTATCCCCGCGAAAGTCGCGTCTTCGAATTGCACCTTTCTCTAAATCAAGTCTACGCAGTGGACCAAAATTCTCGGTACCTTGGAGCCTTTTCAACTCAAGGCACTTGAATTGATGATAGCGTCGTTGATGCGGATCTGTTGAGTAAAATTTACTTGCGGTCGTTGGGGGGGTTCTTCCTCGGTCAGTGACAATGTTATCCCATTACGGAACGCCCCAATTGGAAGAAGCTTTCAACTAATTCTTCTCCTTTACAGATCATCATTGTCACATTTATCTCTGAGAATTCGTTATGTCAACAAGTGGCCTCAGTCGCTTCACAGGGCCGAAGTCTAATGATGATCGTGCAAGAATTGCTGCGGGCGCCAAAATCTCGCTGAAAGACAAAAAGGCCAAATCGTCCTCGACCTCTAAAAAGCACCACCACGAAAAGAATACGACGAACCACCCAGTAGATGGCCATGAGGCCTATGAAGCATACCCACAACATGAACTTGAGACGACGTCCGCCCAGGATGTGTTTGGGGATTCGACAATTGCGAGCAATTTCGACGAAACCATAAGTTCTGAACAACTAGACGCTCCTCAGTTCCACGATCAGTATGGCTATCAGCAGAGGAATAGTGGTCAACAAGAACCAGAAGACTCTGATGACGAGGATGATACGGCACATCAGGACATGAATTACGATCTGCACGGTAGAACATCTGCACCACCTTTGGGTACTCAGGAATCCCAGGACTTTTACAATTCTGAACAGCCAGTTCCCACGTCAAGGCAAAACCGATTCCAAGAGCTCCGGCAGCACCGTGCAGTTTCCCCAGCAGTTCCTCCTCCAAAGGTTTCTCGAAAGCGGGAACGAACCAGCGAGCGCCATTACAATCATTTGCCGATTGAACCACAATATCAGCAACCATACCCACCGCAGGAGCACGGGGCCCAGCTAGTCCACTTACCTCAGAGACCAATACCGTGGGATGGGCACAATAGCCAAGAGTTTCTCGGCCATCATTCGGCTGGCGGAAAAGGCCATGGATTTGATCAATCATCCCGGACTGGAAGCCCAGTTCATCAAGCACTAGTCCAAAACTGCGAAGAAGGGATAGAGTCGTCACCAGAGCCAGAAGAGGCAGTTCCTGACTATACGGACGAAGAGTTGAAGAAGAAGCTGTTCGTGGACCTAAAAAATGAGGATTGGGGTGCTGGAATGCCCAAATATCAAATCCCGAAATTTTTCCCTGATGATTTGCGAGGACCTAGCATCTCCGTGGAGCAAAAAGTAGATGGGTTTCGAGACGAGGAGATTACAGACGAGAAACACATGATGCGGTCCGATCGTGAGCAAGAATCATTTTTTGAGCATTTATCCGACGAAGACTGGAAAGCTGCCGGCGAATATATCAGGAAAAAGACGGAAGAAGCCATGAATAATATGCAGGAGACACGAAAGAAGAAACGGGAAATTACCGCTAAATATGAAAAGATTTATGAGGAGCGAGAGAAGTTAATTCAGCACAAGGCTGCGCTTATACAAGCTCAATTGGCGCAAGTTCAAAATCAGGGGAGCTCTATGTTTCAGAAGATGTTGGCACCGTCTCCTCGTACTGGAGTGTCCTCTCCACGTTCGAATTCGCGGGCTTAAGCTAGTGTTGCGTCGTCCTTTTGGAGTTTTGCTTCAATTTGTACTTCGACCAAGCATATTGCTTTCTATCGCCATTAACGAGAACTCTTAGCACATATTTGTGCTACGTCTCGAATAGAAACGAGGTATCAAGTCTCGAATACTAAGTGGGACAGAAATCATAGCGTATGGCTGCATGCTGGGAGTCAAAAGAAAGGGCATAAGATTCAGCGCGATTCACTTGCTGGGGCTGGGCGTTATATAATGAAAATGAGATACCCATTTGCTTTTATTTTATGTTTTTTTGATACAGATGTACTCAAGACTTCCTCGGGTCATCTAGAACTATGTACCGCATCCTGCTAACGACATAAGCTAGTAACCTCTCCCATCCTACCCCCTCAACCTTCAAAACGCATTCTCAAATCTCAATAACCTCTTTCACCCTTCTATCCCTTCCCACCACCAACCTCAACTGCCTCCCCTTCTCCCCCTTAACCACCCCACCCCTAACCCCCTCCACAAATAGCTCATACGCAGGAAAATACCCATCCACAAACCTCCGCACCTCCTCCTTACTCATCCCCACCCCCTTGTCCCTCCGCAACGCTTCCTCCTGCTGTTCCCGCCACTCATACACGTACCCCGTGTCCTCGGCATCGATATGAATAAACGCGTCGAATTCATCAGTCAATACATCATACCCCTTTAATCTCTCATTCACAAACTCGAGATGAGAAAGCGCGTGCGATTTCAGGGTTAAAGATTGCCCGGCGACTTTTTGACGGAGTGCAGAGGAAGGGAGGGAGCGGAATCCAACGCACCAGCCTTCGAGGAGGAGGACGCGGATGGGGGGTTGTGAGGGCAGGTTTACGGTTTCCCAGGTCGATTCTGGAGAACGGTCGCCGAGGCCGTTGTGTAGGGATTTGTTGTAGGAGGGGATGCTGGTGGGTTCGCCTGCTAGGAGGGATGTGATGACTTTGGAGGCGAGAGGGATGTCGTGGGTCCCTATACTTATACTTAACATACAAAAATCTGAGATGTGAGTTTCTATTGAGGACTAACCAGGTTCACCTCTATACTGAACTAATTTATTATCCTCATTCTCCCTCGCTAGGTTTACTTGTTCGTCGTGGGTCAGGTAGAGGTCATCTATACTCAAGACTAGTGTTTCCAGCCCTTCGTTTTGTTTTAATGTTTCTTTTAAGGCGGATACGAGAGTGGTTTTCCCGGCGCCTTGGACGCCATTCAGGCCGATTATGAAGGGGCGGTTCGGGGTTTTGGAGGTTTGCTGGTAGGTGTGCAGACGGCTGAGGATGAAGGGGATGCAGTGGGGGGATTTGTCGTCGTGGATTTGAGGTGGGGATGTGGGGTGGGACATTTTGGGGAGGGATATAGGTGAGGTGAGGGAATTGGAGGTTGGAAGGGGATTTAGGCTATGGTGAGTTTGATAAAGAAGTTCAGGGGGAAATAATGCATGTTGTGATTGATAGGTGGTGGTTTTGATGAAATGGTTGGGAAGCGGGTTAGGTTCGGGGTTTTTGGCTCGGCGAGGGTGCAATTGAAGAAGTATATTTCTCTACATCAGAATTTCGAATTCTATCATGAATTTTTTTCACATGAGAATAGATTCGCTCTGAAACGAATCAACAATGCAGTCAAAAGTAATCATCCGTCACGAGCATCGCAAACACATGCAGCACGTGGTCCTCGATTTACATGTGAACGTGTTCGGGTCGTCAGAATGTGGGGTTTTGACTCCCGCTTCGCTGGTCGCATCCGGGGTTGACCAGGTCCCAGATGAGCCGAGGCATGCCAGAGCCAGTCCCGAACAACTTCCTCTTTAACCAGCGTTCTCTCTTCCTTCTTCTTCTCTTCTGCATACTCGAGTCCATACATCCTCGAATACATATACAATGTCGGAATTAAGATATGATGGCCAGGTCGTGGTGGTGACGGGTGCGGGTGGTGGATTGGGAAAGGCGTATGCGCTGTTCTTTGGATCGAGAGGTGCGAGTGTGGTTGTGAATGATTTGGGAGGGTCATTCAAGGGGGATGGTGCTTCGAGCAAGGTAGATACTCTTCTATTTCTCTGTTGGAATAGCTGCTGATTCTTTAGGCTGCAGATGTAGTCGTCAACGAGATCAAAGCCGCTGGCGGCAAGGCCGTTGCCAATTACGACAGCGTCACGTCCGGCGACAAGATCATCGAAACCGCCATTCAGAACTACGGACGAATCGATATCCTACTGAACAATGCCGGTATCCTCCGTGATGTGTCGTTTAAGAACATGAGCGACAAAGATTGGGATCTGATTATTGATGTCCACGTCAAGGGATCTTACAAGTGTGCTAGAGCCGCATGGCCCTATTTCCGGAAACAAAAGTACGGAAGGGTGATCAATACTGCTTCTGCGGCTGGTCTGTTTGGGAGTTTTGGACAGACTAATTATTCGGCTGCGAAGTTGGCTATGGTCGGTTTTACGGAGACTTTGGCCAAGGAGGGCGCGAAGTATAACATTCATGCTAATGTTATTGCACCAATTGGTAAGTCGGCAAGCTCTTTTCTTGCGGAATCTACTTGTAATATGTGCTAACCGAAACAGCCGCTAGCAGAATGACAGAAACTGTCATGCCACCAGATATTCTCGAAAACCTAAAGCCAGATTGGGTTGTTCCCCTCGTCGCCTGCCTCGTTCACAAAGATGCCGAGGAGAATGGAGCTATTTTCGAAGTTGGAGGTGGACATATCGCAAAACTCAGATGGGAGCGTTCAAGTGGTCTTCTGTTGAAAGCCGATGATTCATACACTCCAGGTGCTATTTTGAAGAAATGGGATCAAGTTGGGAAGTTTGACAAGAATGCTCAATATCCAAATGGCGTTGCTGATTTCATGGGTCTGCTTGAGGCATCAATGAAGATGGGTCCAAATGACAAGGGTGAGACTCTCGATTTCAAGGGCAAGGTTGCTTTGGTGACTGGTGGTGGTGCTGGGTAAGTTTGATATTTCTTGTTTTGGAAACATAATCTGACATATTTTAGTATTGGCCGCTGTTACTGCTTGGCGTTCGCCAAGTATGGTGCTTCAGTAGTCGTCAATGACTTGATGAACCCAGATGATGTTGTAAATGAAATTAAACAGGCTGGTGGAAAGGCTGTTGGTGTCAAGGCCTCTGCTGAAGACGGAGATGCTGTTGTAAAAGCAGCCATTGATGCTTTTGGTCGCATTGATATTATCGTAAACAATGCTGGTATTCTTCGGGATAAAGCGTTTACCAATATGGACGATAAGATGTGGGACCAAGTCATTGCAGTCCACTTGAGAGGTACATACAAAGTTACCAAGGCTGCGTGGCCATACTTCCTTAAGCAGAAGTACGGTCGTGTACTAAACACCACATCAACAAGTGGTATTTACGGTAACTTTGGACAAGCGAATTATGCTGCAGCAGTAAGTCTAACTCTTAGATCATGATGATTTCTCGCTAATTAGTGCAGAAATGTGGTATTCTTGGTTTCTCCAGGGCACTTGCTCGTGAAGGTGCCAAATACAACATTTTCGTAAACACAATTGCGCCAAATGCTGGAACAGCTATGACAAGAACCATCTTACCCGAAGAGATGGTTCAAGCATTCAAGCCAGACTATATTGCTCCGCTAGTCGTTGCACTTTGCTCAGACAAGGTTCCAAGCAACCCAACCGGAGGTCTTTACGAAGTCGGCAGTGGATGGGTTGGACAGACAAGATGGCAGCGAACTGGAGGACACGGCTTCCCAGTTGATGTCAAGTTGACACCCGAGGCAGTACTCAAACAATGGAAGAGAATCACCGACTTTGAAGACGGACGAGCAGATAACCCAGAAAGTGCTCAGGATGGTCTTAAGAGTATCATGGCGAATATGCAGAATAAATCTGGCGGCAAGGTATGAAGAATCTCTACCTCTGTCTTGTATCTTGTAGTAGTACGAAGTTCAAATGAATACATATTAACACATTTTGCGTCTTAGAAGAGTGATGTTGATGACAAGGCAAACGCTGAAATCCTGGCCAACATTGAGAAAGCAATGAAAGCCGAGTCAACTGGCACAGAATTCACATACGAAGAAAAAGACATCATCCTCTACAACCTCGGCGTAGGAGCCAAAAAGACAGACCTGGATCTTGTCTTGTAAGTCCCCCTTCCCCTCTCTTGCCACTCTCTAACACCCTCCAGCGAAGGAAACGAAAACTTCCAAGCCCTGCCCTCATTCGGAGTCATCCCCTTCTTCTCCGCCGAAACGCCCTACAACATCTCCGACATCGTCCCCAACTTCAACCCCATGCTCCTCCTCCACGGCGAACAATACCTCGAAATCCTCTCCTACCCGATCCCCACCTCGGCGACCCTCGTCTCTCACACCAAACTCCTCGAGGTCGTCGACAAAGGCAACGCCGCCATCGTCAAATCAGGCATCACCACCGTCAACAAAGCCACGGGGAAACCGCTCTTCTACAACGAGTCCACGGTCTTCATCCGCGGCTCCGGCGGCTTCGGCGGGCAGAAAAAACCCGCAGACAGAGGCGCCGCCACCGCGCCCAACGTCCCACCGAAACGCGCACCCGACGTCGTCATTGAGGAAGCGACCACCCCCGAACAAGCAGCCATCTATCGACTCAGCGGCGACTACAACCCGTTGCACATCGACCCGGCGTTCGCGAAGATGGGCGGCTTCAAAGCGCCGATCCTGCATGGTCTGGCGTTCTTTGGGATCGCGGTGAAGGGGGTGTATCGCACGTTTGGGCAGATACGGAATGTGAAGGTGCGGTTTGTGGGGAGTGTGACGCCGGGGGAGACGCTTGTTACGGAGATGTGGAAGGAGGGACACAAGGTGGTTTTTCAGACGAGGGTTAAGGAGAGTGGGAGGGTTGTTGTTGGGGGGGCGGGGTGCGAGTTGGTTGGGGAGAGGGGGGAAGGGAGGTTGTGAGGGGGTGGGGAGAAGGCGGGGAGTGTATAGATGATTAGATTGAGCGCAATTGTAGATTTGTTTAGCGAAACGGACGTTGATATACACATTTCTCGCCCACGCCACCTAGCATTTAACGATATCAGAATACATGTATTCCTACAGTCCTTCTTTCTTACCTCTCAGCCTCTCAAGGCGAGGACTGAATCTTGAAAGCTTGACAAGAGAGCCTGTAATGAAGCGTACAAGATGGGAAAGAAACGAAACACCGAATAACGCTCTGGCGAATATGATTCTCAACCCTGATACGGCCGGCCATTAAGAACACTAACTCTAAATCAAGTCTTTCAGAAGCTTTCGCGAACTCTGTAGTTGACTTGTCACATCTCATCCAATTAGTCGCTGCAACAATTGCATCCTCAACATCTAGAGCGATTGACTAATCAGACGCCTCGACATCATCCCCGAAGCACACCTACATGAACCACAAATCCCGAGTCTGATCTCAGCCCATCAGTCAGGTATTCATCAGGCACGCGCCAGACTCTGAAGGATTGATGGAACTCTTTCAACCATGACTCAAATACCTCGTCTGAGCGTAGTTGTTGTCCTACGATTACTATAGTGGGCTGAAGCTCGGGATCTGATCGTCGAAGATTGCAGGCATCGACACTGGTTTGGACCAGCGGCTTGATTAACATGTCGTTGTATATGCAATCGCATGCTATGACAACATCGAATCCGTGGTGGTTTTCGGATTTTGAGAGGGAAGAAGTCACTTCGTCGGTCTCCCAATCGAGGGTCTTGAAATGAATGTTTGTCGTTGGTGCCGTGTTTTGTTTCTTCGCTTTGTTGCTCCGACTTTTAGGCATGGTTGAACTGCTCGAAATTCTGTTTTCCTCCAGATTCTGATTTAGGAGTTTCGAGACATATTGTTGATCTGTCAACACGTACTCTGATACATGGGGGCCAAGCGTAAGCCCAATAATTCCAGATATTCCACATCCCAGTTCAAGAACGGTAGAATTGGCGTCTATGATTTTGTGTTGGAATAAGATGTTAGAGGAAGCAGATATCCAAGAAGCAAAAAGAGGCGTTACCTTCCAGACAACTGTAGATATGTCAGCGCAAAAATCGGTCTTGGGGGTAATTTCTGTACCTGCACCTGTGGTTCCTCCATCCCGATTTGATGATAATACGGTTGGGGACTGGTGTATAGTGAGATCATGGCCACCAATACTTAATTCCAAGGTGGTGGCTTTTGAATCAACAAACCCAAGGTCTTGGGAAGGAATGGATTGAGAAAAGAGGAGGAACGATTCTGAGAAAAATACTTAGCCGGAACGTACCGTGAAGTTGTTAGCTACTAAAATTACCTTCTTCTGGATCCTCAATCTCTGGGCCGAGCAAAATGAGAAACTCTTCCATAGCCCTTATCCACCAGATCAGATTTAATTCAAAATGGCGGAAACCAAGTGAGACTACTCTATGCGCCCAGAAGATAGAGGTCACTTGATCTTGAGGTCTCAGAAAGCTCTGCAGGCGTTCGGCGTGGCTGCGTGGCACAATCCGAGCAGAAACGACAGAATGTTAAGACGTCCTCGTATGTTTGGCTTGTAAATTTTCCTGTAGACGGTACTCCGTATTCCGTACCGTCAAGGTGGTGGCTTAGTAGGCTTGGTTTCGTGGACAACTCTTGGTGAGATATCTCAATACCCGCGGGAGTAATCGCTACGAGTGAAGCGGAATTTGATAATTCAAGCAAATTTTCTCCGTTCGATGAAACTATCTGTATTGCACTTCGAATTCACTCGATATGTGATGATTCATTGGATATTCAACGAGGAAAGCATGAAGTGAAATGGTCGAGATAGGTAGAGCACAAGAGCTGTGGCTTGTTTTGGTTTTCACCAAGGAGATTTCTTGGCTTGGCAATGTGCCTTTGGCTCGGGATATTCATGCCTCAGGCGTAAAACCACTTCCCCTGTCATAAAGTGCAAGTGCCATGACGATTCGGTCTGTTTTCCTGGGTTCCCCAAGCTCCCGCTCCGTCGTGCTTCCTGGTCAACCGGATTTTATGACATCGAGCTGCTGCCCATCACAACCTCAACAATCAATTCGAATATTTGCGACAGGCCTCTACTGCAATCCTCCTTCTTCGATTTCTCATATATCGAAGGTATTTCTAATATACCCAGCCACATAGCTCTAGCTTCACAGAGCTGTAAGGATGTCTCTCAAACACATCACCGTGCAGCCGAAGCTGGTCAAGAAGCCTCCGTTCTCCCTCGAAGTCCCCGGCGTCCAAAAAGTCGAAGGCGAAACAATCCCGCGAAGACATCCACAGGCGATCAACGGACTTATTGACACACCGTCGGAGGATGTTAGGACCATATTCGATATTTTGAAAGTCAGTGCAGCCAAGTATGGCAACGCGAAGGCACTCGGGTCGCGCAAGCTTCTCAAAACACATCAGGAGGTCAAGAAGGTCAAGAAGATGGTCGATGGCGAGGAGAGAGAAGTCGACAAGAAATGGACATACTTTGAGCTTGGCCCCTACGACTACCTGAGCTTTCACGACTACGAAAGGCTGGCTCTACAACTCGGTGCTGGGTATCGAAAGCTAGGCATGCAGAAGGATGATAGAATACACATATTTGCAGCGACGAGTGCGCACTGGCTGGCAACCTCCCATGCAGCAGCTTCGCAGTCAATGCCTATCGTCACAGCTTATGATACTCTTGGGGAGGAAGGACTTAAGCACTCCCTGGTGGCAACAGGAGCCAAAGCTATCTTCTTGGATCCTCATCTCCTAGTCACTCTGATCAATCCGCTGAAGGAGGCAAAAGAGATCAAATATGTGATCTGGAATAGCCAAAACGATGTTAACCAGGATAACATCAACAAACTACAGAGCGCTCACCCCCACCTGAAGATCATGAGTTTCGAAGAGCTCAGACAACTTGGAGAGGCCAATCCAGTGGAGCCTGTGCCACCTACTCCAGAGGATCTATGCTGTATCATGTATACATCTGGTTCCACCGGACCACCCAAGGGTGTACCAATTAAGCACAAGTCAGTTGTGGCTTCTAGTAAGTAAAATCTGTCATTCCAAGGACATTCACTAATTTGTGACAGTCGCTGGTGTTAGTGTAATTGTTGAACCATACCTTGGACCGGGTGACAGTCTTTTGACCTATCTACCGCTCGCACACATCTTCGAGTACGTTTTCGAGAACGCTGTTCTATTCTGGGGTGGAACTATGGGCTACGGAAACCCAAAGACGCTGTCAGATACCTCCGTAAAGAACTGCAAGGGGGATATTAGGGAATTCAAGCCAACGGTCTTGATTGGTGTTCCGGCTGTGTGGGAATCCATCAAGAAGGGTATTGTTGCAAAAGTTAATGCTGGAAGCCCTATCGTCCAGAAATTGTTTTGGGCTGGTCTATGGGCAAAGAGCAATATGATGGCCTACGGCCTTCCTGGAGCTGGGATCCTAGATTCCATTGTGTTCAAGAAAGTCAAGGATGCCACTGGTGGTCGCCTAAGAATCTGTTTGAATGGAGGAGGGCCAGTCTCCAAAGACACTCAACGGTTCATCTCTATGGCCATCACACCGATGATCAACGGTTATGGTTTGACGGAAACAACTGCAATGGGAGCCGTCATGGATCCTCTAGCATGGACCGACACCGCACTCGGAGATATTCCAGGAAGTGTCGAAATCAAGCTAGTTGACTTTGCTGATGCCGGGTATTTCTCAACAAACAAGCCTCATGCACAAGGTGAGATCTGGATCAGAGGAACTCCCGTTTTGGAAGGCTATTACCAGAATGAGGAAGAGACCAAGGCCGCTATCACCGCTGATGGATGGTTTATGACGGGTGATATCGGAGAGTTTGACAGCAATGGTCATTTGAAGATTATCGATCGAAAGAAGAACCTGGTCAAGACTCTGAATGGTGAATATATCGCTATTGAGAAGCTTGAATCGATTTACCGATCTGCAACTGTCGTCGCCAATATCTGCGTTTACGCTGATGCGCAGAAAACAAAGCCAGTTGCTATTATTGTACCAGCCGAACCAGCGTTGAAGAAGCTTGCTGAGAGAATTGGCGTGAAGGGTGACGGAATCGAAGACCTATCTCGCGACAGAAAGATGCAGGACGAGGTACTGAAAGAGTTGCAGCAAGCAGGAAGAGCAGGTGGATTGTCTGGTATCGAGATTGTAGAAGGTGCCATTTTAGCAGATGAAGAATGGACTCCTCAAAATGTAAGTTGCCCTTCCCACATTATATGCCTTTACGTCATACTAACTATATATTAGAACATGGTTACCTCGGCACAAAAGCTGAACCGAAAGCTCATTCTTCAGACATACCAGAAAGATGTGGATGCTGCGTATTCTAGAGCTGGTTGAACGGTGAACAATGTTGGGTGCGGGTTGGTTGCATTGATTTGGAATGGAAAATTGCGATTAATAATTGAGCGGTGTGTCTTTTGGTTGTATGATATACTTACTCGTAGTTGATTGATGACCGCCTGCGCACCGATTTACGATTTATATTGATAACTATGCTCTTCATCTTGGTGACTAGACTACGCTACCAATATTTCATGTGAATATCCGTATTTCGCCGACATTCGAGCATCAATTTTGGGATGAGCCACGTGCGCGAAAGTGAGTAAAGGTATATATTTTACTTTAACGAAAATTCTAGCCAATCGCACGATTTCTGCCAAAATCCATCACCTAGGTTTTCGGCTCGGCGCGACAGGCTCAATGGTCTAGTGGTATGATTGCTGCTTCGGGTTACACCCTCTTTCGTTAGAGAGAACTGTATGTGGCAGGCCCCGGGTTCAAATCCCGGTTGAGCCCCTTTTTTTATTTCTTTCGGATGTAGCAAAGGTTCTTGTTCCTGAAGGAGTTTTTCTATTTTTTGGAGGGTTATTTTACAGGTTCCTAGTTGTGACTCTATGTAAATGGTGTAGTGGTACGTAGATACTAAGTCGGGTGTTGCCGCTTTATGGCACCCGTTCGGCAACGCTTGGCTTCGATACTCAGCTCAAACATCCATTACATCTATACAATAATACGCGTACTATGAATACATGTCCATTTCCTTTTCTTGCGCTTTTTATTGATTTAATCTCACTAATACTCGTAAATCCTCTTCCGCATTCGTCTACTCCAGCCCTGCGCCTCGACTCCCCGCTGACGAGTCTCGCCAGTCATGATTCATAAGAAACATCACCTCAATGATGTGGGAGTAGGCCGGAGCAAGCTACCACGTCCGACCGCGTCACAAATCCTACCTTGACTGCCCAGTATCTTCCAGAAAAATTGCTCATCTCCATACCGATGCCGAACTTGACCTCAGAGCCTGCCGAATCACCATGGTGGCTGTCATGCCAAACAATCCTGTCCGGGCCATCCTCACCCCCTTCGCCGTGCTCAACCACTCGCCATCAGCAACGTCTTCTGAACGGGGGTCAGGACTCCCAGAGCTGAACAGGAACGCAGGAAGATGACAACCTGAGGTGTCTAGGACGCGATACTGGTAAGCAGGGAAGGGCGTCAGCAGTCAGCCGAATCAGACTTATAAGTTCGCCACTGGTTCTGGGTATTTTACTTGTGTCACCAAATTCCAGATTTGCTGAATTCAAGAATGGACATCGAAATGGCGACTGAGAATTCTGAAAGCAGTTTGGTGGTGGCTTCGTGGACGACGCTTCAGGTTCCTAAATCTAGTACTTTTGATACGAGGAATACGGAGGATGGGAGGACATGGCTTTCTATCATCAGACCTATGACGCGTTCGAAGCAACCGGGCTTTTTGCATGGGATTTTTGGGAGGGTTGTTGAGTCGATGCAGACTGTTTGGCTTGTTACAGGTAAGTAATTTTCTCATCAAGTTAGGTCAATACTAACACGCTACTAGCATGGGAGTCCTCAGAAGCACTTGAAAAGTTCGAAGCTTCGTCAACTTGGTCTACGCAGCGTGAACTCATGGCTTCGATGAGCATGACGTTCCCAAAGACTGTGCATTGCGACTTTTCGGGCTTTTGGTGGGATCGTTTGACGCCTCATACTGGAGTCACTGATCTTTCATTTCCATCGTCCATCGCTGAGGACGTATGCATGAAAATTCTAGGCGTCAAGGGACTGGAATACTTTTTCCGTCCTGGTGCCTCGGAGCCGAAAGCTTTTAATGGGAGTGGTGTGCGTGGATGGATCAGAGGGACTTCTAGGGTCGACGACGTGGAGGTGATTACGTTACGGGTCTTTGATCATTGGATGAGTGATGAGTTGGAGACGGAGTTTAAGACGAAAGCTTCTACACTTGAGGGCGAGGAGGGGATTTTGGTGTACGATCGGTTCGTCAGAGATTTTAAGGAGCTTGGGATGGTGAACATGAAGGAGCGGCATTGTAGGTTTACGCATATTCCGACGACTTTCTATTGAGTCTTCTGTGAAGGAGCTGTCATATATGTAAGATCTGGAAGTTAATATCGAGATAAAGTCCAAGCTGGCTCACAGAGGTGCCGTTCCCGGTTTTTGAAAAGTAGCTATAAAGTGTTTCAGGGCGCAAATGCCATAGTGGTCAACAGTCGTTAACTTTCTTGTAGGAAAAGAGAAAGTCCAAGATTCAGCTAGAAATGAGAAAAGACGGCTTCAGCTCCATCGTTTCTAAACACTGTCTATTTCCTCAGCAGGCATTTACACATGTCCTCTAATCGTCTCCACAAAATCCTGTCGTTTTCATGTATGCTCCCTCCAGGACAGAAATCGACCTCAAACGCCTTCTCTGCTCGCCCTATCATTGCGCCAACCTCGCCGCACTCTTCCCAGAATGCCACGAAAACTTAGGTTCGGGGCCATTGTTCTCAAGATAGTAAGACCACGCAAAGAAGACAATACTATCCGGATTCCTACTCATATCCAATTTTCTAAGTCTATTCTTCAGACACTCTGTCGGTTTCGCTAAACAAAAGGTCAGCACATCTTTCCTCAAACAAGAATTAAGAAAAACATAGACAGAGCTTCTTACTTCCCACATCTGGCGTATTCTCCACCCCAGAAGTCAAATGAATCAACTCATGAAAAAGCGTCAAACTCCTCGGCGCCGTCTTCTCCAAATCCATCCTCACACTCCTCGCAGCAGCAGAAGCAAACGTCAAATCAATCGTCTCAAACGGCTCCGATTTCGCCTCATCAAACGCATCCGGACAAATCGTAATCGTATCTCTCAACTGGCTTACACTCGTCAACCCAAACCTCTGCTCCTCAGGCGTCATATCCTGGCCATTACACCACGACGGCGGGTTCCCAGGGTATCTCGCGCTCGCCTTCTCAATCACGTAGTCCCTGATATCCGGCGACCAGTACGCGTAGTGCGCCCAGTCTGGCGCGCTGCCCTGGCGCATCTTGAGCAGGATGTCGATGAAGGGGTCCGCTGGATTGGCGTTGTCGGGGATCGGCCACGTGCGTAGATTCCCTTGCGTGACGCCGTCGGCGGCGTAAATTGGCAGCCCAAGGTCGCCGTCGAACATTAGTTCTGTCTCGTGTTGCCAGTCGCTGTTGCAGAATAGCCACGGTTTTCCGCCGGAGCCATCGATTTGGGGCTCTTTTAGGGAGGGGTTTCGCATTTCTAGGAAGTCTTTGACGGATTGGACGGATCCTGGAATGGATTTGTTAGGGAGGTTGTTGCTGGGTTGGAGAGTATGTGAGATATGGAATGGATTGGGTTGTTCAGGATGCCTGTTTCTGGGTGGGTGATTCTCTCTCTTTGGGGACTTTGGTACTCACTGGTCACAGTGTCAAGTCTATCTGCTTCCACCGGATCCATGTCAGTTGCCTTGACTTTGATTCCAAACCAAGCATTCAGGTTTCTTTTAAGAGCTTTGTCATTGTTGATAGCCCCCCCAAGAGCGGCAAGTGTGGAATCAACAAGCGTGACTGTATCTCGAAGCCAGGACTTGACTATCTCATCCTGTGGAGGTCGACATGAACCAGGACCTGCTCCTCGGTCAAAGAACAAATCAGTGAGTTCGACTGCATTTGAAAGCCAAAAGAAGAACGGAACGAAGAGAAGGGCTTGATATCTCATTTTGACTGCGAGAATAGAAAAGTGGCCAGCAGAGAATTGATGAGTTAGTATCTATGCAGGTGCAGCTTCTACATGATATGTATTCTCTCTTCGTTCATTTCTCCTCTCTCCTCGAACCCCCTAATCTCGAGATAAAAAACTCGAATTTCCCGCCAGAAATCCTACACCAAAACTCTCCAACACAAATCTCCACATCTCACCCGCAAAGAACAATCGAACCTTCCATCCTCCTACCTCCGCATCACCAATTCCCGTCACATAGCCCAAGAGCGTAGCACCGTAGGATTCTCATCTCACATATGAAGTGGCCACTCCACAGAACCTTAAAAAGAAGGCTGCAGATACGACCATTTTCCCATAGGGCTGCTTACTTCTTTCGCTTAATCGTGGGGGAGGATTCCGATGTTTGATGTATCCAGCGACTCGGTTGGAGATCGTAAGTCAGCAAGGACGGCATTGATGAGGCTGATGCATGGTGCATCGGTGCATCGTGGGGTGTTGAAGCTTGTTCGGCGGGTCCGTTTGGGTGGTGTCGTGGAATTGGAGGATGGGTAAGCTTATTTCGCCGCTGGTGGAGATTTAGTTCTGGTGAGGCTAGACGCTTGGAGAATATGATTGAAATTAATGCGGTTTTGGAGATGTGAAGAGTTGAGAAATGGGTTATAATATACCTCTCTTTCGAAGTCGAAATGTTATCTGCAGGTCTCTCCTCAGTCACTTCTCCAACACACTTCATCCTCCTCAGCAATCATGGGAAGTTTCAAAGGCCTTGCAGCTTTTGCTGTATTGAATCTCGTCTCGGTCTCGAAAAGTGACGGGGTGCCTGGCATCAACGAGGCTCAACACTCGATTCTTCGCCAACAGGAATACAATCTCTGTCTCTTCGACAAATACGCAACAACGACTTGTACACCTTACGGTACCGCTGGAATGACACCGATTACTACTGTAATCACTGCTTCTAACTCTGCCTCTGCAACCTATGTAGCGTCATATCTCACAGAATACGCTGGGTTGCCGTGTGGAATGGCAACGATCTCTACTAGTGTCAGTGGGGTAGAAACGAGTACGGTTTATGTTGGAGAATTGGGACAAGGTAAGTTTGCTGTTTAACAAAAGAGGTTGTATTGGATTGATGCTAATTCAAACAGTCTGGAGCAAAGTCAATGGAGATTACAATGCATATCCGACACATCCACCACCTCCTCCAGTCACGACTGCGAGTTGTCATTATACTTCTTCATTGAGTTCCAGAAGCAGCACTCGCTTCAGTACCAATAGCGCAACCAAATCTAATACCTCTCATTTTAGCACTCTAACGAGTCGCTCATCGAGTGTTCTTTCTAGCGCCGGCAGTGCTTCCACTTTAAGCAGCAGGTCGAGTAGTAGGAGCTCTACTAGGAGTCAGAACGGTGTTTCCACAACTTGTGTTTCGCTCGTCTATGGTTCTAGTTGCGGAATCGTCTCTACTACTCCTTCGACTTCTAGTACCACCAAAGCAACGACACATAGTACTGTGCTGACGACTTGTAAATATTCCGCGTATGGTTCTAGTTGTGAACCACTATCTACTTCTGTGACAAGCTCTAGTAATGCTACCGAATCAAGTTACTCCACCGGAACAGCTACCCTTTCAAGTAGCACCGGAACTTCGAACACAACAGTTTCTTCATCAGCGGTCAGCGGCACCTCTTCACTGACTTCGACTCTTCCGATCTCTCCGTCTCAAACCGCGTCTTCGGTGAGCGCGTCTGGTACTCTTAGCCAGGCAAGCACGAATCCATCGTCCGCGACTAGCACCAGATCCAGGGTTTCGAGTCCTTCCACTTTGACCTCTGCTTTAAGCTCCTCGTACACTGGCACTTCTACAGATTCTATTTCAACAGTTTCTTCTAAGAGCACCACTTTTGGCGAAAGTGTTTCAACAAGTATTAGCTCACAGGCAGTATCCTCTGCAACTTCTCAGACCTCGTCCTCAGAATCTCCCTCCTCGTCACCATCACCAGTATCTAGCACAATAGTGGCTACTTCAAGCGGGATTGAGACGAATACGACACCTTCTGGAACCGCGACCACATCGTCAAGGAGTTCCATTTCCGCTTCATCGTCATTGGTGATTAGCTCGAGCGAAAGTGCTTCGGCGAGCACAATTGTGGGAGGGCCATTGACAACAGTGTTGGGAACATCAACTACTATTGGTGCTACGGTTTCTTCATTAGGTAAGACACCTTACTGGATCACAAACTCAGAACCTAGATCTGGCTTAATTTCTATTGCATTCCACGTCTTTTAAGCGCGTTACCTACAAGACGAGTGGACTGACGTGCAATAATTTTAGACCTGAGTTCTTCTTCTAGCTCTGCTATAACTTTTGTTTCCTCGATTGCGTCTGAATCATCTTCAGGCACAATAATACCGTCGACAGTCGGAGATTCGTCTTCATCTTCAAGTAGTGGCACAAGCTCTTCGTCAAGTCAACCATCGAATACCGAGATTCCAGGCCCCGGATCATCTGCAATTATTACGTTGTCTCCAAGCACAGCCGCACCTACGACTTCAGTGACTACGACAACGTCGCGTTCCGATGGAGGAGGCATCATCATTGTTCCAGTTGGGATTCCAACCATCACAACGTTTCCAGGCCCAATATCAACAACATCCCTCAATACAGTGGTTGGTGTAACCACAAATCAAATTTACACAACTGTCGATGCTTCGGGAGCAGCTGTCACTGCCTTGCTTTTCTTCCCTTGTCTCTTCCTCTGCGAGGGCGGTCTTGGTGCCTTCTTGGTCTTTGGGGTCGGCCCAGCACCTGGTCTCTACTTCCCACCTCTTCTCCCCCCAATTCTCATCGGACCAGATCACATCCCAACAGCAGCACCGAACAACCCTTCACCTACTCTGTCAGCGCCGACTGACAATCCAACACCTTCAACGACTGAAGCCCCAAGTACCAGCTCATCAAACGCTTGTAATACCCGAACAGCAAGCGCATGTTCCACTCTCTGCAATGGCAATAATTGCCAGACGAGCTGCTCAGCAGTAGCCACGGGATGTTCAGCCACATGTTCAGGGACAACATGCTCCGTATCGTCTACGAAGATCAACCTCGCTCCAGCTTTCACAGGCGGCTCTACAATCGACCATGACTGGAATGCTCAAACCGAATTCGACCCAGCAGCAGCCGAGTCTGTAGCTTCAGCAATCGACGCCATCGTCACCGAAGATAATCTCCCCGCCTCAACTGTCATCACTTCGATCCAAATAACCACATTCATAACCACGACGAGCGCTAGACCGCCACTGAGCGGAACCAGCGTCGACGAAACTAGCTATGGACCTGGATCTTTCTGCCTAGGACTCAGCCCTGGTGGTGGGTTGACCTGTATCACCATTCCTGCAAATTGCTATATCGCAATTCCGTCTTTCAATGTCATTCCAAAGACGACGTGTACTAGGACCATTGTACCTCGGACTACAGTCTCGGAAGCGGTCATCGTACCTAGAGCTTCGGGTTCTGTAATGGGGATCCCAACTGCTGCGGCTTGCGCACTTGGTCGTAGAGTGAAAGATGGATGTGGGCGGATGTGAGTAAAGTTTGTGGGAAATGATCGAAATTCCTGCTAGGACAATCGTCTTGTGCTATCTTTTATTGATGGAAAGGTGCTTGGTAGAAATATAAGTCTCCAAACATTAAATGGCATGAAAGTTGGGAATAAACAATAATGAAGTTATTTATGCAATGTTGTGGTGTTACGACGACACGTGATGAAGCAGTGCGGAGAATTGTTTACGAGAGCTGCGCTTTCTTTCCTTCTTCCAACATCGTTTAAATATCAACAGCTCGCACTTCACGTCGGAAAATCTGATTTCTATAATTTGATGGCTCGGGATCCAGGAGGGCAGGTTCCAATTAGCCCACGAAGAACCGATCAGCTCTTTAGGTCGATCTTATTATTGGACTGCTATGGGTTCGTCCATAATGATTTTTCCCCATCTCTTGACCCTCAAAATTTACTAATGAGTCTTTGGAAAATGTCACGAAATTACGAGCATAGCTGTTTCCTGAGAAAAGAAGAGGATGCTTGTCATAAAATCATCTATTCAATAACCCTAAATCCACATCTTCGAAAGGAAATAAATCTATCACCAAAAATCATGCCTCTGCGTGTTTCGGGCCCAAGAAGAGAAAGTGTGCACCACGACGCATCGATGAGAACCCGCATTCTTACAACTCTCCGACAGTATGGATACTGTTGTACACGAAATGATAATGCGCAACGCCAAAAAGAAAATTCAAGATCGCAAACGAGATAGACAGAGTCTCCCTCCACTTTCTGTGTGACCTGACGACGACATTCAGTCTTTTACACAACAAGCCCAGATCTTGGTCATCTTTCACATTGTCGATGAACTCTGCCGGAATTGGGACATTCATGATTTTGCACACAGTCGTGTGAAGTATTGATGTCAGATATACGACAACCACAACCACAGACAGCGTGCCAAGTGGTGTGTAAATCATCGGCCAAAATAGCGATGTATGCTGTGGCTGCATGCCAATGAGCGCTGCAGAGCTGTCGAGCCGGATTGGGACTCCAACCATGAGGAAGACGATGAAACCGCTTACGACAACATAAGTTGTATGGTTGGCGTTCCAATTGCGGAGGGACCAGAGGCCGTGCAAGACTTTGTATTTGCCTTCAGCGGGCGAAAGACTTGAGAGAGCGACTGCGATGGAGAAAGTTCCGATGATGAACAAGTTGACTGTCTCTTCAGTGTAGATGGTGAGGGCGACTTTGACTAGTTTGCCGTAGATGTCGACCCAGGCCTTGATTTGAATCACGTAGGCGAAGATGCTGAGGACGTCGAGTACATTGAAGACTCGTTGGAATGGTTCTTCCTCCCCTTCATCAGTGTAATCGCCGTTATTGGTAGGGCCTGGGGTAGGAGCATAACTGGCTAAGATATCGATAATGACGTTAAGAAGATATGACGTGTTGAACAACACGATCCACACCTTCTCCCAAAAGATATGCTGGAGGTCGAAGATTTGCTTAGCCTGGTATAGACTTAGCAAGAACAGAACACCAGAAGCCCATGCTTGGGGCTTTATGATTCGCCGTCGACGGCCGTTTCCAGAGACTCCTGACTTCAAGACAACAAGTTGTGCACATTCGAACAGGTCCAAGTTGTTGATCCAACCATTGAGCATCCATAGAAAGGTAGAGTGGATGTTGACCGCGCAGATGAAGGGCGAGTCGTTGGCGGGTGCCATGAGCCATGATTCGAACTCATCGGTTATGGAACGTTGAATGACGCCTAAGAAGGCGGATGGTAGGAGCATGAAGTAAACTTCGAGGCCGGTGGGCAGAGTGTTCGTAGTGTTCGAGGAGGAAGAGTCTTCCAAGATAGAGGTGATGTTTTCTGTGAATGGTCAGTGGAAGTCAGTCTACTTGATGGGGCGACTGACGAAGAGTGGCATTTTGTGCCGTCGATACGAGGGTAGTCATGTTAGACATGGCTGTTGTCGTTGGCAGAAAGTATGGTACAACTGAACGAATGTGAAAAACGAAATTGGAATTCCAGAAAATGAGAGTCGGGTGCTGAGATTGTTGCTGAAGAGTGTGGGCTGATAAGGAGTGTAAGAAGCACAATGGCTCTGGTTAAAGATGGTGAGTAGCAGACTGACATGAGAAGAGGGGACTGAAGATGCTTAAGTAGGGAAACAACATTCAGGGCCACGGAAGATGAACGAAACCTTTTGGACGGAGCCTTCTTTCCCTCGGCCTTCTGGTAGGTCAATTCGACGATTGAGAAGTCGTTTGCTTCGCAACCTCCTCCTCAAACACCCAGCGGTAGCCCACGAGTCGCCATGCAGCATTGTCACATCCCATGAGCAAGCTTGCTAGTCCGGATACCCTGTTGCGTTGTTCCGGTAATCTCGTTGCAGATATTTCGGGGCAGCAACTGTTGAACTTCGACCAGGCTGCCACACCTTATCTTCACGGTGAAAACTTCACCGTCACAGTCTACTAAAACGTTGGAGAGGGAGTGCCTGCCAAGACTGTAATGACCAAGAGACTACACCAGTGGGCCATACCGATAAGTGACCCTTCACTATGGACGATTTCATGACGGCCACTAGCAACGAGAAATAGGTTGGCTATAGAAGATCCCACAAGTAGTCTTCAGTCCTTCTGTACCAAGCAGTTGGTGACGATCGAGGTATTGTTCACCAACGAGAAGGAGACTGAGGATCGCCGGCTGGGGACCAGCGCCATTGTCAGGTACAAAAAGCCAGGAACAGTAAGCTAGTCCAGACTGCCGGGTCATTTCAGCCCCCAATACCAAGACGCTCCGCCTCAATTTAGTACTTCGGCTCGTTTAGGCAGGGCTGAATCGACTTCTCGCCACTTGATTCTCGTTATGGCTGAGATAGACTATCGAATGCGTCGTGATCACATTTAAGCGAGACCTATGAAGGCCTCGCTCCCTCGACAGCCAGCCAAATCCGAGCATTCTTGCTTTTGCGATTGCGAATATTACAGACTGGGAGTCTGGAAGCTTCCAAACCGGATGTCCTTTTCGGGGAGGGGGAGCATGGGCTTGCGTGACCTGCGTCATGAGTGACTCAGGTCCATCTCGCATTCAACGGGTCCAAATCCGTCTGAACGTTTGTGAACAGTGCCACGTACGAGGGCGCCCGTTTACAACAGGTCTGAGCGAGGGGGGAACTAATCGTTCTCGTCCCCCCTTTTGCTCGTCTCTGCTCACTCGGCTCAGTTCTGACGAATGGTACAACACGGTTTGCTAACTTTCATGGTGAAATTTTCACCGATGAAACTGGGGGCGTAGGGTAAAATGAGTCCAGTGTACATCCCGAGGTCCAGACCTCAAGGGGAGTTCGTCCAGTAAAAGAACTTTGTGGAATGCCGGGATAGAATCTCTAAGATCCGGCCACTCTTAACCTATCACCAAGCAGAAATATGAAATCAGCGAGTGTGATGACGGACCGCAAGGCACATACGCTCAGCCACCTATTGAACATCACCAGCGCAGACCACAAGCTGGTTTCAAAAGCACACTAGTGGCACACTAGCAAGAGATTAGTAGTACGCTAGCAATAGACTGGAGAAAGCTTGGAGTGATTATCCTTTTTCGAAAAGTTGTGGTTGTCTTTTGACCCTCGGACTTTTTTGGGGCAACTCCAACTGGTATGGCTTGCGTAATCAGTAGCTGACTATCAGATGGTTATAGACTAGTGTACATGATTTACCTGCTTTCAAAGCCGTGTTCCTTGTCAAGAATGTTGATTTCGTTTACATTTTGCCTGGAGGGTTGATCGTTAGCCGAATATCTTCTTTACGACCAGAAATGTGATGTGATTCCTACCATGTCTGTCAAATTGATTAATCATCGTCGACCTAAGCTAGTGAAGTGAGAAAAGGGGTTGAAATTTGCTGAAAGTCTACGCTTGGCCTTTGAGTAACTGAATGGTTGTTCAAGGGTCCCACAAGCTTTTAAATGAATCTATTCTTGTGTTCCTATATGATTAATAGAATACAGTATCGATAGGGTATATTGTGCGGCAGAATAATCATACTACCGTTTCTTCAGCTACTAAAGACTATTACTATCGACACGTCGTAGGTGAAGGTTAAATCATGATTTATAGGCTCTAGCAATTTGGTAAATTCCTCGATAGTGGGTGCTTGGAATAGCTTGTTTCTGGTGCTGATGACGATTCTGAGGCTTGCAATAATACGTACAATAACTAAATCTATGTCTTCTGTTGATTCGAAGAAAATCCAAAAAAATTGTATTCTAATGAGGTTGGTTGGTCACAAAAGTGATATTAAAGCACGCGTCACGTGAGCCGCGCTAAGTACGCGTTTTGATGTCGCGTTGTCGACCTCGAAAATGCGACGTTGAACCACAAGGAGAGAAGTTTACCGTGGCAGATCTCAAATATGGCGAGCGAACTCCGAGTACTAGTTGAATTATCCTCATAACAACACCGTCTGCGTCCGACCCTACTCCTACGCCGTGATCGAGAAGCTACCCATGTCGTCGACGACACCGAAACGAAAGCGCAGCAGAGCGCAGAGTGATGAAGATGACGATCTTGACGAGCTTTCGCAGAAGAAGACGACCAACTTGACTCCTATATCTACCAGCGTAAAAAGAAGGAAACTAGCTACCTATACATCGGCATCTACCAAAAAGGGGCTATTGAGCTCGATAGGGTCTTTGGGCCAGAAGTTAGCTGGAGGCCTCTGGGGCAATGGTCAAAGCGGCAAAGAAAACAGACAGGATGAGCATAATGTCGACGAGTTAGCGGAAGGCAAAGATATTTGGGATGTCGTCAGTACAGACGACGAAGGCAAGAAGGCAGACAGAAGCCCCATCAAGGAGAAAGGAAGTGCCAAAAAGATGGTTAAGGCAATTTTGAACGTTGAGAAGGCAACGCCTCGACGAAGGAGCGCGGCAGAACAGCTCAAGATTGATATGGTGGGATATGGCTCAGATGAGGACGGAACCCCCAAGTCTACTTCAAAGAATGGCCATAAAAAGGCGCAGCTGTCAGGCTCTACTTCGAAATCGGAAGCAGTGTCAAATGCCACAAACAAAGATGGTTCCATCAAAAAGAAGCGGGGTCGGCCATCCAAAGCAACTCTCTTGAAGAATGCAAAGGCTCAAGCAAGTGAAGAGAAACGACTGGAGCTGAGTTTAGCAGATCGGGAGTCTGACGGGGAACCGCCATCTAAACAAAAGACTAGAAAGAAGCGGGTTCCACAGATTACGGAGGGCAGTCTCCCTCCTTCAGATTCAGAACAAGCGATTTCATCTAGCATCAATATCAAATCCAAGAGGGAGCTAAACAGATTAGGGATTGACATGGTGGATTCGCCAATATCAGCGCCAAAGGGAATTCTTACACCTAGCAAGAAGGACAGGGTTGTTCGACCCCAGAAAAGCGTCACTTTCAGAAAGAGCAATGAAGATTTGAATCTTGGCTTCAAAGATTTACCTACTTCTGCGGATGGAAAAAGAGCTCACGCCAAGACCAAGAAGGCTCTAGAGGCCGAGGAAAGTTTCTTACACAAGGTCAAAGTTTCATCGCCCACTGTTCAGGAGATGGACAGTGAAGAAGAATTAATTGTTGCCGGTGAAGTTATAGAGACGGATGAAGAGGAAGACATAGCAGAGTCGGAGGACCGCAGCCGCTTGGAAGAAACAGCATGCTCGATTTGTTCGAAGCTTCACTCTCCAAAAGGGAATCAAATTCTTCTTTGTGATGGCTGCGACTTGGCAGTTCATCAGAAATGTTATTCTGTACCAGTAATTCCGAAGGGTGATTGGTTTTGCAGGGATTGTAAGAGCCAACCGGATAGGCACACAAAAATGGACGTTGTTGATCTTCCTGACATTGAGGGATTTGAGGGGCATCTGGGTAGGATTCAAAGAACTGTTTTGGACCGACTCACTGGCAAAACTCGTATTAAAATCGCTGGCCATGACGATCAATTGCAAAAAGTTCACCAAATTGTTGAGCAGACCGTCCTAGCAGGAGAAGGAAACTCAATGTTAATAATAGGAGCAAGAGGCTCTGGGAAAACAACTGCATGTCCCCCTCCCTTATACTGGTGCATTTTGTTCTAACACCAACTAGCTGGTTGAGTCTGTCATATCAGACATTTCTAAGAACGACCGAGATAAGTTTCATGTTGTACGATTGAATGGATTCGTTCACACGGACGACAAACTTGCGTCTCGTGAAATTTGGAGACAACTTGGACGAGAGATGGAAATTGAGGATGACTCGGTAAAGGTATTTCATCGCTCCCTTGCTTCCCTGATTCCTGATCTAATATCCTCTAGGCAAGCAATCATGCAGATACGTTAGCATCACTTCTAGCACTGTTATCTCATCCTGCGGAACAGTCCGAATTGTCATCCCATCAAACCGCAAAGTCTGTTGTGTTTATTTTGGATGAATTCGACTTGTTTACTACGCATGCCCGGCAAACTCTATTGTATAATCTGTTCGACATAGCGCAAGCGAGGAAGGCCCCAATCGCCGTGTTAGGATTGACAACCAGAATCGACGTAGTGGAAAGTCTTGAAAAGAGAGTGAAGAGTCGTTTTAGCCACCGTTACGTATATCTGTCGCACCCACGAAGCCCTCCGAACTTTTGGGACATTGCCAGAGAAGCTTTAATTGTTAGTCCGACTGAAAAAGACTCTGGCTACCTTGACACCTCGATTCCTGGGCAAAATGAGTTCGTCTCATTTTGGAATACCATGATTGATGTAAGCCTCATAGGACCAGTCTTTAAACCTCTTCAAGCATGCTAATAATCTAAGGGTCTTTATGCTGAAGACAATGAATTCAAAGATCATGTGCAATCACAATTTTATCGTACGAAATCCATCCCTGCTTTTATGGCATCCTGCATCATGCCAGTCGCATCGCTTTCGACAAAACAATTTCCTCTAGTAGGCAAGGCTTTCCGGTCGTGTACATTATCTCTGGGACCGCCCGATTCGAAGCTTCAGATGCTACAAGGACTTTCGGAGTTGGAACTTTCCTTGCTTATTGCCGCGGCAAGACTCGATATTATCCTTGATACGGACACATGCAATTTTGCAATGGTGTATGACGAGTACAGTTCTTTAACATCTCGGCACAAGATACAGACTTCAAGCACGGGGCTAACCGCAATGGGCTCCGGAGCCAAAGTGTGGGGGCGAGACGTCGCCCTAGATGCCTGGGAGAAATTAGCTGAATATGAATTATTAGTCCCGTTGAGTATCGGGGGCGGTAATACAAGAGGGCAAGACTCCGGCGCAAGTGGGCGTATGTGGAAAATTGATGTTGGCCTTGAAGAGATAGCGGGCAGCGTTGTCGGCTTGAGCGGGGTTATGTCTAAATGGTGCCGCGAAATTTGATAGAATTTGGTATCATAGGCCAGCTAATGTAAGATACCCTGAATATGCATGTCTTCAATAACATATGAGTGATGCAGGTGTAACTGCAATCTAAGGTATTTGAGCTGCACACGGTCGCCCAGTTTGTATGACAGATTTTTGGTAAGCCAAGCCATTTTCCCACGCCCGCATATGCTTGAAGGTAACGAAAAAGCCGATAGAAAGCAAGAGGCTCCGATAGGATGTTATAAATTCGTCTTATGCCCATACTTTCACAATTCTAGTTTGATGGCCAGTTTGCTTTCTAATTTATCACGTCGCACATTGTACTTTGAGTCATCCGATCTCAGTCTTGCAAGTGCAACTACTATTTGCTGTCAATTAGCAAAGCTTATGCAGCTCATTTTCTCGAGGGTGTGAGGCCGTTTGAAGCTCACGATGCTCTCTAATTGCCGTCGTCCAATCAAAGATGTTGAGGGCAGAGGCTGCCGCTTACTGCAGGCCTATTAGACCCAATCACAGCATTTGACAAATTGTTTTCAGCATAGCGTGAGCCTCACCGAATTGGAGGCCACTCAGAGGACGCATGAATCCAATATCCTGGTTGGATATGTTCCGTAGGGCGTTCGAAGCTGCTAACAATTGGTGTTGAAAATATGCGGCTCGCCTCACTTTGATAAGTCAAATCATATCAGGTTGGACTGCTTGTATTGCCTAAGAAAGTGTGTTGCTGTTTTCTGGCCCCCGAAATGCTGGTATAAATTCTTCTATTCTGCGAAAAAAGTAGACAGCTCTTCATTCTTTCAAGTTTTATATCAGAAAGTTGAAGATATGGAGCAGTTTGTGAACGTTAGTGGTTTTGGCGGTGCGGCCATTCCACCGAGCAAAGCGCATTTCGTCAAGCAGGACTTAGAGAGCGTCATCTGCTATGGAGAAGCTTTTGTATCGGTATTTCACGAATATGCTTTGAATGCCGACAAAGTACCTCGAGGATTTGATGGCATCACAAACATTTTTGATGCTTCTCTGGCTACTCTGACGAAAGTCTCCAGTATTTTCAAAGACGAGTCTTTAGGCCAGAGATACAAAGCAGCGGATCATCCTCTTAATGAGAAAGGTCTTTCATACGTTGCCGGGCTCGTGTTGGAAAGTGCTAGAGCCTGGAAAGTGATCGAGTCGGCAATTGCGGACACATATTTAACTCCCCAAGAACACCGAGCTAAGATGCGGACAGAGGAAAAAGCTCTCAAAAATGGGGGCAAGAAAGCTATTGATATTTCGACTCTCAACCTCGATCAGAAAGCTTTGCTGGAGAAGCTAGAGGATATGGACTTTAAATCATGGAATGGAGCGGAAGATAATGTGGAAAATGCTGTAGAGATGTTGTACGATATCCAGCTATGCCTTCTTTTGGTGTTCCAGGTTGTTACTGTTGGCGCTCTTTCAAAGAAGAACCTGTAAGTTTTTCCTAAATTCCACGATCGTTTGCTTATGCTCTCATCTAGATCTTCTGGTACAGTTGATGTTGCGGCTATAGTCAAGTATCATAATCGTATCAAGCGTACCGCTAGACTGGCAGGAATTCCTATGCCGAAGGAACGAAAAAGTCTAGAAAGTAGTGACTCCGATGGCTCTAGTAGTCTGAGCGATTGCGATACGATAGGCTCGTCTCGGAAATCCTCGAAAAGACCTACATTTGCACCGATTCCGCTACCGCCACCACCTCCAGCTGTTCGAGAAAATGTGCCGTGCCCTCCACCTCCGCCAGGCATAGGAGTACAAACTGCTATCCTCCCTCCTCTATTGCACCCAACACTTGACAGCATCAGGACGACTACTCCCCCTCTGAGTTCCGCAGCAACTATGAGTACTACAGAGACTGTAATTGAAAATTTGCACTTACTGTCACAAGAAAGCTAACCAAGCCAGGTTAATCCTCCTTCTTACACCGAGAGCCACAAAACTCCAGAAGTTACAATGCCCACATCTTCGCCAGATAAAAGTCTTGAAAAGGATAAGAAAGAAATGTCCGAGAAGGCGTCTACTTCTGACAACGACGGATCCCACAGCGAGTCAGGTTCCGACGAGGAAACCGAGTAAGCCCCTTATTCCGGTCTACTTATAGCCGCTTACTATGTCTAGACCCGCTGTGATTGAGCCACGCCTGTTCAAATCAAAGCCTAATGGCATTACGTTTAAGCTTCGCACCATGTTTCAAAGTAAAGAGTCTCTCGCTCTGGAAATGAGAAAGGCGCTTTCTGATACGGAGTCTCGACTAATGGCATTCGTTATCCAAGGATCTACCAACAAAGCCATCCCACATTCTTCGTTTCATTCACTGGAGGCCACGCATATGCGTACTATCTTATCACAGCTACGTAGTGACGCGTGGTACAAGACTTTCACAATGTTGAATTCGGCTGAGCATATGGCTCTTGGCCGTATTACCCGATTCTTTTCCGAGGGTAAAATGTACGAGAGAGAGGTCCTTGTGCTCAAAGTCATCCAGGAGACATCGAGACTTACCGCTTGGACAGCACTCTTGGGGGATCTTCGTCGAGGAAACACCCACTCAACGGATTATTATGGCGACAGTCGCACTGTTCTCGCCATAGTGAGAGACCAACTTGTGAATGGTAAACCGCGTGAACCTATGCCGAGCATAAATAGAATGCCTCCACCTCCTCGTGCCAAAAGTCAATATCACTCGGCAAGCGTCTTCCGTCCTCCACCTTCCTCGTACACGTTGCCTGTGCAACCAAACATAACAACATCTGATATTAGTCGAAACCCAATGCCTAGGCCACCAGGTCAAGGCGCAATACCACCACCTCAGAACCCCCCATATCCATTTGGCTTAGGAACTGTGATTCCTCCGGCCCCACCTGGATTCCGAGGCGTGGGAACCGCTCCCCGACCTCCACAAGGACCTGCTCCCAAATCTACATCCTCTGTTCAGGTCTCCGATATCACGATAGGCAATAATCATGAAGCAGAATTAGCTTTAACAAGCTATAAAGAATGTACAATGCGCCGCTGCCAGGCTGAAACACCACAAGCTGACCGCTCTTGGCTCCGGGTCACTACTACTCTGTAAGTTCGCCAGTGTTATTTGATTCCTTGATGTGTTTCACTAATGTTTCTACTCTCTAGCGAATCATCCTCTCCAGAATCAGTCAAACTTTGTGTAACCAAATTCGCAGCCTATGGTAGTGTTCTTGCAAGTAAGCTCAAAATGTCAGAGGAACAGGCCGATCAAGTGTCGCGGCTTATCGACAGCTTCAGGCTGGCGGAACGCGACATGCGATTTGAGTGGTGCTGGGTCGTGCTCGCTCTTCTGGACAACAGCGGGAATATCTTGAACAACAGACCAAATCAAGTCGTTCAACAAATGACACAAACAATCCACTTGGTTGCAAAACGTAGCTTGAAGGCATGCTACCGACCGTTGGACGTTTACAATGCAATGATGCGAGTCAATGGTACATCGAATCCAGGGCCGCCACCACTCCCATCCAACCCTAACCCCCACCCACTCCCGCCTGTCCATGTGGTACCACTCCAAACGGGAAATTACCGTTACTCTAAACGTAGGTCGTACGGGAGTGACAACTATGACAGTGGGAGCGATGACTCTGTCGGTTATGTCAAACGACGCATCAGAAAAGTCAAGTCTCAGAATCGAACTAGAGGGTATGTGGCATGGTCTCGAGACAGGTACACAAGACGCGGGTCTACCAAGATCCAAAACACCTTCAAGAAAAGTGCGGCCCGTAATTATGATTTCATTTCCGGTTCGGATACCGAGTCTGAAGAAGAAGAAGATCTTGTCCAAATCGTGCTGCACTTGCAACGCGGCGAGGATATTGTCCAGAGGCTTCTGGCGTTGTGGACTCCCCAACAATCAGATACTAAGGAGGAAATCAAGGCTTGATCTTTGCGGTATGGGTTGAACGAGTGAGTTTTGGGTTTGAATGTTTTACGGTCATTGATGTCTCCTACGAGTAACGAGTTACGATCCTCCCTACGTTATAGAAACTAAAAGGTAAAAAAATAATCAGCGTTTATCCATCTTGAAATTATTCTAGCTCTTCCTTTTTGTGGGCATGATTATTTAGGGAAGAAATGGAGTTCGCACCTGACATTATCTCTCCCTTTCGTCCTGTTATGGCGACAACACATCTCGCTTGTCATTGATAGGTACCACGGCACTTCACCAGCTTAGTTCGAAAACCCCACTCTTGTCGTCCTGTTGATTCCCCCCAAGATTGGCACTGGCTTACAAATATGTCATGCTCCTAACGCCATACTTCGCCAAATTCGCCATATCTGATGAAATCAAGCCATATCCATGTAATACATTCCAGTGAAATTGTTCTTGTGATTATATGCTGTCAAATCCCATTGATTCCAGCTTGGTTTTTCAAAGGTATAATACCAAAGAACGATATCTACCTTCACTATGGTTAAATCAGGAGAAAAACTTATTAATAAAAAGGTCGTTATAGTCGGCGGAACTTCAGGGTACGTAACATCATTCGTTAAGACTCTTCTCTACTAATCAACATCCAGCATCGGTTTTGGCGCAGCCCAAGCATTTCTTGACGCCGGATCGAACGTGACCGTAATCTCAAGTAATCAAGACCGAGTCAACGACGCAGTAAAAAGGCTTAATTCACCCAATGTCAACGGCCTTGTCGGGGATGTACGAGACGAAGGCGGATTTGTCGAAGTGCTAAAAGGCCTGGCTCCTATCGATCATATTGTCTTCTCTGGGGTTGATCTCATCATTCGGGGTGCCTTGGAAGATTTAGTGCTCGATGAAGCTAAACACTTGTTTGGTGTGAAGTTCTGGGGTGCGGTTGTGATTGCGAAAGGTTGGCTCCCTAAATTATCTAAATCATCTAAAATCAAAGGAGAGACATACTGATTGAAATCAGCGGTCAAGAAGCATAATCTCATCAAACCAGGCGGTTCCCTGACCCTGACTTCTGGAACCGCAGCTCTCAAGCCAGGCAAAGGTGCTGCGACCGGCGGAGCACTCAATGCCGGTGTCATCGTTCTAACTAAAGGACTTGCAAGCGATCTCGCAGAGAATCGTGTGAGAGTCAATGTAGTGGTGCCTGGACTTGTTAAGAGCGAGCTCTGGGGAAAGTTAGGCAAGACGGAGGAGGAACAGCAGAAGATCTTTGAGGCGTCTGATCTTCCGGTTGGGTTTGTTGCTACGCCGGATGATATTGCTGAGGCATATTTGTATTTGGCAAAAGCTGATTATGCTACGGGAACGAGTGTTGAGATTGGTAAGTTTGATCTTTGAATTCCTGGGAATTTAGTACTGATATTGAATAGGTGGTGGGAATACGTTGTGATCTTAAGGTGATTTGGACAACATGCTTGCGTTAGCAACTTGAAACTACCAATTGCTTTAATATTTGAGTCGTAATATAAGGATGTCGGCTTCAGCATATCCTGCAGTTTTGCAGTCTATAACACCCGTCTGTTCATCTCATTAACCACTTGAGCTCACTTGTGCTGCGAAAGAGAATATGCATTTCTGTGCTCTAGACACAGTCATATTATCAAGATCAGATTCGTGAATATCCTCCGGCCAATATTAATAGATATAATTTATGATCCAGTTCTGGAAAAGAATCCAGTCGTTGTCTCCTACTAAATCCATTTTCCCCCGTAGTATCACGTGCGTGGCATTTCTATTTGATATTTCCTCCCTCAAGCTACCAAATACGGAATAGAGATTTTTATTGAAGTCTAGATCTCAAGAGACACTTACTCAACTGATGTATGTGTTTAGGCATCGTAGCTGTAGATTAACTAAGTAGATCGGACACGTGAAGTGTTAAGCGGACGACAGCGTAGCGAATAGGGGGGTGAATTTAGTGTTTCAAGTCGCGTCCTGTCTCTCCCCTCTCGTTGGTGTTGTTGTAATCTGTATCCTTCGCAGCCAAAGACTTCCACTAGGATGCCTTTAATAGACTCCGTTTCGAATAGACCGCGATCAAGCAGATCGCAGAGCCCAAAGCGACACGAAGATCAGTTGAAAGGAGACCGCGTTGCAGATAGAAAGACTTTGAGATCTGCGAGGTACGACGCGCTATCATCCTGAGCGCTGAATCCGCTAAATCAAGCAGGATTTCGACACAAGCCGATGTCATACTTCCCATGCGGGAGCCTTATATGCAACAGATTGTCAACGGTGAGAAGAACTACGAGTTTCGAAAGTATCGCTTAAAGGCATCTGTCAAGCGCATATGGTTCTACTCGACTGCACCCCAGTCCAGCATCGAATATGTTTGTGAGATTCTGCCAGCGAAAACACGTAATGCCGGTGATTTAGCACTCGAAGAGGATGGCTTAGGAAACAAAGAGTTCAACGAACGGCACAAAGATTGGGAAGGCTACGACTTTGCATATGAAGTTACCTCAGTCTAAAAGATCCAGAAGCCGGTCACTTTGAAAGATCTAAGGAACGACCACAGCATGAGATCTGCGCCCCGAGGTTTAGTATATACGCCACCGTCTCTTGTAGATCTCGTGGACTGGCAGAATCAGAGCAAAGTCAGATGATGGAGGGCGAAATGAGTAGTTTTACGCAGTTCGCATATTCATAGGACATCCATCTCACTTGTCTGAAGTGTTCTGGACTCGTGTGCTGTGTCGAACGGTTGACTTTAAGAGCGAACCGAAAGCAAAGCGACCAAGAAGGCTTTCTTTTTTGGAACCTATATTATTATAACACCTTGATACCTCCACGGTAAGATACTATCTCGACAACTAATGCTACAGTCAGAATCTATAACTAAATCCACTCGGGTCGAAGCCACCAACAACTCCAAACGCTGTGCTATCCACGATCAGATACTTGCACCTGTTGGCACCCTTAGGCTAGCCACGACACTTTGAATCGTGAATGATGCCGAGGTGTAACTTGTGGCCTTCAAAAAGAAGGTGGATGTATTGAAGGCTGTAGCCTCGAAAAAGTCGATACGGCTCATCGACCCACCTCTCAATCTCTTTCCACAACATAGTCAAATCTTTACCCTCTCGCCGAAGAACATTGTAGCTGAGAAGATATCCTTGACCTGCTTTGCGAAGGTAATCATATGCTGTCTTTTGTAAGTACAATGACTTTGACACCTTGGACCCAGACCAGTCGCTGATCAATGGTGTATAGACGATAATAGCTGGTTTTGAGAGGAAGCGCCATAGGAGCTGCTCTTGCCAAAATCCGGTATAGTCGCTTCCGCAGATCTCTATCCAGCCATAATCAACCTGCTCATAAAACATCCCCAGAACGAGATTAAAAAGCTGACAGTTGAATTGAAATTGTTGCGGATCTTTTTTGGTCGTGTACACGAAGCGGCCATGATAGGGGCAACTGAATGAAACGCTTGTACAGTCCTCTGAATAGACATTGTTGACTCCATACTTGTCAACCAAACCACAAGTGGGACAAGGTGCGCGTAAAGCAAGTTTTCCAGTAGAAGGCATAAGGTGTTTCCCCAACACCTCACGATTCTTTATAACGGTTTGAAGCACAGCCGTGATTCCAGACTGCTGAAGAAACTCTTTCTCAAATCGCAGCTCATACTTCACTGCGTATTGTTTTGAGAGCAGATTTAGAATATCTATGTAGTCAGGGAGGTGTTGTTGGAAGCGTCCAGTATCTCGCAGACCTCTCTGGTATTTGATACCCTCGATCACAGATTCTTCCCCTTTTGCCCGGTCCCACAGATCACATCTCACGATAATATCCATGCCGAGATCCTGCAGACGACGAGCGACAGTAAACGCCAGACCAAGGCTACAGAGTGTACCAATGTGTGGGGAAGAGTTTGGCTGGATTATGATGTTGACTTCGGTTTTCCTGGATCCTGGAGGCAGTAGGGACTTCAGGTATGAGGCGTAATCGGTTGAAAAGACATAAGAACCACCACCCAAAGCATGGTGCGACGCGAGCTCATATGGAATCGGACCTCCATCACGTGGTTTGGATTCTTTCGTAGCGTCCATTATGAAGAATAGATGGTCGTGGGTCAATTGGGTAGATCGATGGACGCCTCAATGGTCGGAAATTGGAAAAAATGAGAAGAACAGCGAGTCGAGTAAGTCTTATCTCTTGCTTTGAAAACAGAATGAGGAACAGAAAAAATAGCACGACAGCTTGGTTTAAATAGAAACTACACTCTCTATCATTGCTGGATTCATCAACACATTCAGTAACGAAACTTTCAAGCATTACCGCCGCTCAGGCTGCTTTGCAACTCAGCTTCTTGCAAACTAGTTCTACCCGCCAGGCACTCCTTGAATATGGCCGCTATAGCCAACCCGGTGAGACTTATATCTCACATGATAAGAATATATGGCCCTCAGAGGGAAATCCAACCATCCGATGATAATTGGTATCTGCAAGAGGAGGCTCTTACGACTCGGTGACTACCTAGGTAGAGTTTTCTAAACACAAAGGAGTTTCAAGTCGGTCACGCGTGCTTCACAGCTAGATGTTTAAATTACACCAACACTAACGCAGGCTTTCTAATATGGTGAATGCGATCTTCTAGCATTTAAGCGCTTTTACAACAATTCGAGAAGAGCAATTTCCCAACACAATGAATGAGACTTTCCAACTGGATGAAAATGAATCACAATTCTATGCAGCTGTTACCAATCGCTAGGTCTTACATATATGTGTACGACATTTCATGTAAGAGTACACTCTTAACTTTTACTTCGTCTATTAGAAGCCTACCACTCTCTTTAGGAAGACTTTCTTTTTTCAACATACTCTCAAGTTTCAATCACTGCACAGAAAATTATTTATCGGTTGCGAGCCATGACTCGATACGACAACACAAATGCTATTGAACTTACGGAAGTTGATATGATTGTGGTTGGCGGTAATTATCCAAAGCTTTTGGCTCTTCAACTCTAGGAGTATAGTTAAGAACTAGAGCACTGCTAACATCAATACAGGTGGCACATCAGGATGTATAATTGCTGGCCGAATCGCAAAAGCACAACCAGACATCTCCATATTTGTGATTGAAGGTGGGCTAGACAATCGGCATGACCCTACTATTAGCAAGCCTATATTGTGTTCCACACATATAAAGGGGGAAAGCAATTTCATGTCGATTTATCAGGCGCAGCGATTGCCAGATACTGTTAATCGAGATTGCTTCATTAAAACCGCAGCTGTACTTGGTGGTGGCTCTTCGGTTAACTTTTGCATGTAAGTTAAAAAGTCTAAAAACACGTTATGCTCTGTTATACTGATTATACACAGTTACACTCGGCCATCGGCTGCCGACTTTGATAGTTTCAATGCAGATGGATGGGCGTTTAAAGACATTTTGCCATTCATGCGAAAGGTATGCTGTTGCGTGAAATGTTCGATTGCCTACATTGACTGTCTTTCTAGTTCGAAACCTTCCACGGCTATGGCAACTCACGCGTCCATGGATATGATGGGCCGGTTCATATCTCGGATGGTGGTTTTTGTGTCCCACGAGTTGAAAGTATGATATTTGAAAGTGCGGCTAGATCCGGTTACGACTATATCGAGGATGCCCAAGACCCTACAGAACTACCATCTATAGGAGTGGCTAAATGGAGGCGGTATGCTTCAACCGATGGAGTCCGCCAGGATACAGCGCATACCTATCTCCATCCTCTACTCGATGATAACCAACATCCGAACCTCCACCTGGCTTTGAACACGAAGGTCTCTAGGGTGATATTCGACAAATACAACTGTGTAATCGGAGTGGAATGTTACAGCGATAGAGAGATTTTAAAAGTCATTGCCACAAAACGTGTGATACTTGCTGCAGGCACCTTCGGCACTCCCCAGATCCTAGAACGCTCGGGGATTGGTAGTTCTCGACTCCTGAAGAGCCTGGCAATACCACTTGTCTCTGAGTTAAGTCAAGTAGGAGAAAATTATCAGGTATTGCCATCCAGGTTCCATGCTGGGTCTTGAAAATGTTGCTGCTTTGGCTAATATTTACACTTAGGACCATCCATTGATATCTGCTGCATACAAAACGTCCTTAAAACCAGGAGAGACCCTTGATGGCGTTCTTGGGTCCGGAAAAACACTCGCTCATGCCATTCAGACCGGGGATCCCATTTTAGGATGGAACGGCGTCGATATCTGCTTCAAGTTACGTCCTACTGAGATGGAAATTGCTAATTTCAGCCTCGCTATGCAAGCTGCTTGGGAAAAAGATTTTCAACATGTTCCAGATAGGCCCGTGATATATCTTGCGGTTGTGTCTGGGTAAGTCCCAATCTTTATATTGTGAAAATTCAAGTTTATTGACAAACGCCATGCTGACTGTCGTCGTTGAATAGCTTTATAGGTGACCGGAAAGCGGTTCCTGCGGGTCAGTATGTATGCATAACCTCGTGGCTGGCACATCCGTACTCGCGAGGCAAAATCCACATTGCGTCGTCTCACGCCAATGATCCACCAATATTCCATAGTGGTTTCCTCTCAGATCCCGATAATCTCGATCTGGAAATGTTAGTATGGGCGTACAGAAAGGGTCATGAGATAATGCGCTCCTTCTCATTCTACGATGGGGAGGCAGATGTCGATGGTGCTGCTGGTCTCGGTCATCCCGATGGAATATTTTTGGAGAACGGAAAGCTACGAGCTGATAATGGACCGATCCAAGACTTTGTACGACGAACCGTAACGAGTGCACTTCACCCCTTAGGAACATGCAGAATTGGAAGTGGTGATCTTGGTGTGGTCAACGAGCGCTTGGCCGTACATGCCGTGGGCGGCTTGCGCTGTGCAGATCTCAGTATTTGTCCTAATAATCTTGGTACTAATACTGCCAGTGTTGCAATGACTGTTGGTGAGAAAGCTGCTGCAATGATTTTGGAGGATTTAATTGTTCCATGTTAAGTAACTATAGTCAACTACTGTAGGATTCCTTCCAGTCCGTTAATAATGGGCTACGGGAGCAGGGTTGTAATAAAATAATGAGATTACAGAACTCCTATGCCCACTCTCGCGAGGTAGAACAGGCTGCTGCTGGATCCTCGTGGCTTCCGAGGAAGTGGACGCGAGTATGAGTTGAAAGACGACTCCTCATCCTCAAAACATCTAACTCTCTGAACTGTTGTAGTGCTCCTTTTACGACACCCCTCAAGACCAAGGTCTCGGACTTCTGAGAATCTCAGACATAGTTAGAAGAGGAAGTTACCAGCATATCTGATTTAATCCAGCTTAGATATGATTTATAAAGTTTGACGGGCTTAGCGAGCTTGACGATCTCTTTCTCAAAGTATTCGATATGGGATATTTGACTGCACCAAAATACGGGTTCATATCCTTGGTTTCGTCAGAACACTTGAGTCAAGAGTGGCTGAACATTCTTTCCTGATAAGAAGGGCACGCAACCGTGTCTCAAGTTTGGCGTCCGTCTTGCAAAACGCTTGTACCATGAGTACCAGAGCCGCACTGATTATGAAAAGCCCTCTTATCAACATCTGTGGCCAATTGAATTTTTGCACCATAAAAGGGTGGCGTAGGTCATCAATGATGGTCAGATCATTGGCTGGGACGATGAGCTGCTCAGTGTGGGTGTGTTACACAACTTGTCCAATCTCCAATCTACCTCTTGCGGCAGCCTACACGGTGTGCCTGCGCAAAGCCTTGTTGGAAACCGGTTTGATATTTAGAGATTTCAAGCCACGCCTGTCGGTATATGAGCTTCTTTTCAGTCGAATATCGTGAGATTTGATTACTACAAGGGATATAGCTGCTGATAATGGACCAAGACGAAGATACAACCAAGCATAATGCTAATGCAGCACTATCGAGATTCTTCAAGACGAACCGCGCAGAGTACGACACCGGGACTGTTCTAGTTGTATATTGGGAAGAATGTGAGGAAGAGTTCAAAGAAGAAGGTCAGCAAGTTGGCGCATTTTTTTCCAACAAATTTAACTACAATGTTGAGTACTTCGAGATTCCTCGTGAAGATCCCGAGCTCGCGTTGGATAGCCGGCTTAATGAGCTATTGCTCAAGAACAAAAAGAATGACTGTCTTTTGATTATTCATTATGGTGGCCATGGAGACGACGACGATGCGCAGAAGAGACAACTGGCCTGGGCACTGTAGGTCAACAGCGTCGTCAATCCGGAATATGTCCACTGACGCCTTCTCTTCCAGTAATATCGAGGGCGACTCGCCGGCATTATCTTGGTCGGCTTTGCAACCAAAACTCCGCTTGCACCATTCCGAAGTTTTGGTGTTATTGGATTGTTGTTTCGCATCACAAGCCGCACGAGGGTCTAAAAGTCCAATCCCGGAAAATGTAGAGTTGTTGGTCGCTTGTGGTCTTAACACCAAGACTGTACTTCCCGGAAAGACTTCTTTTACGACTCACTTGCTTCGGGAGATTGGAGCAAGCCTAGAAGCCGAAGGTTCTGTCAAAATATCAACGTTGCACAAGAATCTTGCATCGAAAGAGGCTGGACTTGGTCAATCGGCTATCTACTACCCATTAGGTAACTCCAAAGGTAGCATAGTGCTACAGCCGCTGGAGAAACCAATCTGTCCAACACCACCATCACCGCCGGAGAGTGGGTCAGTAATTCTGCGACTATCGCTTGGTAGGCAAAATCAAGATGCTATAAAGAAGGTCTTGGACGAAATCGTCGATTGGCTGAAGCGGAATCCTCCTCCAATTATTTCGAATGTCAAAATCATTGAGCTCCTGCGGGACTCCGCGGCTGCGGTACAAAGTTACATTAATGATGATTCGCAAAGAGGCAAGCCGGTGGTACCGTTCAATGACTTGGACACTCCTGCTTGCAATGATATTCTATCGGCGTTATCAACATTCAAGAATAAAGCTGGGAGAGTGGCTTCATCATTGGCGGATAGTAGTGTCATCTTTGGCGCATTAGACACTTATTTGGATGAAGATGCTTCTGCTGTTTGGGCTGAGGAGTTAACGACTAGCTTCGTGCCGGTTCAAAGGGCCGTTGAACGCAGCGTACTAACCTCTGCAAAACTTTGTAGAGCGACAGCAGAAGACCACCTGCGCCAAGCGACAAGCGATCCACAATTTCTAGCTTTAGGACTGGGAGAGATACTCAACCTCAAAGTTCTCGCATATTTCCCCCAAGGAAAGGATGCAAGAAAGATAACTATTCAGCTGGATGTTCCCGTTGGCTTGTTTCCTTGTCGTGAGATTAGGACTCTTCCGGACATTCCTGAACTTGGAAGTGTGATGATTGAGGCTAAGAGATTCGAGGAGAATGTCGATCTCAGAGTGGTGAAGAAACGTTTGGAAAGATTATCTGTTTTGTTGCAGAGTGACAAATCTGCGGAATTTCAAACTCTCCCATGCAGCGGATTCTTTTTCGAGCCTCCGCATGCCTACGGGCTCATATTCGGAGTTCCATCGAATGGTCTAAAGCTTGCAGTAACTCTTCGTGAACTTCTGTCAAGAGAATGTCAGAAGCCGAAACCAAGTCTTGACCAGCGTTTTCAAATTGCCTACAAAATTGGAAGAGCACTCTCGAAATGGCATTTAGTTGGCTGGGTGCATCAAGGCATCGCAAGCTACAACATCGTGTTCTTCTACAACAATGATGGCAGCGTGGATTACACAAACCCATACCTCTGCGGCTTTGAGTACGCCCGTCATGAGGGTGCGCCATCTACTGCTCGAATTGTTGAGCAATTAGAGCTGAACGTGTATCGTCATCCGGAACGGCAAGGAGTACCCAATGCTTCCCATCACAAAGAACATGACATTTATTCATACGGTGTGTTGCTTTTGGAAATTGGATTATGGGATCTTGCTGAAGAACTTTTCCGCTCCCAAAGAAAAGAGCTTGCACCGCACTACATGGCAAAAAGACTCCGCAAGACTGTGGAGAAGGAACTTGGGTTCCACGCTGGCACATCTTATCAAAAAGCTACGACTTTATGTCTAGACACTAGCTTGGGAGTCGATGTTGCAGACAACAAGATAGACTTGCTTCTCGCAAGATCCTTCGAACAAGATGTGCTAGTGGAGATCAAGAAAGGCGTGTCGTTAGGTTTTATAGGACATCGGTTCGCGGTAGACAAGATAGGCGGCAGTGACCTTTGATTCTTTACACATCCTAATTTGAACTTGAAGAACATTATGTAGTCAAGATAGAACACAAGATATATGATGTTGTGTCAATTTGGTTGGCTATTGCGTTTCGGCTGCAATTTGTTTGTCTACCAACAGGTCCCAATGACTTGAACGCCATGTTCTTGCACAGCTACATGCTGTTCAACTATCATAACACAAAGCAGGACTCTAAATCATCCTTCTATTTTCAAGCTCTCACGAGTCGATCTTCTTCCACTGCAGTCCCATTGTACGCCACGCTTCTATCGGACTCGTAGCAGAGTATGTATTGTTGACCGTCTAGAACCTCATCGATTAGGAACGGGCCAACTAACATCGACCTCCCCCCTGGATCGTAGTTGACTCTATCTCCGACACTGTATTTGCTCCTCTTGGAGAAATTAGCCATGAAGCTGTGAAACCAGGCTGGCTGGTGGGTGATAACTTACTTGACCCTTCTTCTTGTTAACCTTTGCGCGCCATTGATTGGTGGAGTTATCCACTTTCTTGTTTCTAGGCTTCGTTTAGCGGTCAGTGTTTGGAGGACAGCGGTGTCTCACTCTTTATCTGGCATTTTCGATACGGGGCGGCAGGCTTCAAGGAGTGCCTGGCGGCACGTTTGCCACGGGGAATTCGGATGCTTTAATGTGCGCTCGCAACACATTACGATACGATGAGGCGACCAATGAGAGATTGCTAAAGAAACACCTAGGGGCTGTATGCACTGCGCTCTCAAAGTGGTTGCATTCATGCAGAATATACCACCACCAGGAGATAAGCGAGATCCAATTGCAATAGCCTTTCAAGTAAGCGGCAAGAACTCTTTGAGTTTGCCGTATATTCCTTCAGGATTCAGACCTTGACAGGATTAAAATTCTTGTGGATAATAATCTGCCTTCCATCACCTCACTCTTCTGTTAGCATGTCCACCTCTTCTTACGCCTCTGTTGTTTTTTAAATTTGTTGTTTAGAAACCTACCTTTGTCCCAAAAAGAGCAACTTGTAGCTTTTCTCCAACGGCAACTTTCAACCCAAATGGGAAAGGGATAGAATTGTCCCTATCTCGCTGATTGGAGCAAATGAAGGTCTGTTTTATGCAAGGAAATAAACGGTTCTTGGAGTCATAACATTAGAAATATGTCTCATGCTCCCGTACATTTTACTCCCACAAGTGCAGTTTCGGGAAACGTACTTCGAAATAGTAAGCCGTTCATGGACAATGTTATTTCGGTTTGTTAGACTAAGCGACACCGCAGAATTACCTTCCGGAGTCTCTTTGGACATACCGAGGTTGCAGAGACTCAGCCAAAAATTCTTCAAATGGACTAAAAGCCTCACAAGAACTGATGAGCAGGAAGAGATCGTCAAACCCAAGAAAAGTAAAAAACAATCATTATTAGCCCAGATTAATTAACTGAAAACATATCAGTTGAAGAGTACAGAGCAGGGTATCCAAGATTCTCATCTCTCATCTCTGCTCACCACCCCTACCACATATGTCGACGCTTCACACAAGTCCGAGCCCGGTTGCTCCTCCTGAAGCAAGACAACATCTCCCAGCTAGAGGAGCAATTAGAGCAAATCGACGAATCTGAAACCCACAAAATTTTCCTAGGAAACGCACGACGGGACGCCAATGTTCAGAGAAAGCAGGTGTTGGCAGATTTAGATTTTGGTTTGAAAGAATATGGTAAGTATTTCTATGTTTGAGGTAACATTGGCATTGCTGAAGCTTTCGCGTAGACGAATTAGTTGAGCGGAATCATAGGATACTGAGTTATCCGGATGCGAAAAGAAGAGATGTGAGGAGTATACTGAATTGGCTCATGAATAATTCAATTGCGAGAGATGAGACCGCTTTTCTTTCGAAGCCAGATCTGCTGTGTGTCGGAACGGTGCATGACGACGCGTTTCTTCAAGTCGAAATTCTGGTTGAGAATGTCATCATATTCTTCTATCGACTCTTTAAGAAAGTAAATTGTCTTTTCCCAACCACCGCCCCCTAGTTGTTTGTTTCGAAGTTACTAATGTTAGATTCAGCGTCCTCAAATCGATCTTTCCAATGATCCTGACGTCTACATCTTCTCAAGTCCGCTTTTGAAGCGCATCACTCGTGCAATGATCGCTTGGGTTGTAGTAATAATCTTGTTATTACCGGTTGTCGTGATTAACGCGGTCGAGAAGCCTGCCGTTCGTATAAGTATTATCACTACTTCTTCTGCCGCGGTCATCATGCTGTTAGCAATGATGACGAACATCAAAACATCAGAGATGTTTCTTAGTGGTGCTACGTGAGTCCTATCTCATTCTGTTACCACGCAATAACTTCCGAACCCTATGGACCGACTTGTTACTGATCAATGTGTCACAGGTATGCAACTGTTTTAGTTGTCTTTCTTTCTGGGAATGTCAATGGGAAAATGTAAGATAGAACACTTGTCACACGCCCAATCAACAATTACCACGAAACAAAGCCAGACATAAATCGAAGCAATCCTAATCTGCCAGATATGTCTATTTAGGCACCCTTTATTCGGGAGGGTCCACCTCTTCCAAGATCCCGTCAACCCACCTCACATTCACCATCAAATTATCCTTGGAAGATGATTTTATCCAACCCTCTCCGTCTAGTTCCTGCAAAGCCTCCTTCAGCTCCGCCCATTTCTCCAATACCTCAATCTGGGGCCTGAAAACGTCTTCCTTATAGTACGATATGGCGCGCTCCAGGGCGCTCTGGTTGTAATTAGGCTTGTATCTAGCCAGTTCATACAGGACATTCCAATGCTCGCGATGAGGTTGGTTAGATGGACTAAATCCATTATTGTAGATGTCGTTCATGTCATAGTCTGCTGGTTGGTCGATATTCTCACAGTCGTATTGCGGATCTAATTCCCAAGCTCTTTTTGCGCCGTGATCTTGCAGGGTTTTGATTACTGTTGGAAATGCCCAGTAGGCTTCTTCTGTATCAAAGGTTAGTGCTCGCGGCTCGCCCTAATGTTTGAAATTCCAAGATACTTACTAGCTCTCTCAGGACCCCCTTGTTTATCATCGAACAGGTGGTGGTCTTTGTCCAATGGTTCCGACTCTGCCGGTTTTCGATAGTCGGATAGTTTCAACATGTGCGCTATGCGGGATGCTTCTCCATAGTCAAGAGCCATATCCAATGCTGTTTGTTTTTCGTTACGACTGCGAATGGCGTTCAGTCTGGTTTTTAAGCCCAGTTTCAACAACATATTTAATGTTTTGGGTCGAGCGAAGATACATGAGTTCCAGAGAGCGGTCGAACTCGAATCCTCTAAGGTTTTCCAAGAATGCTCGAGAGGTTGACCGATTCGCAGAAGCATAGCTCTGATACTTGCAGCCGAGCCTTCGTCCATCACACTTGCATTTTTTGTTAGTATTCCTAAGAAATTCTCTCCACTTTCATTGACAACATGAATATCTGCTCCGTGATCCAACAACAAAGACGCTCTACGCATGACATCGAACACTCCCATAAGACTGATCAGTAGAGGGGAATTGCCATGACAGTCTTTACGATTGATATTGGGCGGTGGATTTTGTGAACAGAGAGTCGAGACGCTTGATTCAAATTGTTCAATCGAGGTGTCAAGCGCGGCGACAACGTGAAGAGCGGTCTGACTCAAGTATGTTGCGTAATCAAGATCCTCAGTTACTTCAGCGAATCTCTTCATAACTTCAGTGTATGCTACCGGATAATCAAGTCTCTCTGGAGTTATTCCACACCACGAGATGAGAGCATTGTCTTCCCCTGTATGGTTTATGGCACTCACATCTGCTCCTGTTTGTAATAACGCAGTTATTGCTCCACTATCATAAACTCCCGCAGATGCAGCGGTCGTTAAGGCAGTGTGAGGGGGTCGGCATCGTGCAATAGTGTCTAGTTTGACACCTGCATGAAGGAGGAGGTCAACCATTTTTGACATATGATATTTGTGCTCTTCCCAACTTCCATGTCGAATCCAGTAATGCCATTGTTTCGGAATTGAGCCGTGAATCTCAGGTAGCCTATAAGATATTTGATGTAACAGCGTGCGGTTCTTTATATCCACGACATGCGGATTCGCTCCTTGGGCAAGTAGGAAGGAAGCTACCTCGACATCACCAAAATGTACTGCCAATGAAAGTGGTGTCGAGTGCGGATGCTGATTGGAGCACAGGGCATTTATGTCCGCTCCGTTTTCTAACAAAACTCTCATAGCAACGAAGTTTCGACTGGCCGCGGCCCAATGTAGAGGTGTTCCATATGGAAGCTCGAAAGGACTACGGCTAGTTAATATTGCATCAGTGTTAAGGAAGGAGTGAACCAACTAATGAAGGACTGTAAAATGGTTTTTGCCAGAGCTGTTACTATCTGGTGCCATCTGCTTATTTATGTACTTACTATTCTCTCCCGCGAGATAACGGCAAGCCTCAGCAATATCTGCATCCTTGAACATAAACAACCAATGCAGCGCTATCATCCCTTCTTTGGTTGTTGCAAAATCTGCCAGATCAACCTCTAGATCTCTAAAAAGTCGTAGGGAAGTCATCTGGCCTGCTTGGCAAGCTTTATAGAGAACAGTCTCGCCATTATCATTTCTTGCGTTGAGTAGGGTTCCTCGCGAAGTCTTCAGGATTTGACTCAGCTCTGGTACCTTTCCAAACCCCGCTAACACATGCATGATCGTGTTGCCTTCAAGATCAACTTTGATAACTAAGTCTTTTGCAGGTGTGAATTTTCTCAGCGTGGAGAAATCATAGGCAGCGCCGAATTTATTCTCTAGCGAGAGAAAATCTTTCCCACAGTGTCCTCCATTTCGCCGGAACAGTTCTCTAGCCACCTCTGCTTCTTCCTTGGAAAGATAAGTTGAAGGTAGGCACGATCCAGTCTCCAATGCTCTTTGTTCCCAGCCTCTGAGCACTGCTAGGGAAGGGAGGGATCTATCGTGAGCTTTCAAAAATTGCCCATAAATAGCCTGAGCAGGTACATATTGCCTAGACGCGGCTATCTCCATAAGACCATGAGTATGTTGTAAGTATCCTGGCTCTGGCTGAGCACTTAATCTTAACGCCGGGCCGAACAAAATCTCAGGTTCCAGATTGGGAGTCATGCGATTCATATTTGCGTGTGAAAAGGATGTGCTCGCCATGATGTCTTTTACTACATTTATGTTCAGTCGGGCCCAGAATGAGGCATCTTGGTTGAGCTCTGGTACTGCTTGGCCGGGCTTAAATTGCTCGCCAGGAGTCGTCTTTTGTGCTTTGATCCTAGTCTGAAATCAGTGAGGGTAGAGTCGGAAGCCAATTTTACTCACCAATCTATGTGCGAAGATAGCTCCTGTGTCTTCAAAAGCAAAGGTGACAATTTAGGTCGTTTTGAGGGTGCGCTATCTAAAAGTTGCGGAACTGTGTCATACAGTCTACTTTTCAGACTCGATGGAAGCTCTTCTTGACGTATCAGAGTCTCAGCTGCTTCTATTCGTGCAGTTGGTTCTCCGAAACTTGACAATGGGATTTTGCCCCCACAACAAAATATGGATAATAGCACAAGCCCAAAGCTATAGGCATCAAATTTGAACATGAGCGGTGGCTCAAACTTTATCCCTGTCAATTTCTCGAACATATCTCTTTTTTGTAGTTCAGGGGCATTCCACTGATTCGTTCCAGCATAGCTATATACGTCAATGTTTTTGACCGAGCCCAGCAAATCAGTACAAAGACCAAAATCGCTTAATTTAGCAACAAATCTGACTTTCGGGTCGTTGATCTTAAAAACAAGAACGTTTTCAGGCTTCATATCTCCGTGAACTATGTGATGCTTATGCAAGACCTCAAGTCCAGATGCAACATCTAGAGCTAGGTGATGTTTGATATGCCAGGCTGAGTCTCGCTGAAGAAATTCATCCAACGAGCACTCTGCTAGCTCAACGAAAAGTGCAGGAACCGGGGTTTGGGAGTCTATATAATCTCGACCCCAAGCAATCAATCGAGCAACGTTGCGATGATTGCGTATCTCAGAATGACAGAGAGCAACGATCTCAAGTTCTAGGTTTCTGAGATGCAATTGGTAATTGTCGCCTTCGGTCATATCGACACCATTTTCACGGAAGACTTTCATGTTCACTCGCTTGACGGCGAGTCCTTCGAGATCAGCATATCCTCGCCCAGTCAATCCTCCAGCTCTTGGATGGCTTTTGAAAACAGTGAATTGGGCACCTTTTCCGATTTGCATACCGCGTTCAGTAAGATTCAAGACCTTCAGATCTCTGGGTCCCGGAATACCGGATCTTGCAAGGCTGACCAACAGCGCGGGTATTGAGCATGTGTTTCGAGCTCTGCTTCTAGAAAGCGCTCCTGGAATTTCGAAAGCACTTTGAGATGTATCTACTGGGGTTGCTTGATATTCTTCAGAGCCGGTATCTGAACTCTCGTCGGACCCGCTGCCACGAAGATAGCTTCGTCGTCTTGAATATGCTTGACTTGACATGATAGAACTGGGCTATTCTATAATAGAAGTAGATTCGATTTGGCTCTATTATCAAGACGAAGCTGACATGACTCTCGGTGTGCTGGAAAGGAAACTCCTCGCGTTGTTATCCGCATTCTATTGAAGGAAAAGCTGATGCTGCAATCAAGTGTTCGTAGGCATCCAGCCCGACTTATGCAAGGCTGTTCCACGGCATTGGAAACTTGCTTGCAAGCTCCCCAACTGGCCGGCCTGATAATGGCTCTCAAATCGTACTTACATATGAGTCGTAGTAATCAAACCTGTTTTGTTTTCGTGCATAGCTAATAAATCAAAGGTACAGTTTGAGACTCTAGTCACTCCCACATTCTTAACAAAATATTATACAACATCTGTTCTAATATGTTAATCTTGGCGAAAATAGTACGGAACTCGACACCTACTGTTGAAGAGAGGCAGTGTTTATAACCAATAGCGGTTGCAACTAGTAATGTGTAAAGAGAGTGTCTTGGATAGATGAAAAGTATATTTCCATGTATGACACATTATCGACTCTGTTGTTATATTAGACGTTCGCAACAAAGGCGTCGCCGCTAGTCAACATTTGTTTGGTCATATTCTAGATATCCATATCCATCGCTCAGACGAACAGAGGCCAAAGATGCAGAAACCATATTTCCTCGATGGTCAAAGTGATGTTTCTGGTGTTGAAGGAAATTTCGATGACGAATTCAGCCGTGAGGCACAGCTGAACACACAGGGAATGACTCCAACAAATACAGCTGTTTAGGAGTGGCCAACGACGTCGGAAGAGGAGGATTTAGATGTTGGAAACAACTAAGGAAAGAAGTATTCCATAAATGCGCAGGAAAATACAGTTACAATTATTCTTGACATGGCAGGCCCCAAAATTACCTGCGCACCATATCTCTTCGCTAAGCTCGCGTCGCTCGTTAAACGCGTGAGACTACCGGTAGCTTACCCGTGGACCTAACCAAACTATTAGACTCGTAAGACTAGGATGGTCGTATTAGGTTCTAGGTAGACTCTCTTAACATATAGGTTTGTCATCCTTCGCTAACGAATACACCGAAGGTGCTACGTACAATTACCTTGGAAGGTTGGTCAGCTTCTTGACCAGTTTCAACACCTAATCATGTAACTCCGCGGACTCGTAGGGCTCTTAAATGAATGTAGGTACTTAGTTTAGTTGTAAGTTTCCTGTATAATCAATTTCTTTACTCTGTTAATTCTATCTGTTAAAGAACATTCATTTCCTCCAGAAATCCTGAGATTGCATTATTCCAACAATCACAGACCACTAAACTTTAGCGACCTTCAGAATGCCTTCAAGCCCGACAGTTCAAGAACTTTTGAAGAGAAATGCGTACGTTTTGTCAAACCTTAATACCAGCATATTAGACTAATTCCAAACACAGTCAAAGTGCAAAGAATCATGAACCAATCCCAACCTTAACCGAAATAAGCCAGCTGCCAGCAGAGCAACAACTACCAATGCCAAAATGGTTCATTGGTACAACTCACAGGTTCATCCTGAAGTTCTTAGTGCTGATATATCTAGTATCCTGCTGTGACAATCGAATCGATCCCTTCGAGATCCTAGGCTTAGAAAAATGGGGTATTAATCTCTTTAAAGATAATTGATCGTTCAAGCTGACACGCTTTCTAGACGCAGTTGTTGTTCGGAGTTGCGCTGGTCGTATAGCGCCCCAAATGCAGAACCTTTTGTTCCTCGATAACGTTCTACACTTCACTGATGTGATGATTATGCACCATACTGGTAGGTCCATGCATCGAAATGGTTCTCTACCTAAGACAAATTCCCCCCTGCTGATGATATTATCTATAGATTGCTCGGCTGAGCTTTTCAAGAATGATGACCTCCGTGATATTTTGAAAGAGCGCGCACCCGAGGAGAGTGCAACTATTGAAGAGCTGAGACTTCCTGGATTCGATGAGTAAGTTACAACTTCGGGCTGAGATTTGTGCTAGATACTGACGGGGTGTGTGCTTGCTCAAACAGTCTTGATCAGAGCGTTAGAGATGATGTATCCATGGTAAAATCGTCGCCGCTTGTGAGAAAAGAACTTGCAGAACGAACTCAAGGGTTTGTGTATGACATAAAAACAGGTAAGGTACAACAGATTGTCTAAGGGGATTGGAATAATGGAATCAATCAAATCAACGATCGGCATTATCATGGGAGAAATAACACAAACAGAAACAGAGAGGTCTCACCCAGTTTACAACTAATGATTTTGAGCTGCCATCTTGAAACCGTGTACTCCACGCGCTGAAAATGCTCCAGCACTGAATTTTGGATTTATATGACAGTCTCTCGCTCGCACGTCTAATTCGCTGGTAACCTTTCTACGACCGCTGCCATTTCCGCATCTGTGTAAATCCTGAACCCCTTCTCCTTGGTTACGCTCGCGAGCTGGACGTTCTTTGAGTCAAGTTTTTCCTCCATAACCTGCTTCAATGTCTTTAGAACCAGAGTCTCCGCTTCTTCGATGGTCAAAGACTGAAGTTTCCCCATTAGTAGTGGTCCCGAAGGGAAATGTGGCAATCCTCCTTACCTTGTGAAATTCATTCTGCAACTCGGCTTGCGCGCCCTCTGAACCGGATCCAATAGCCTTAGCATCATATCTGTAGAAAGTTCCACTTGGCTCTGCGTGATACAGCTGTGGTCCATCCTCATCATAACCCGCAATCAACAGCGCAACACCAAACGGTCGACTCATAATACTCTCCTCACCCTCAGCACCCTCTCCGAACCGTAGCGCTAGGTCACAAATTGCCTGTGTACAACTCTCGACTCTTAGAGGTTCATTGAAATGGAAAGCGTGGTTCTGGGATTCGACTCGTGCGTGTTCAACCATCGATCGTGCATCGGCTTGGAGTCCGGACATGGCGCATCCGATGTGGCGGTCTATTTCGACAATCTTCTCTACAGAAGATGTTTCGAGAAGGGTTGATGTTACTCGCTTTTCTACACCGAGAACTACACCACCACCTGTTGCAACTCCAATTGCGGTTGAGCCTAGCTTGATTGCTTCTAGGGAGTATTCGACTTGGAAAAGACGTCCTTCTGGGGAGAAGGTGCTACATGATTATTAGTAAATAAGAAATCAGATTTGAACCCGAAGCCACGGTCCCAGTAGACGTACTTGATACCCCGATCTGGAAATATGTTAGACTGTCTTCAATATGAATGTATTCGGAGATCAACTATTACTTACCATATTCTGACCGAGCAATAAACATCTTGGAGTGTTGGTATTATGCGGAATTTGGAGATGTTTCGTGGGCAGACTCTAGAGACTAAGAAAATCCTGGTAGACGAGCAGCTTCAGAGGATTGTGGATTGAAGAAGATGCGTAGCCTGTGAGAATTAGACGCAGTTTGAATCCGAGTTGTCGATTGACCAGGCAAGCAGAGCGACGCGGAAGCTTGAGCTCGACAGGCGCTAACCCTACTGGGGCTAGATCAGGAACATATAAGCGGCACTGGTGGGCGAGGCTGACGGGCGATCGAATGAGCTTTGACGTGCCGCTTTTCGCTGAAGGCCGACTTGGGTCGCGACAACCCAAGAAGTCGCGTCTCCAAGGTTGACACTATTTACTTGTCTACGAATAAACAGAGACTTTGTCGACCCAAGTCACCTCGAAATTTCAGCAGCCCAAATGGAATAGGTCATGTCGTCTTCGAATCACGCACGAGTATCTTCACGAGCGGATCGAAGAACAACCACTGAAAATGGAGCGCAACCCCGCGCTCCAGTAGACCACCAGGGTCGAAGTAGCAGAACTGAACGACCAGACCCTCGACGAACACAGTCGCCGCCGAGCCAAAATGCAGCTTCCCACAAAAGGGGACCTTCGGGGTCTCAGCGGACGAGTAGGGCGGTCGAGGAAAGAAGAACAGAGAGGACGCATGTCACAACTCGAGAAACAGTGACAAGAACGAGAAGCCCAGAAAGGAAATCCGCACCAGTGCCTCAGACGGAAAGACATAGACCGCCAGAATTATCTAGGACCAATTCGAATGATCCTCGACCACGTTCTTCACGAGCAGAAACACCTCAATGTAGGCATCGCGAAATATTTCGTCAACTGGACGAACTGACACTAGAACAGTACCATGGCTCCCAGAAGTATCTTTAGTCCCCCATACAACAGCACCACTGGCGTCGCGCATATCAATACCGCCTCTCGTATCCCAAGCGCCGTCTTCCCTGCAGCCGATACCACTGTCAGAATTAACCTTGGAAGTACAAGAAGCTGCTATACTCGAGGATCTGTTGATGGTATTGATGGGATATGAAGGGCAATATATACGCTTCGCGAAGAACTACAACCCTTCGTCAGAAAAAGACCGCCTGGGTGGGCCAGCGTTCAAGATCTTACCAGGACTGGATCCTAGTCTGCATGATTTGACAACCACGATGTTGAAAATGGCAACCCATTATGGAGCTATTGAGGCATTTGTGGAAGTTCAGAGCCGCGAAGAGTTCGGAGCTGTTGTTCACGCATTATGTGCGGCGATACGAAAATTGATGCATGACTATCTGATTTTAATAGCGCAACTGGAAACTCAATTCCTAACGAATCCATCTTTTACTCTTCATGTATTAAATCTACATACACTACCGACAAGCCACATGATGTTCCAGGTGTACTCTTTGGCTCATGAAATTCTGAAGCGAAATTCGCTGCTGGAAGAAGATATTGAGGAGTCAGATGATGATCTTGACAACGTCGAAAATCTGTTAGCGAGGCTGAAGGAACCGGGAGCAAAAAGAATTTTTAAAGGAGGCAATGTTCTTGGTTTGATCTCAAAAAGATTAGAGGCCATGTCTGGAGATCCTGCGGCACGATCACTTCTTACCGCTCTACTTCGAGACGCGAGCCGACCTTATATGATGATGTTGAACGAATGGCTACACCATGGAAGTATCAAAGACCCTCATTCTGAGTTCTTGATACGGGAGCAGAAGAGCATCAATCGCGCGGGTTTAGACCAAGATTATACTGATGATTACTGGGAAAGGCGGTATACTATCCGAGACAAAGACGTTCCTCCGCACTTGGAGGCTTTGAAAGATAAGGTTATGCTGGCTGGAAAGTATCTGAACGTGGTCAGAGAATGTGGAGGTGTCGATGTTAGTAAAGCCGTGACAGACGTCCCACGATCGTTCGGCGACAATAGATTCCTGGACAACGTCAACAATGCATACGCGCACGCCAATCAGTCTCTATTAGAATTGCTCCTTACCACACATGCATTACCAGCTCGTTTAAGGTCTCTCAAACATTACTTCTTCCTGGACAGGTCTGATTTCTTCACCTACTTTCTCGAACTTGGTGCTTCAGAGCTTCAAAAGCCAGTTAAAAAAGTCAACACGGGAAAGCTGCAATCGCTGCTTGACTTGGTAATACGACAACCTGGCAGTATTGCAGCCCAGGATCCTTTCAAAGAAGACATCAAGGTTGAAATGAATAACATCAGTCTCACAAACTCGTTAACACGAGTTGTCAACATTTCCGGTATTGAGCAAGGCGAATCCCTCCAAACGCCTGCCCCACAATCGTCAACTTCAGATGTGGATGATTCCGCCTTGGGATTTACCTCTCTTGGATTGGATTACATAGTTCCATTCCCTGTGTCACTCGTGATCAGTCGGAAAACGGTTTGGAGGTACCAAGCATTGTTCCGCTATCTTCTCTCTCTTCGCTATCTTGAGCAACAATTAGTCTCATGCTGGCAGTCACACAACAGATCCACAGGCTGGACACACAAAAGTACCGACAGAAGGATTGAAATTTGGAAGCGAAGGACCTTTACCTTGCGTGCTCGAATGCTTGTATTTGTCCAACAGCTCCTGTACTTCTGTACTGCAGAAGTCATTGAGCCCAATTGGCAAGCATTGATGGCCAAATTGAATGGCAAGGATGATACCAAGGGCGGCACTTCCTCAATTAGGACTGTTGATGAGCTCATGCAAGACCATGTCGACTTTCTAGATACCTGTCTGAAAGAATGCATGCTTACGAATAAGAGGCTCCTCCGGGTAAGCTAACATCAACCTATGCGCAATAGTTGCTAATTCTCCTCACAGATACACTCGAAACTGATGCAAACTTGTACTATGTTCGCGACGTATTCCACGTGGCTCTCCAGAGAGCTGGAGAGGATCGATGAACAGTTGTCCGGCAATGAAAAGCCCCGAAATATGAACAAGGATCAATGGGAAAGGTTCAAGGTGGAACGTGACGAACGAAACGAGCGAAATCGCAGACATGGCGATGTACAGTCGGCCAATGCGTCGTTTGAGAGAATGGATGAGAATATAAAGAAGTATGAGGAGAATTTTAGCCATCATCTACGGATTTTACTGGACTCTCTGAACCATTATGCAGCCACAGAAACGGTTGTGTTACTCGGATTATGTGCCAGGCTGAGCACAGCAAATCAGGGAACGCAATACAGTGGGCTACGGACTGATGAGGACGCCGGAGTCAGGGCGTGAGCATGACAGCATGCGATGGTGACGACCGTTATGATGTTCTTGAGCGCTTGTGTTGATGATATCCATTGGAGTCTTGGAACGAGAAACCCGGGCACTGGGCAGGGCGAATTGGTGATCAAAAGCGGATTGATGCGCTGTACGTTGATCTAGCTAGATAGGCTTCGTGAATAGAATGTGATACTTATCTATATTAGCGATGAATGTGAGCGAACGTCGGCCGTTATGTTTGGTCTGTAGTACGTATACTTGTAGACAAATCAATCTCACCTCACGTGCAGACGACGTACTATATTCAAGTCTGAACAAGGATTTATATTTGTGTGGAGGGGTCGCAGTGGACGTTCCTTTGCTACCCCTCCTTGCTCACGGTCCCTTTGAGCTCCAGGGAAATGATTCGTGAGAGTTGACCGGGGCGGCCGCGGGGTGATACTGCCAGCGCAAGTTGAGTAAATATATTTGGTAATGTTCAAACAAAGAAAAGTGTCTACGTAGTACAAAAGGGAATATTAAAGAGATTAAATAGCACATTAGCTCTGCCCAGAGTATCCACCTCAATGTCTTGACCTCATCAACTTTAGAAGGGCGAGAAAACCTGGGTACTGTACCGCAGCGGCGCCGGGACGCACCACAATTTTTAGGTACGGGCCAACCCACTCGGAGGCTTTCCCTTCCTGCTCGCTGCAACTCTGACCTTTTTCCTTTCCACCCACACATCTTCTATAAACATCCCACCGAACAACATACCGTCCGGATCTCCTTTCTATATGCAGCGTGAAGCGGCGGATCGTTGGGCTCGCAAAAGATATTTCGGATAGCTGCGTTGTGGGAAGCTGTCGTGGGCAAATTTATACTGTAAATTGGGATTGAGGTACGTGAGGGTTTTTTTTCTGGGGGGTGTGAAGGATGCATGAGGTGCGAGGTATGGGGATGAGCGGTGAAATGGTGAGATTGATATTTGGGGATGGAGTCTGACGGCATTTGGGGATTCTGGGGCAGAGCTATTAATCATGCTTTCAATCAGATTTCGATCTTAAAAGTCTTGCTAATTTTTACCACTAGGACGTTTCATTTTTGATCAACCTTCTAGATCGTCATCATGCACGTCTCAGAGATGCTGGCGGAAGCCAAACAAACCGGCCAGCCAAAGTACTCTTTCGAATTCTTTCCTCCCAAAACCGCTCAGGGTGTTCAGAATCTCTACGATCGAATGGACCGCATGCATGGCTTGGGACCTAGCTTTATCGACATCACATGGGGGGCAGGAGGTAGACAGGCTCAATTGACCTGTGAGATGGTTTCGGTGGCTCAGTCACAATATGGATTGGAAACTTGCATGCATCTGACTTGCACCGATATGGGTAAGGAGAAAGTAGACGACGCGCTCAAGAGTGCTTATAAAGCTGGCTGTACCAATATCCTGGCCCTACGCGGCGATCCACCAAGAGAGAAGGAGAAATGGACTGCCACTGAGGGGGGATTTCACTATGCCAAGGATCTGGTCAAATATATCAAACAGTCCTATGCCAATCATTTCGATATTGGTGTCGCTGGATATCCGGAAGGTTGCGATGATCAGGATGACCCCGAGGCATTGTTGGACCACTTGAAGGAGAAGGTCGACGCGGGTGCTACTTTCATAGTTACGCAGATGTTTTATGATGTCGACAATTTCTTAAACTGGGTGGCAAAAGTTAGAGCGAGGGGCGTCACCATCCCGATTATTCCTGGAATCATGCCAATTAATACGTATGCCAGCTTCGTGCGCAGGTGTAATCACATGAATGCCTCTATTCCACCAGAATGGAGTGAGAAATTGGAAGCTGTAAAGAATGATGATTCTGCGGTTAGGAGCATTGGTACTGGATTGGTGGCGGAAATGTGTCGCAAAATTCTGGACTCGGGAGAAATCCACCACCTACATTTCTACACCATGAATCTTGCGCAAGCTACTCGTATGCTTCTGGATGAGCTAAACTTGACTCCAAGTACCGAACGTCCACTCAAGCATGCTTTACCATGGAGACAGTCATTGGGTCTAGGCCGAAGGGAGGAAGATGTTCGACCAATTTTCTGGAAGAACCGAAACAAGTCTTATGTTGCTCGTACACAGGATTGGGATGAGTTTCCTAACGGAAGATGGGGCGATTCGAGATCTCCAGCTTTCGGCGAGCTTGATGCTTATGGAATCGGACTACGAGGCACCAACGAGCAGAATCGCAAGCTTTGGGGCGAGCCTAAGTCGATCAGTGATATCGCCAATATCTTTGTCAACTATCTAGAACAAAGTGTTGACAGTCTTCCATGGAGCGAAGCACCGATCACCAGCGAAGCAGATGTCATTAAGCAAGATTTGATTGCTCTTAATAGGCGTGGACTGTTCACCATCAATTCTCAGCCTGCTGTGGATGGT